CCTTTTTGGAATCCCACCGTTTTGGTGTAATATTTAATTTAAATTAATAAATTAGTTTTTGTAATATTTATTATTATTTTACTTTGAAGAAGAGAGATTTTACATCCATAGCTGAGCTTAACGCTGTATTTGGTAGGAAAAAATGTTAGAATTCAAAAAAAGAGATGAAAATTTTTTTTATTGTATTTAGTGTAAAAATGAAAAATAAAGAGAAAGAAAGAAGTTATAAAGTGTAAATAAATTTATTAGAATGATTGAATGTGAAAGATGACCAAAAAATGTAAATATATTGTTTTCTTTCTTTTTTTTTTAATTTTATTTTTATTTAACAACAAATAATTTTTTTTCACGTTTTTGTCATCATTTATTTTTCCCTACTAGTATACATCACCACAGTGTAAATGTTTCGATGTATTTTTTTTATTTTTAATATTAAAACTCGAAATTTTAAATTTAGACATTTTGAGAGTTTTTTTAAAAGTTTTTTATCTTTTTAATATTTTTATTTTTTATAATATGTATTTCAAATGCATTATTTGATAATATCATATAACAAAGTCAAGGATAAGTTACATGGACTTCGACGTCTTGATAATGGAAGATTATTACGAGTTTTTAGATGGTGCAACTGATAATTCACGAGCCCAACCGAGTCAAGGCAATTTGCGATGGTATTAGGATATAAATAATATATTAATATCTATAAATTATTTTAATTTAATTTAAGTTTGAATAATTTGATTTATTAATCAATTTAAATTTAAATATTCTTATATTTAATTCAAATAATTTATGAATTTAATTAAATTTTATATTTTAATTATTTTAATTAATAAAATATTTTAAATTTAAACTCAAATTTAAGTATAAATAATCAAATTTTTATCAAATATAAAAATTAAATTTATTTTTACATATTAATCAAATTTAATTAAACAAATTTAGATAACTCAAAATTTATTTTAAATAAAATTTAAATTAAAAAAATAAAATCCAATTAAATTCAAATTAAATTTTGAATTTAACGTTTATCAATACGAATTCAATCAATTGGCCTAGGTACTACTACTATGAGTAGCTTCCATGTGATTCAGGTCAGGAGGACTTCATTTCCAAATTCCAGTTCATAATGGCTTTTGCCTTTGGACCACCACAACTTGTTCGTAATTAAAAACACAAACTGTACCAGAAAACCATTTCTCTCCAGCAAAAAACAAAATGACCTAAGAAACAGCACTTCCAACTTCAAATTTAATTTTCATGATTGTGTCACGAATCTCATATTAAAAGGAAAATGAATGACAATAGGTTTATAAATTAGGTCTCTTTTTTTTTTTTTTCACTTGAATATATATCTTTTGATTTGAAAAAGCTAACTGCAATAAATAATATTAGAATTTACTTATATGAACCAATGTAATTCAGTATTATAATTTACAGGTGAAAGATGCAATGCTACGAGGATTTTGTTTAATCGCATTAGAAAGCATACCATGAATCTCACATTAAAAAAAAAAATCTAAATAAAAGTTTTTTTTTTTTAATTTAATAAACATGCCTTTTGCATTGAAAAATGATTACATGACGACACTTCCTGGCAATGAAAGCAGCATTTATCGACTGATCTCCAGCCACAAGCATTCATATATATATATATATATATATATATATATATATATTTTTTTTATATAAAGAAAAGAACATGTTTCTAGAGGCAGACAAATTAAAGGGCCATGGTTTCCAACGTAAGATGTATCTCCACCAAATCGTTATCGCCTGTTGTTACTTTATAATTCATTGATGACCCAATGTACCGAAAATTTGATGTTGATAAAAAAAAGTTCAATTAAAAAAAAAAAAAAACCCTCCCTCCTCAAAAAATTGTGGTTTGTGGTTCAATAGAGTCATCTATGGCTTCATATGTGTTTTATAATAACACTGCTTTTGATCTTGTTGGGTTAAAAATAACTTCACCTAAATTCACATTTGTGTCCACAACTCTCTGCCACATAATATATATAATTATCTTACTATAAAGAATTTTTTTTTTAATTCTATAGAATTCATAAAATTAATTATCAATTACCTAATTTAATAAAAAAATAAATCTCAAGATATAATATTTAAGAAGTTTAAAATTTAAATTTCAATATCTAATTGTTTTTATCTTCAAATGACAATCTTATTTACAAAATATTTTTTTTTCATGTCTTTCTAATGGCTAATTGATTATATTTTCGAAAGTGTTTACTTATAATATATAATAATTCAATCAACATTTTACTTAATTGTAAAACACGAAATTTTATTTAATTTTAAACGCACAAGTTTATTTATTTGAAAATTGTCAACGGATAAAAAAAAAGTGTTTTTAAAAAAAAGATAAAAATTGTCAATATATTATTTAAAACGTCATAGTTTTATTGGTTTTGGATTTGTGGTGTCCATGATTAAAGAAATATCAATAGAAAGAATATTCAAAATAATTTTGAAAATATTCATTTTTTTAATTTTTTAGATATCCATAAACACACTATTCTAATGTTTGGATTGCCCATGAGTCTTTTCTTTCCGGATGAATAATAAAATAAAACCTAACTGATTTTTTCTTTAGAGGTGATAATAATTCGAATTGAATTCGATTTAATTTTTTATAACTAATGTATAATATTATAAATTTTTAATTTTTAATTTAAATTTGAATTGATAATTTTTTGAAATCGGTTTGATTAGAACTAAATTCTATCAATTGATTCAGTTTATTGATTTTCAATTTTTTTTAAAATTTTATAAGATTTTTATTATATTTAAATAAATTTATATAGAAAATAATTTTTTATTTTATAAAAAAATTAAAAATATATAAAAATTGATAAAAACATATAATTAGTTTGGGTTTTATTTTTTTTTATTTTTTTCACTCCGATCCAATTTGATCCAAATTTAATATATATTTAATATTTAAATTTAATCAAAATTAAACAAAAAAATCCATCCAAATTAAACATTTTTTGAATTAATTTATACTTTTCTCAATTTTTTTCTCAGGAAAATACTGCTGAAAGCCCAGCACTATGAAATCATGTTCGCTACAAATAAGGTAACAAACAAGAGAAACGGATGTTGAATTTTATTTTGCATTTACAAACCATTATGAAGCCGTCAGGTTTCTTGGAAGAAGAATCGTTTCATGACAAAATCATAAATGCATTTTGAAATCGAAAACACAAGAGATTAACCACGTTGAAATGGTGCACCAAAAAAATGGGGAAAAGAAAAAGACTGGTGAGTTCAAAATCTGGCCTACCCTTGCAATTTGCATGTTAAAAGAAAATGGCAAACCAATGGAACCAAAACAAAAGAAAAAGGATATTTGAACATGTGGCCTTTCCAACTTCCAAGCTCCTTCATTACAAGCTTACAAAACATGACCTAATTTTTTCCGGTCATTTCAACATCTATTCATGTCGACTGGTCCATGTATATGTACCGAAAATCCATCTGCTTAAAATGCTGATTTGAAGAAAATATAAGTTAATTTAATTAGTTTATATAATTAAATATAATATTTAAAATTTAATACTCGTAAATTTTTTTTTATATTACGATATTTTTTATTAAAAAAAAAATTGTTGATTATAAGTTTAACCTAAAATGTACTGAAAAATCCCACTACAAAAAATGCAAACGAAATTAGAATTCATACTTAAATGTAAGGACAAATATATTATAAGTTTTGATGATTGCAGCAAACCTTCCTTTATAGCCAAGATTACTAAGTGACCTGTTCTGTTCCACTAGTTCTACACAATGACTCACCACATTCTTTCTCATCATCCAATCGGAAAATCCTTATATAATAAAAGATGTCTGCAATGGCAAATGACAATGCATATAAGAAACAAAGTTTGGAAAAGATATTGCCTTGCTTGCCTTATTTTGTTTCCTTATTGGGTTAGGAAAATGCTGCTCTATCTCCTTGTACCAAAAGTTAGATGCTTTGCGTTCCTACATCATTTACCTTCTTTCTTTTTTTTTTTTTTTTTTCTTTTTCTTTTGCTTTTCGTCTGAATATTTTGATTGGATTACAATGACGGAATGCAAACAATATTATCTTCTTATCCCTTTGTGCACTAGGATTTTTCATGACATTGAAAGGTGCTTCAGTTCTACCTAATCTAAAAGGCAGCTTTAACCCTTTCATTTTTGAAACTAATAATTAAATTATTTTGCACAAAGTTGGTGTTTAAGATAAGGGAAGGAATTATAAATATTAAAATTTAAATCACAAATTTATTAAATTTTAATTTTTTAAAATTGATTATATGAATTAATGATTATTTTTTTTAAAAATAGCATTTAATAAGTTTAAATTTCAAATTTTAATATTTGTATTTTTTTCTTATCTTAAATTACAGCCTCTAAAAAAAAAATCTATTGTAAATGGGGGATTGGGTTGAACTTAAAAGGAGAGAAGAGTCGGTGGAGGATCAATGTCACTTGTTTCACGGCAACTTCTAGTAAGGGAAATTGCAAGTTTTGACGAGGGAGGATAAAGTGAGAAAGGATATGAAAAAAAGAATGCTTTAATCCAACTTGAAAAAGAATTCTATATATTAGTTCTCTCAATGCCTAACCAATTTTAATGAAACTTGCACGTTTTTACCTCTTTTTAGATAAAAGATAATTTCATAACTCAAAATGTAAATTATTACAATCTGCAGCAGTAACACTTCTAATGAAGGGAGTATTCTTCCCCTCCAAATGTAAAAGTCAATGTTATTTCAATCTGATCTTTGATGGTCATGGAATAACAAGAGGTATGCTCTTGATAAAATTCTACCGGAACCAAAATTCTAGTGGATTTCAAAGGATTAGTATTTTGGGGTTTGATGCATACTCTGAGGGGGGCTAACACCAATGACAGTAGACAACTGAAAAGAAAACAAATGTAACTGGAAGCAACCATATAGAAAAAATATTGGACCACACACAAATTATCTCCAAAATTCAACTTCCATTAATAGTTTCAACTTCTGCAAGATACATTGACAAAAATCAAACAGGGAAAAGCTTCATGACATTTTATTATTAAGAGAAACTCAATTCTACTTCTACAAGGAGGAAAGAGCAACCACCAAATGACTGCTCAAGTGGTTGCTTTCAAGAAATATTAACGTGAACCCTGCATTTGCTGTCTGATCAGAATTAACCTGAGCATAATCAATACTCTTTCCCGTACATTGATACCAATAAGCAATGCAAGAATACTAAGCAGCTCTGTGAGCATCTTATTCTGCTCTGGATTGGCCAGCTCGAGAAGACAAGATGATGCCGATGATAAGGCCATAAAGAGCCAAAGCTTCAGCAAAGATGAGGATAAGGATCATTCCAACAAAAAGTTTGGGCTGCTGTGCATTAGCTCTGCAACACACAATCATTCAAACATTATTTGACACAAATTAATTGAAAGAACATGTTGTATCATTGATAGCAATAGATAAGCAAAATATATATCTTTGTATCATGTCAACATGACATTATCACTTTATCAGTAATTTTCTTATGATTAAGACACTCAGTCTCACAAACTACATATTTGATTAGATTTCAATGTCATGAAAGTTTCTGATCCCTTTAATAACTTAAAACAAAAATAATCTATCATAAGTACCTAAGACCCTGAACTGCATCATTGTACTAAGAGCCGTGTCTAGAGATGAGGCAGAATAGATTTTAAAACCAACTCAAACCAAATATGGAGAGAAGGCAGATTACACTAGTGTAAACTCCACAATGGCATAAAGTAACCATGAAAAGTATAAATCAACATTTTTACACCAACTACATCTGGTGTTAATCAACAACAAAAATGTCCAATGCAAGTTAAAACCATGGGGATAAGAGCATCATACCTGACACCAGCATCACCAACAATTCCAATTGCCATTCCAGCAGAAAGACCAGCAAGGCCACAAGCAAGACCAGAGGAAAGATGGGCGTAACCATCGAAAAGGTAATATGATTTGGCCTTAGGATTGATCCCAGTACTAATAATAACAGCAATAATCAGCCCATAAATACCCAAAACACCAGCCATAACAACTGGTACAATAGATTTCATCACCAACTCAGGCCTCATTACACCCATTGATGCCACACCTACACCACTCTTAGCTGTTCCATATGCAGCTCCCATACCTAAATTCACAAGTAAATATATATTTCAATTTAAACCATTTTGATTTTATTTGAATGAAATATTCTTATTAGATCTGCATCTAAAAAGACTATAATTTACATGAATTCTTGTATTTAAAGCATAAAATTTACTCAACTGAACCAAACTAATCATTTATTCCAAAATCTCCATATCCCAACATCAAAGATCCATATCAAATGCCACTAAATTTATACACAATTTACAATATAATAAAATAAAAATCATGACTTATTTTTCAGTTGGTTCGCTAAATAATGCTAAAAACTAGAAATAGTGATCCATTAATTCTCTATCAGATAATCACATAAATGGAAATTCAACATAGATCTGATATTAAAAATAAATAATTTACGAGAAATTTAAAGAGAGGGGGTTAGGGATTCGCTACAAGAGAAGACGAGAGCAGCAGCGGCGCCGAGGAAGCCGAAGAAGGGCGCCGTCTCATCGCCGCTGAAAGTAGAAGACATTGTGGAATTAGTGAATCTGAGACGACGTCGTTTAGATCTGAGGAAAACGAGTCGAGAGAGTTCTTGATCTCCCTCTGTCCGGTGTATCTGACTCTCTGGTTTACGTTGCCGTCTTAGATAAAAAAAGGAGTGGAAGCATAACAGCAACCAAATTTTTATAGTCACTAGTTGCTCTTTTTGCGTGCTGTTAATGGGCTGAATGGCCCAAAATAGCCCATTAGGCCGACATTTCGTTGTTGTTTCAAAGATACAAAATGTCCAAACCTGATATGTTAGGCTAATCCACGAGAAAATGAATCCCCTTTCAATTTCATTTATATCACTCTACAGTTCATAGCTACCCTGCAAATCTCCATGGTAGTAGAGTCTAAGAGCGGAAAACTATCTTCTTTTTAGAGAGCAAAGGAAAAGGAAAAAATGGCAACAACACTGAACGATGGATTCAAGATGCCGATAATTGGCCTTTGTGTATGGCGTACGGAAGGAAAACACGTTAGAGGCCTCATCATCAACTCCACAGTTCAGCATGTGCTCGCTGTGAACCATAATGAAGACTCAACATGTTAGCTAATGGGAAGGTAACAAAAAATACAAAAAATATTAATCAATTATTAGTTTTTTATAAAAATAATTTAATATAATAATTAATTATAATTTAAATGTTAAAATTGATTTTAATTTTTATTCTTATATGTTATTTCAATAAATTATATATCTTAATTTTACAATAATTTTATAATTTTAAAAAATGAAATAAATGAAAGCATCAAAATAATATATGATTAAATAATAAATTTAAAATATTTACTTATTTTGTACTTAATATATTAATTGTATATAATAAAAATGATATAATGCATGAAAATTATATCCATGTTTAACTTTATTTTTTAATTTGAAAGAGGAGAAATTCGAAACTAGCTAGCTCTTTTATTTACATTTCATTTTATTGAATTAAACTTTTGAGTATTTTAATTAATTATATCAATTCAAATATGTAAAAAATATAAATATTTAAAAAAAATTAAAAATATATTTAAATAATAAAAATTTTCCTACAACAAAAGCATGGGCAAAATTTTGTGTATATTATTATGCAGGCAAGTATATATAATTTTAATTAGCTTATGGAGTAATTTTTTAAAAGAAAACAAATTAATTATATTTTTCACTTGAATATTTGAGCATATATTGGACAATTAAATATAAAATTAAATCAAATTCACATATATTCCTCATTTGCACTTGAACATTTGATTTAATAATTGATATATTTTTTATTTGTGGAGTTTATTTTATTTTCATTATTAAATTTTGTAACAAAAAAAATCTTAGTCATTTAAAATTTAATATCTTTCAATATCTTTGCTGATATATAGATTAATAAACTAACTCAATTGGCCAATAATTATATGGTCTACTAATACTGATTTTTTAATTTTGGTAATTAAGATTGCTAATTAAAATGAAAATCATATGAATAATTAAAGAAATTAAAAAAAAAAATTGCGATGTATTACAATTAGTAAAAGATAGAAGAGAGGGAAGAGAAAATGACAAAAACGCCTACGTTTTAATCATTAGACCAGAAAAGTTAGAACGCTGTCGTTTGGAGGAAAGCAAAATAAATTATTTCAATTTTCAACCTTTTTTACAATCATTTAATTTTGTCTCTGGCGATCGACGTCCTCTCTGGTTCCCGTTTTCAGAACAAAATTTCAGCCATCTTCGAATCATTGCTCCACTTCTCAGTTAAAAAAAAAAAGGAGTAAGTTTTATTATTATTTTTTTTGTTGAACATCTCCCAATTTCTTTGTTTTATCTTATGTACAAGAACTTTTTAGGGTTTGAAGATCAGCGTTTTATTATTAAAAAAGATTTTCGATTGTCGTCAAAAACCCTAACTTTACTGAAAATTAGAACTCACCTGAGTTCGAACATTTTCTTTATTTTTTTTATCATTTTTTCATTTTATTTTGCTTATTTCTACAGTTTATTAATAAGTATTAGGATCGATTAAACTAAATATTTTAAGTTCGCTTTCAATTTTATGCTCGTTAATAAACTCGGATTAAGAAATGTGCTTAATTAGGGATTGTATACATGCTTATGTGTTGGTCTCAAGAGTTTTTTTTTTTTTTCCTTTTGAATTTCATTCAAAGTGTATGAAACTGCTCTGTTAAAGAAAAAAGAAGAATTTTTCTTCTATTTTTTTCGTTAATACAAGTTTGGGAGATTAGGAATTTGCATTGTTAATTGGAAGGGAAAGGAAATATCAACAAGAATTATTTGGGATCTTTTAAGATTTTTTTTTTTAGTTTGTTTGCCTGTGTTTTAATAAATTTTCGAATTCGGGTTTGTGCTAAGAGGGATACCTATGAAACTTATAAAGGTTAGCAATTGAAAAAAGTAAAATTGAGTTAATTTTTGCATAGATGTTGTCAGTCTTTGCTCTCGCTTATACTTGAGCTGCTGCCTGCTCATCGCTTTTTGGTGCCTACTTTCCTTATTTGTGAACTAACCAATGCAAGTGTTAGTAAGTACTAGAACATTGCTTGACTGCATTCATGGTAGGTACTGACTTTCTATTTTTTGCAGCCTGGATGTTCATCAGCCACTAGAGGACGTTGTTCCTTCTTTGGATGCTTGCCTTATTATTGAACTATCCTTCATGCATTTAGTCTTTTATGATGAAGATTCCATTGTTCTGTTTGTTTCATGTGCTTCCTTAACAGCTTTAAAATTTTTGTAACTTTGATACTCTGTATTTTTTGTTATTTTTCTTTGTTTATCGTTCATAGCTGTTTATTTTTCCTTCTCTGAGTTTCCTGCTTTCAAAGTGGAATAGCTGATTGTTTGGTTGGCTATCTAATTTTGGAAGTTATGTGGTTGCACTTTTTTGTTGATCTAGTCATTTACTTACCCTAAGATTTAGAGGGGAATTCTGTTTACTTCATTTCTAGTTGCTTTTGCAAATCACTCGAAATTTAATTTTGGGTTTTTCCTCATATAGACGGATAGAATGTGCGGTGCCTGAAACTCATTGACTTTTGTGTTTGCATTAAAGTTCAAGGAGTGTATTGGCTTGTGAACATTTTTAGCACAATTCAATCAGACTTGATACTAGATGGATGGTGCTGGGCAGCAAGAAAATGGGAGATATAAGCTGGATTACTACAAAGGAGCTCACCCTCCTCCGGTATGAAGAAAGCAAACAATTCCTCACTGGACCATGTTGCTTATCCTGTATTTTATTGTTTCATACTTTGATTGATCTAAGTAGGATGCAAATGATAAATGCAGTGGAACATGATGCCACAACATTACATGAAGGAACCAAATAATGCCTTGGTCATGAATAAGAAAATCATGTCTATACTTGCTGAGCGGGATGATGCTATTCGAGAGCGAAACATAGCTGTTTCTGAAAAGAAGGAAGCCCTGACTGCACGAGATGAGGCCCTCCAGCAGCGGGATAAGGCACTTGCTGAGCGGGATAGTGCCTTAATGGAGAGAGATAATGCTTTGGCTGTGCTACAGTATCGGGAAAATGCCATGAACTTCCCTATTGGTAGTGGTATCCAGCGTGGAGGAAAACACATGCACCCCACATACCATTCAACTGATATGGGGAAAACTCTCAAGGGTGAAATGCACATTACTGATGCTCTCCCAGTATCTACCATTGCTTCTGAAGAAGGCAAGCCTTGTCCTGTAAAGCAGACAAAGGAGAATAAAACCGTTTCATCGAAACCACCACGAAAGATGAAGAAAGTGGCTGAGGATTTAAATAGGCAAGCTGGTACTGAGGTAAAGAAGTGTAAATCTGAGTGGAATGCTCAGGATATTGGGTTGAACATGGTAAACTTTGATGCAACCACAATGCCTGTGCCAGTTTGCTCCTGCACAGGAGTTCGCCGTCAGTGCTACAAGTGGGGAAATGGTGGATGGCAGTCATCTTGTTGCACTACCACCATGTCATCATACCCATTGCCACAGATGCCAAACAAGCGCCATGCCCGAGTGGGTGGCCGGAAGATGAGCGGTAGTGTCTTCACAAAATTGCTTAGTCGTCTGGCTGCTGAAGGCCAAGATCTTTCAATACCACTGGATCTCAAGAACTATTGGGCTAGACACGGGACAAATCGCTACATCACCATCAAGTAGCTTGTATAATTATTTGAGCATGGACTACGGTTCTGTTTTGGAGACCCTCACACTGGTGCAGTCTAACCCAAAGATTCGATGGAGCTAGGATTGAATTGCATGAAAAGGGATGGAGCTTTTTGGTAAAAGGATTTTCTTTGCTCCATCGATGTAGGTTTTTTGTGATTCCTATAATGTTAATCTCTGATTTATTGGAGCTTACACATGTTGCTGTCTAGATGGCCAGAACAAAGTGGTTCTTTTATTTTCAGTCACTCATATTCTCTTGGTAATCTTTAGAATCCAAATGGCCTTCTGGCATCCTACAAAAGATCATTTCATGCATGCAAACAGACCCAGGAGCAGATGCGTCTTCACGCTACAATATTTAGGCCTGTGTGTTACGTGTTGAACCCATCAACCTTTGAAAAATGCTTAGGTTATAAACGCATTGATAAGATTGACACGCATGATAACAAATCAATTGCCGTTTCTCATTGATGCTAATGTTAGGCCTATCAATTATCATGCTGGTTGTCTTGAGAGCAAACTGTTATCGAAATTAAAGTGAACCTGGGGTTGAAAAACCTGTAAGAAATCTGGTTTCAAAGGGTAAAAATGTACAGAATCATGAATCGTGCTCGTATGCAACAATGCTTAACCATTTTATTGATGACAGCCTAATGTTTTATCAGAATAATGGAAGATGAAACATCTGATTAGACTCATCATGGTCAAGAGGCCTTAAGTTCTTCTCAGAGGCATCAAGTTTAACAAGTAATGACCAGAATCGAAACTAGCATGTTTGTGCTGAAGTTTGTTGACCCAAATATAGGTGTAACACTTATCGTTAGACTTGATACTTGAAAGCCCCGAAAAGATAGTATCAAAACGATCATAACTGCATTGATTTTCAATATTGGAATTAGGATTTGGTGCTTATCTTTTGCCCTGTTTCAAATTTAAATTTTGCACCAATCTTATCATCCTTCTTTACTGTCCATCTTCAATCCAACAACGTCTACTTCTCCACATTTGCTCCATCTGACGTTCCTTCATGCACGCTAATATGATCCAAGAAGCTGGTCCTCATACCCAAAGATCGACGTGGATAACCAATATTAACCATTTCTTTCATCTGCCAAACCGAAAAATCTACACCCTCTTCATCATCAGCAGCACTGCCACCTTCTCTTTAGGCATTGCAATGATAGTTCAATGGGTCTTGTACGGCCAATACCACCTAGAAGGTTTCCATTGGATGGTCTATAGTGCTTCGGCCATAACATCGTTGCCCATCCTCATATGGATCATCTTTCTGCTCTTTGCCATACGCTTCCATGCATCACCATCCTCCAACCTCCCAAAACCGCAGGCTCATCAGCAGACAGACACCGAGGCAGCCGCTGCTCAGGATGACCTAGCTATGGTGCAAACAGAAATTCTTAATGATCATCCATCTGGCTTGAATGAAGAGCAGCCTGCATGTGAAAGCCTGATACCAGTTTCTCAACCAGGGGACAATATTGATAACAAGCAAGCTCTGAAACGAACACTTTCTTTGCCTTTGTCACACGTTCCTGCTGATTATAGCAACTTTAAGCGTTCAACGAGTCTTAAACAATGAATAATATTATATCAGGTAAGTTGCTTTAACAATTTTTAGTTCCTATCTCTTTGTTTATTGATCTAGTATTTAATCTAAAATGGCAGTTGATAAAAATTTTGTACAAAAAAATAACTATTTATGTTGTTTATTTTGATCATGCTAATATGATTGTTTTGATGGCAATGGTTTGGATATACGTTTATTTTCAAATATCTATAACCGAAATCTTTTAATATTAAAATATCTACAATCTATCCAAAATTATTTAATAGTATCTACTAATTATCCAAAACCATTTATTTTATAGACATTCATTTAAAAACCCATACTATTGATTAAAAATTTAACTCAAATTTTATTTTCAATATGTTTACTTAGTTTGTATTTCAATTTTAACTTTCAATGAATCATAACACATTATTTTGTTGTATTTTAATAAAATTATAACTCAAAACTAAATCATTAAGTGTGAAAAGAATGAATGGTTTAACAAAAGTTCAAATCTCTACATTTATAAAAAATTAAAAAAAAAAATTGCCTGTGTGGACATCCACGGAAATAATTTATTTTAATTTACATACCGACAAATGTGGCACAAAAAAATTATAAGGGGTAAACTCAAAAACCTTACCGCCCATTAAAAAAAAAAAAAAGGAGTACATTTGCTTTTCAAACGACGTAGTTATAGCGTTTGCCTAAGCACGACGTCCTTGTCCTTGTCTTACAGGCCACATCCATGAAAAAGCGGCCTCTCCCTATCACATTATTAATGGGTTTGCCTAATTCTAAAGTGGGCCCAACCCAAAAAGTGGGCTGTAATTTTGCTTTAGTTGTTGCTGATGATTGACAACTGCTTAAATTTAAGTGGATAAGCTTTAGCATGGCCTTAGACGTACCCAAAATTGCCACGTGTTAAAGGCGATATTAAGGTATTTATTAATACGTGTCAATATCATCGACCCCTCGGTAATCCTGTCAAACGTGAAGATGCCATCAACGTTACGCTCGTGCCACGTGGATAACTAACGCATTTTCCGGGATATGTGGATCAAAGTTTTAATTTGTAAATCTCATTATGACAATTTACGTACATCTCATTTTCTTAGTATTTTCTTAATCTATTTCAAAATTATTTTTCATCTTTTTCTAATTTTTGACATAAAAATAAAAATATTAATATTATAAAACATACATCTCATTTTCTCTGTATTTTCTTAATATATTTCAAAATTATTTTTCATTTTTTTAATTTTTAACATAAAAATATAAAATATTAATCATATACAATTTTTATAAAATTTAATATTAAATATATTATAATCATTTTTTTTAATTCCACGATTTAGATATGAGATTTTTATAAGTTTTCACAAAAATTTTTAAATTTTGCTAATAAAATTGGAAGTTTGTTTCATTCCATGTTCATTAAATTATAATTAAAAATATATATAATTACATTGACATGCAAAATCTTTTAAAATTTTTATTATGAAATTTAACAATTATAATGTTAAATATATAAAATAATAATTTTTTTATCATAGCACATTGGTACGTGGAGCAACATTGGACCCCAATTTTTTTGGACTTATGTTTCAATAATTGTGGCTCACTATTTTATATTTAGATGATTTGAAAGGTGAAAGGTTGATATGATAAATTATGTGTTTGTTTTGTATAAAATATTAATAATTTGTATATTTATATTATATATATTTTTTATATTATAATTTATATTAATATAAAAATATAAAATATATTTTGTTGTTTTGTTAAATTTTTATATAATTTTTATTAAAAATTTAAATTATGTTAATATTATATTTTTGTTTATGTCATTTTTATGTTTTAAATTATCAAATTTAATAAAAAGTGAAGAAGAAAAAGTTTGATACTTTATGTATTCAATAATTTTCATTCATTCACATGTGAAGTTGTTTGTATTAATAGACATCAATTCAGCCTTTAGTTTTGAAAATGATTTCAGATAATTTTTATCAAGCTATAGTAACATGGTACTGTTGTAAATTTCATAGATAATTTAAAATTACTGAAATTTGAATAAATATTTAATAATAGTTCTTATTTAAAAATGTCAAAATCATTTTTATTATTTTTGGTCATACGTGCATTACCCTTAATTATTCAGTCATTAACCTTTTTTAATGATGACAATAATAACAATTATTCATTTTGTTAGCTATAAATATCTTTATTTTAGGTAAAATTTACTATTTTTTTATAAAAAAAAGTCATAAAATGAAGATCGAAGATTGAATTATAAATATTAAAATTTAAATTTTATTACATAAAATGATTATATAAAATAATTAAATCAAAATTTGAATTTGATTAAATTTATCATTTATTTTTTACAATTTGGTGAAAACATATTAAATTTTTTTGCTGAAAATTGTTGCGTATGTAAGCTCTAAGTTACAGCAACATTGTTATCCGGTACAACAGACGACAGAGTTTGGTTGATTACAATAGAAAATATCTGTCACTTATTGTTTTTGTCAAGAAACATTAATAATTTGGAAAAGACTAAAATGAAAATGTAGAAAATTTTAACTTATGAGACAAGCAATGTTAATCTTCACGAATGTTAGTTAAAAGGCTAGTGGATAACTAAAAAGGAAGTCTACTAGCCTTGTATTCCACGTTTTGCTTTAAATAATATATATATGCATTTCTTGCAATGGGGATTTAAAATTTACTAAAAATATACATTACTTTATTATTATTATTATTATTTAACAATGGACAAAGAACTTATTAATTTAAACCAATGTCAAACAATGTACATTCTCCCATGATGTAACGGTGATATCCACATTTTTTTTGTAAATAATTTTTTTATGGAAATTCATAATTACGAGAATAAATAAAAAATTTTAAGTGTTGAAATTTGAAAATTAAGTTTATTTAATGTTATTTTAAAAATATATTTATATAAATTAATTAAATTTTAAATTCAATGTAATTTATTTATTTATTTAATAAGAAATTATTTAATACATTAATAATAATAATTTTTTATTTCACAAATAAAATTAAAATGATGATATATATCTTATTTTTTAAAATATATATTAAAAATATGTGTCATTATTCTTAATCTTTTATTTTAACGTGTTTAATATAATTTTTTTATTTTATTACGTGAAATAAATTTTATTTTCTTTCTTTTGTTTTGTCCTTTTGGTCAAAGACAAGGTTTGAAATTACACATCAACCCAGTGCCAGAAAAAAATTCACATCAACCCACAAGATATTTATTCTTGTTTTTGAAATTTCTGAAACATAAAACAAGGTTGTTGAACGCATTAATTTTTGGCTAGAGACAATGTTTTCCTTACAGTAGTATGTACTATTTGGTAGCACCACTTCTTTTCGGACTATACCATTTCCATCAGGTAAGACAGCAAGTTTTTTTTTTTTTTTTTTTTACGAACAACAAAGGGAATGGCCATAATGAATAACAATGAGCATATTTTAGATCACAAACCTTTAAACAAACCACTGGTTAATGTTGCATAATCTTGATGCAACATAATCACGATAAATAAGTTTACATCGAAGGTAGGTTTTTAATACAAAATTTAATTTTATCCAATTAAAATATTTAAATCAGAATATATAAATTTTGTGATTATAATTAAATCACTTCAAAATTTCGTGATAATTCTCGTGAAGTCGGTCTATTCGGATAAATAAAAAAATAAATACTGTTAATTAGAGTTTTGCTAAGAAAAAAAAGGTGAGGTAACTCTGTTTAACATTCCTTTACGTAGGGAAGAGGAATAAAAATAATATAGTAATAGTAAATTATCAATTATTATAGGAAAAATATATGTGTGTACCTTAAACTTAATTAATCTTATTGTAACATAAAAAATGCCAAACCCATATCGACAATTGATGGGACAACGTAAAACCTCGTTTGCAAACATGTCCTTTTCCTTACAAGAATCCATTTTGAAATGGGGGACTTCCTTCCAAATTCGGGGTTTACAGTGAAAACTACTGTTGTAATTTCGACCACCAACCATGTGCATGCTGCAGCAAGAAACAAAAAAGAAGAGTTTTCATGAAGAAATTCGAGAAGGCAAGCAAAATGATTGATTGGTTGGTTGGCTGGTTAAAATTTCTCCATTGGGAAACAAGTTCTTGGCAGCAAACTTAACGACTGGCAAGAATTAAGGAAAAGTTGTTACCATTCAACATTGCATTTGTGAGTTTGGTGATATTGTGAATTTGTAATCCTAACTTTTGAAGCCATTTTTTGAGAGATTTTCCTTTGATTTTCTCCTAGAATTGGAAATAAATTTTCTTTCTTTATTTCAATGGATATGCTTTGTAAGGCTAATCGGATTAATTGCACACGATCAAGAGTACTATGGGAAATTCCAAACAGTTTTTCTTAAAATTTTGTCTTTATAATATAACCGAATGACAGTGAGATATTAAGATACCATGAAGGCAACTCTTTTAATTTTATTTTTATGTTAAGCCATTTTCAGTGTAATAAATTTAGTGATGGATTCCGGATTTTTACAGTGTTCAAAATTTATTCATTGAAAAAATATCGATAAATTTATTTTATTAATACATTTGAATTTGATTAAATTATGATATCGATGAATTTAAAATTTAATTTAATTAATTTATATAATTATTATAAATAATATTTAATGAATTTAAATTTTAAATCCCATCATTTACAATTTTTTTTTAATTCTTAAATTATGGTCTTCGTTATGCCCAAAAATTAATAATGACATTGACCCGAGCAGCTTCATCATTTTGGCGAATGGTTGTGAGATATTATTGAAAGAAAAATCTACAAATGATGGATTCTTTTACTTAATTAAAAGAAAAGGCAAAGATTAATATATATCCTTTTGGTAACAACAGCATGGACCTGTCTGTTGGTAACTTAGAACTAGGATCAATGACATAATATTTTTAAACATTATTTTTTTTTATAAGAAAAATTTAGAGATAAATTATTCAATTTTTTAAATTAAAATAAGATATATCATATTTGATAATTTAAAATAAATTATTATAAATTATACATTAAAGATGATTTTAATAAATAATTATTAAATGATCTTAACTTATTAAAATAATTATTTATTGATATTTTAAAACATTATTAATAGAATAAATGGGGCCATCCATTTCTTCTATATCTTTATGTCAGTCAGTCACAAGAGTAAAAGGCAGAAGAAGGTGAAAGTTAGGTTGTAACTTTTTCTCATTATAATTTATTATTTCTCTTTGGTGGTGGGGGCTTAGAATTAATCATTACTGATCATCAAATGTTTTAAGTCAAAAAATAAAAAAGTTTGCCCAATCAAAGGCAACTCTTGAATTATTAGAAGTTTTAGAATTGATAATTTAAAATATAATATAATAATATGATATAAATATAGTATAAAAATAAAATATAAAATTAATATAATTTAAAATTTTATTAATAATTATATATAAATTTAATAAAATTTAAAAAATATATTTTATATTTTTATGTTAATATAAATTATAATAAATAATTTTTATATGCTTTTATTTTGAGTTTTTGCGTTATTTAAATTGTAATATCATACGAAAACTTAAGATTTAATATTTGATTTCGATTCAATTAAATTTGAATTTTAGTAAATTTAAATTTAAATTAAATTTAAAAGTTAATAAATTTAAATTCTTATAATTTCCAATTAATCTTTTTGAACTTGGATAAAATATTTAAATTTGAATCAACTTTGCAATATTGACGAGCGAGAAATATTATATCTTTATCTTAAAATTTTATATTATTTATACGTAATATCATTATTTTTGTTTTTTATTTTTAAATATGGATTATTTAACACGAATCAAAGAAAAAATGTAATATAAAGTAATATTCCAACTGATTGGAATTGATAATGATGATAAGGATAAAAACTTTTCCCCTTTTCTTGATAATATTGCTAGGGATTGCTTCTAAACGCTAGTAAATTGTAATACAAGTTCATTGTATATCTTATCTAATGCATTGAGATTAAAATATTGGAATGATAATTTTTTTTAATCTATATTATTTGGCAAGAATACCAACAACAACTTTGTTTCTATGTTCCAGAAAAAAAAAGTATAATTTAAAAAGAGTCGAATCCATTAACAAAACGTGCATGCATTGCTTAATTTGAAGTTACTTGTTCCATTGGTCAAATAGAATAGCTTTTTCTTGAAGTTAAACTGTTGAGTTAAATAGGAGCTTTAAAATACAAGAAATCCCTAAATTCATAATTTGAAAAATAAATTGGATTTAATTGTTGTTGTTTAAAAAATAATAATTTTTTTTATATTTGAAGTTATAAAAATTTAAAATTTAATAATTTATCAAATATTAATAGATTTTGTAGGGTTTTCGAGCATTTTGTTAGGAGAAAATCATTGCTGAATGAGCTGCGGAGACAAAGGTGTGAGATTGTCAAATTAGGTCGGAATCAAATTGAAATGCAAAACCCAAATGCAAATTCAAACCAAATTTCTTTCTTCATTTCACGCGTCGATTACGTGCATGTCATGAAATCCGTGTCCCATCCAATCTCCCAAACCAAAAAAAAAAAAAAAAGGGATTTTCATTTTTCTAGAGAGAGAGAAAGCATCCTTTTCTTTTGTCAAAGTTTCTAGAGCGAGAAACCCAAACCAAAAAACGATTTTTTTTAAATTTTAAATAATATTTTCCATTTTTAAATAGATTTTCCCCTGTGGAACAAGGAGAGAGAAAGCGCCTGCCGCTAAATTCGGCGGAGATTTTAGTGGTAGTGCCACCTTGCTAACTTGCACCAGCTCTGCCCACTGGATATTGCTAAATTACGCTGGGCGGCCATTTTTTTCTCTTTGTTTTTGCTCATTTACCCCTTGCTTTGACCGTATATTTACAAGGTACTTAAAACATTACTACCATATTCTTGCTCCATTCTTATTAATTTTAATGGGTTTCTTTACCTCTCTTCCTTTTCTATTATCTTGTTCTAAATTCAGCTGATTTTGCGTTACTTTTTTATTTCTACTGTGAAATTTTCTTTATCTCTCATTTTGCAGATTCTGGCGGGTTTGATTTTGTTATATTGTTGCTGTTTTTGTTTTGGAGTGAACTGGGTTAAGCTTGACTTGACCAAAGTTTTTATCTTTGGTGTATTTTTTTTTTCCTTTTGCATTGTTATTGTTTGTGAGGAAGAAATGGGTGACAATGAAGAAGGTAACGCTGATGTGATGCAAAGGATTCAGTCTTCATTCGGAACATCGTCATCTTCAATTCCTAAACAACATTTATCAATGAACCATCTTGAAATACCTCAGTTGAATCCTAATGAAATCAGGGCTGCTAGAAATTTCTCTCATTTTGGCCAAAACTTTAATGGTGGTGCTGATGCTACTAATAAAAGAGTTGGTATCCCTCCTTCGTACCCTAACCAGATCCCACCCATTTCACCTTATTCACAGATCCCCGTGTCCCGCCCGTCAAACCAGCAAATGGGTTCTCAGAGCTTTAGTCCGGGACCTACTCATTCTCGGTCTCTGTCTCAGCCTTCTTCCTTCTTTTCACTTGATTCATTGCCCCCCTTAAGCCCTGCCACGTTTCGTGATTCTTCACCTATGGCGGTTTCAGACCAAATTTCCACTGATGTGTCTATGGAAGATAGGGATGCAGCTTCGCATTCTTTGTTGCCACCCTCGCCTTTTTCTAGGGGTAATTCTCCACGGGTTGGAGAGAGTTTGCCCCCTCAAAAATCACATAGGCGGTCTAATAGTGATATTCCATTTGGATTTAATATGATATTACAATCTTCGCCATCTCTTATTCCGTTAGGAGGGGCCGGTGGTTTGCAACGATCGGTGTCTGGTAAGGAAAATTCGGGAGTGCCTAAGCCAGCCCAGTTGGTGAAAAAGGAAACGAGTTGGGAGAGAGGTGCTGATGGCAATGTGGAAGGAATGGGTGAGAGGAAATCAGAAGGGGAAGTCGTGGATGATTTGTTTTCTGCTTATATGAATTTGGATAATATTGATGCGTTGAATTCTTCTGATAATAAGAACATTGGTAATGAGAATCATGAAGATTTGGATAGCAGAGCAAGTGGAACAAAGACCAATGGAGGTGATAGCAGTGATAATGAAGCTGAAAGCATTGTGAATGAAAGTGGGAACAAGGCACCACGGGGTGGAATAAATTCAACTGAGAAGAGGGAAGGGATCAAAAGGAGTGCAGGAGGAGATATTGCTCCGAGTGGTAGACATTATAGAAGTGTTTCCATGGATAGTTTTATGGGGAAGTTGAATTTTGGTGATGAGTCTCCAAAATTACCACCTTCACCTGGAACTCGTCTTGGACAACTCTCGCCTAGCAATTCAATTGATGGGAATTCTGCTGCCTTTAGTTTGGAGTTTGGAAATGGTGAGTTCAGTGAGGCTGAATTGAAGAAAATTATGGCGAATGAAAAGCTTGCTGAGATTGCAATGACTGACCCAAAGCGTGCAAAGAGGTATCCTAGTGTTCAAGTCTACTGCTTTACCATACATAATAACTTTTTAATCATAGAAAAATATTCCAATTAACTTATTGGTTGGTCCTTTTAAGGATTTTGGCAAATCGTCAATCAGCTGCCCGTTCTAAAGAACGGAAGATGCGGTATATTTCAGAGTTGGAGCACAAGGTTCAGACTCTGCAGACTGAAGCTACCACATTATCTGCTCAGCTAACACTTTTGCAGGTGGGGGATTTAGAGCACAGCATGTTATAGCAATATTCCCTACTTTCCCTTTTCTCATTTCTCATCTTCAACTTTAAATTGATGTAGAGAGATTCTGTTGGGCTGACAAATCAGAACAACGAGTTGAAGTTTCGTCTTCAAGCCATGGAGCAACAGGCACAACTTCGTGATGGTATAATCTGATTTTCATTTTTCTTAGAACTTTAGCATTTTTCTTTTGACAGAAGAAGTATTTAGATTTTTATGTTGTGCAGTTATGGATGACTGATTAGATGTGTAAGGCAATTTAGCTCTTTGATTAGCATGCTTTAAATGAGTGTTTTTAATACTTCTGTTAGAGTGTCAGTTTTAATACATTGATCTTCAAGTTATTGTATTGAGAAAAAATTCACTTGTATGCTCCCAGCTGTTCATGCTACAAATTTGGTCCTTGAATTATAGCTGTTTCAGGGGAACAAAAAGGAAAAAAGCTCTCATATGCTAGTGTCACATGCTTCTTACTATCTTATGTGCTGTTTTTTGTAATACTGCAAATATGCAGCTTCTACTTTTTTGGAACTATTGAGGAAGAAAGCTTCATAATTTTTCGTGTGCAATGTTGCAAGCCTTCATAATTTTTATGGTATGCTTTAGGAAATATATTATTGTACTTTAAACCAATTATTGTTACTCCATTGCTCTTTTTTTTTTTTTGCCCCGGGGGGGGGGGTGGTGGTGGTGGTTCAGAGTTCATTGCATTTTCTTTGCACTTTCCAATATCCTTATATTAAGTATCTTTGAGGGGAAGAAGTTTCAAAGATGGGAAGTGAGGTGCCAAAATATGAAAATATTTTTATGCATTAAGGTTAATGCTGTCAAGAAATTTGAGAAGGTGCTATTCGGAAAGTTGTGGGCACTTTGAAACAGTGCAGTTTCACTTATAAAATGCTAAGATTTGCTGCATCATGTTGAAGGTACATGTTGGATACAGTCATTTTTTGAATTGAAATTATAAATTTTTATTGTATAATGGCCACAGCTGGAAGCTTAAAATGCACCCAAAATCATATTGTATTGTTTAGGCCAAAAGTCCTGGAAACCATGTCGTATCTGTTTGCATAGCTCTAGTAAGATGGTGGAAATATCATAATATTTGTCTAATAAAATAAATGCCGCATGCTTGTGCCTGCTTTTTTTTGGGGCCACCGCCTTTTGCCGGCTGTCTTCAAAGTCTCATACATGGTAAAAGATTAAACCTGCTGATCTTTGTGGTAGCTTTTCTCAGAAGTGGAGGCAGTGGTGGGCATGTACATCTTCCTAGTTCGTTCTTTTAATAACTAGTTTGAATCTGTTTTATCAAGTTGAACATCCTACAACCGCATTGCATGAAATTTTATACTTCAATAACATATCCCTTATTCTATTGTTTTGCGTTTGGACAGCTCTAAATGAAGCATTAACTGCAGAGGTCCAGCGATTAAAGCTTGCTACTCAAGAGCTACGTGGTGATTCTGATCCCTCCAAGGGCATGGTTTCGCAGCAGCTTTCTGTTAACCACCAGCTGTTCCAGCTTAACATTCCTCGTCCATTCCAGCAGCAGCAGCCGGCACAGCCCCAACAGCAGAATGTTAACACAACCGCAAAAACTGAGTCGAATCAGTAGCCTGTGACTCTTGGAAGAGTTAAAAAGTCAAGATGCGTATTCCACTATGTTATTATTCCGTAATATCTTTCACATGCATTCATTCATTAGTTTTCGAGCTCCAACTTCAAGGAGGTTTATGGTTTGTGGTAATTACTGTTCAACCTTGCATCAAATATCCATCCCGGATCCTGGAATGAAGTAACATACAGCTTTAATAATCATAGCTTTTATTTATTTATGGTAGATAATCATATTGGAATGTAATCATTAAGTTGACATGATTTGTTGCATAAACATTAGAAGAGTTGATTCAGTTTTTTTTTTTTTTCCTTTATCGTTTCGGTAAGGAGTTGGGTATTCGTTTAACTGTTTGCCTATTGGCTTGCCCTGTTTGTTCTTCATTTTCACTTATCGGTGCTTCCATTCAACCTGTAAATTTCTGGTTTCGAAGTTCAACATTGCACCAAATGAAGCAAATCAAACTTTTATTCTGTGAGGAAAAAAAAAAAAAAGAAGCTTGTGATTCATGCCTCATTTCTTGTTTTTGGATGTATCCGAAAGATGTTAAGGGAATCCTAAATTTGAAGCAACCTTAAAATGTTGGTCTTCGAGAATCTGTCTAAGCAGACCATCATGCATGAAATTGGGAATTTGAGGCAATTATTCTGAAACCTTTCCTCCTCAAAATCAGAGAAACAAAGATTTATAGAATCTGTTTGTATCATGGTTACCCGACACCATAAATGGGATTGGAAAAAAAATAAAAGTAAATTCTATGTATACCTTCAGAGGTTTGCACTTTTTTATAAACATTTCATGTGAATCGTTTCTCACCGATTCATTTTCGTTATCATAAGAAGTAATAGCGTCAAAAATAAAGATAAAGGTAATTTTGTCATTTCACTAACATATAGTTGACTTTTGATATTGTTATCCATTTTAATAAAGGAAATGAATCATAATGTTATAAATTAAAAAAAAAAATCACAAACAGGTGTAAATAAAAAAGATGCAAATCAGTGGAGTTCAAAAAAACCGATGGGAACTTGCTTTTGTTTGTTAAGGTAGGGGCGTTTGGGGGCTTTTTCTAGGCCTGGCTTGATTCATTGCATTTCTAATCAAGATCGTCCATACCACGAATTTATTGGATTTTGTGTTTAGGCCCGCAATTAAATTTAATATTAGTAGTAATAATTATGGAAATTCATTAATATGTCAGGATGGCCGAGTGGTCTAAGGCGCCAGACTCAAGTTCTGGTCCTCGATAGAGGGCGTGGGTTCAAATCCCACTTCTGACAATTCCCTTTTTAGCTTACTGTGCTATTAAGGACGTCGTTTGGCTTCTCGCTACCGTCATTGAAGAAAACGGCACTTTGTCCACGTCGTTTTGGTTTGCCCCCTGGCTCGTTCAACCAAAAAAAAACCCCCACGTAAGAATTACACACTAACCAGTAACCACTCCGCCTTACTGGGAACAAAACTCACTGACTGCTGGAAACAGACGGCGAATTGAGTTCGTTCACCGAGTGAACTCGCCAGCGATGGACGAGTCACCAAAAGATATCTATGTTGTAACAAGTTTGGAAACGAAAGCGGTCCCATCTTCGCACCCGCCTTCAAACTCAAATGGAACTACTCGACAAACACCGGAAGAGCTGGTGGCCCGAGCCATTGCCCCAATAAAACGAGAGTTTCTTCGACCCCCACTGCCCTCTAGAACTACCCAAAACGACACCGCCTCCGACTCCAACGCCAAGCAATCTCAATCCAACGTAGTCAAGGAAAAGAAATCAAAACGACAGCTCAAACGAGAGCGTCGTCAGGTTCCAAATTTCTCAACCTAATTTAGTTTCTTATGCTACAAAAAATGCATTTAATTTAATTTCTCAGGCAGACTTTTTTTTGGGTAGTTGCAACTTAAGTGGTCATTAAATATCGTTTTTTTTTTTGGTCTTCAGGAACAAAAATCTGCTTTAAATCTATGTCCAGAGATAGCAAAGACCGGAGATGCTAATGCTTGTCCCTATAAAGATAAATGTCGTTTTAGCCATGACATACAGGCCTTTATGGCTCAGGTATTTTAGTGTCCATTTCCTGAATTTAGGATTTGATCAATTTTAGCTAATTGGTTTTTTTTTTTTTTTTTTTTTTTTTTAGAGATATAATAAGTAGTTTTTGTTTTGTTGGATGTAGAAACCGGCTGATTTGGAAGGTGAGTGCCCATTTGTAAAAGCAGATGCACCGTGCCCTTATGGTTTGGCCTGTAGGTTTGCAGGCATGCATGAGCATGGTGCTTCTGCTGCAAGTGCTACTGCTAATGTGTTGAAGAAAAACTCTGAGGTCAATGGACTAAGCAAAGATGTTCAGAAACTTTTGTGGAAAAACAAAATACGCTTTACTAAAGCGGATGCTGTAATCAAATCTCTTGGACTCACGGTATGATGAACCAACAGTTTATTTACTGATAGGCTATTCTTAATGTTGTCACTTATTCATTAATAGGCTTTATTTTGACGTTACTTGCTATTATATGCATTTTGCATGTATTTGGTTAAATTTTCTAATGAACTCCAACTTCCTTGATAAATTTGTGTTTTTAGCATTTCCACATCTTTATCTGGTTCTAATCCTAATGAATTTGTTTGAAGATCTTTATTTCTGCTGTGTTTGTTCATTCCATCATGTTTTATCATCATGATTTGTTGTTATTATCAATACAATAATTCAGGGGCCCAACTGGAAAATTAAGAAGCTGATAGATAAGGAGGAAGACGAAGTTGTTTTAAATAGTTCTCACGTTGCGGATGATTCAGTTGATTGTTCTGAATGTCCTCCTCCAACACTTTCAGCAGCAGATAATGCTCAGGAGGCATGTGCAACTAATGAGCTTAGACCTTCAAAGAAAGCAAAATCTGTAGTTGATGAAAGGTGCTCTGATGAAGTGGTGGATGGTAGTCTTCTTGTGGATTTTATTCTATGCTAATTTTTCCACAATTTAATGATGTTCATGACTAAGTTATGTAATTCAACAGGTGCAACTGTTCTGGAGAAGGATATTGAAAAAAATTCTACAGATACTGAATCTGTTCATACGGTCAATGATTTACTTGCAGAACCTGATAGGAGCCTCAAGATACACCCTCGTGAAAAGAAGCTTATTGATTTTAAAGAAAAGCTGTATCTTGCTCCTCTAACCACTGTTGGGAATCTTCCTTTTCGTAGGGTTTGCAAAATGTTAGGAGCAGATGTGACATGCGGTGAAATGGCAATGTGCACCAATCTTTTGCAGGTTTGTATATCACTTCTGCCTAGTGATTTGTGCATCAGGGGCAAACTGCCAGTTTAGCTTTCAATAATAGTTGGAAATTGGAATAATAGGCTGTGATTTGCAGGTTAAGTACAGCCAGTGGAATGAATAGGCATAATATTTTTTCTCAGCCAGGCAACGCAAACAAGAAATTAGTGATATGTCTTGCAATAATAAGCTTGCTATTGGTATATGCATATTGATCGGGAACTAAAATTTAATAGTTAAACTTCTTTTTTAGTGGTTCTTCTGGTGGCTTTTTCTTGTTTTAATTTTTGTTATTATAAAAATGTATTCTATGCTTCGTATGTGAGGTTCTCTGAGACCCTTATTCTGTGGCAACAGGGTCAAGCTTCAGAATGGGCTCTGCTGAGGCGACATTCATCTGAGGATTTGTTTGGAGTCCAGATATGTGGGGCACATCCTGACACTATAGCACGCACTGTTGAACTTATAGATAAGGAGTGTGCACTGGACTTCATTGACATTAATATGGGGTGCCCAATTGATATTGTTGTTAATAAGGGTGCTGGATCTTGTCTTCTCACAAAACCTTTACGTATGAAAGGCATCATTGAAGCTGCTTGTGGCACTGTAGATAAACCTATAACTGTTAAGGTACTTGGTGACATTTAGATTATTAGTTTATTCATATGCATGCCTATGTCATTTTACATGTAGGCTCAGTTGCTCCTATTTTGTTCAACTTTTTTTCAACCTTTGTTTATCAAGCTTGCTCCTTTTTCCCTCTTCTTTACATGCACCTGTTACAATCATCAGGCAATTTCAAGAAAAATAATTGTAACTTTTATTATGCCAGGTGAGAACAGGTTATTTTGAAGGTAAAAACCGCATCGATTCATTAATTGCTGATATTTACAGTTGGGGTGCTACTGCAGTGACAATACATGGTCGATCACGACAGCAACGCTACAGTAAACTTGCTGATTGGGATTATATCTACCAGTGTGCTCAGAAGGCCCCTAGTGCACTGCAAGTTTTGGGGAATGGGGATATTTTCTCACATTTAGATTGGAACAATCACTTATCTGACTGCCCCAAGCTCTCTACGTGTATGATTGCTCGAGGGGCATTGATTAAAGTATGGTATTTAGATTTTAACATGTTGAATCTCCTTGACATTCTATCTGAAAGCATTCCATTATTTATCATACTGCTGAATTGTGCTTTAGAGAATTTTAGCTGGTTATAACAGCTAAGGTGCATTGCAGCCTTGGTTATTTACTGAAATCAAGGAACAGAGGCACTGGGATATCAGTTCTGAGGAGCGGTTGAATATTCTGGAGGACTATGTGCGTTTTGGCCTAGAACATTGGGGATCTGACAAAAAAGGTATGCAATAATACTTCAATGGACATTATTAGACATACAACATTCAGAATGAAATATATATATATATATATATATATAATTTAGTTCAAATTCTTGTATATTAGCTTACTGAAGAGTTAATGACAACATTGTGCGGGTATTATGTTATGAGAAACATTGTTCTTTCTATCTGTTGTGAATATTAAGTTGATAAAATAGGAACATGTTTCTTTCTATTGTAGCCTAAACTGTTGATATTAGCCTTATCCTTAATTAGCGTCAAACAACCCCCATTCAAATTTTGGCTTCCTGATTGAAGTTGTGAAAGCATTCTGAAAAAAATTTATGATATTGTTTCTAATAAGGTTAGAGATGCCAAAATGTCTTGTAAAAAGTTTACAACCATTATTAGTACTATTTATACTGCTAGTTATGAACATATACTTTGTTATTGAACAACCATTATGGTTTAAAGTTTTCTGGAATTTGACTGAATTTGCAGGAGTGGAAACAACTAGGCATTTTTTGTTGGAATGGCTTAGCTACACATGTAGGTATATACCTGTTGGTCTTTTAGATGTCATCCCTCAACGGCTGAACTGGCGTCCTCCTTCCTACTATGGACGTGATGATCTTGAGACACAAATGGCCTCTGATTCCGCAGCTGACTGGGTATGTCCAGTTATCTTGAATTACATCTCAGACTATAATTGTGCTACACACGATCCGCATTAATTTCTTCTTCACTTGTGCAGATCCGAATATCTGAAATGCTGCTTGGCAAGGTTCCAGATGGTTTCACATTTGCACCAAAGCACAAATCCAATGCTTATGATCGAGCAGAAAATGGATAATTTTATAATTTTGATAACTTCAGTTTCTGAGTCGCAGTTATATCACGGGAAAATATTCCGAGACATGTATCAATGAGAATAAAGAAACCTAAAGCAATAACATTTAAGTGCCGTTTGTGACTAGAACGATATATGTGCTTCATAAGAAATTTTCTTTTTGGTGGTCATCTTTTTTACGATGGTTTTGTGAATTCACTTATCACTATTCTTCACGTCTGTTATGAATAGAATATTGCCACCCAGGAGCACTGCCCAGTTCAAGGCCGAAGCACTTGGTCCGGGGCATGCCGCAGAGGCTCAAGCACTAGATCGCGGGAATGAGCCCCAGGGTGTAAGCTCGTGACACTTGCATCGTTTTCATTGGCAACCTTGGCCACCCATCAACACACAGGGTCATTGTTGCAAATTGATCAGACCACAACCAAACCAATGACAAAATGAAAGAGCTTGCTTTGATGTAACTAAACTGTTGTCTTTTCCAGCTGTTCTAGTCAGACTGATTGGAGGAGACATTAAGGTTGTTGGTGGGCCTAGATCTTGAATGGTACAAGGGATTTTCTGTTCTTTATGCCAAACAAAAACACAAAGCTTGCCTAAACCAGCAAAATCATTAACCAACCAATTAAATTCACTTCATCTAAAATCAGAAAGATCTCCCCTGGGGCAGATTTTATAGTCGCCATTTGTTTGGAAAGCAAGCTATTTTAACACAAAAATAGTTGAAAATGAGACGAAATTCCATTACTACTTGCCCAAATTAACATACTACAAGCATTGATGCAGCCATCATCCATCCCATCTAACCGTGACACTACAAAATCTGAGTCATTAATACAGCAGAAACCTTGCAATGGGTCCTTGCACCATACGGCCATACCATTAATAGAAGGGTGGGATATTCATGCCTTCCTCTTCCGGAATAAAATTACACGATTGACAGAAGGCTATCCCAGAAAATAGAATGAACCATGACTAGTAAAAGGCATAAACAAACACAAACATTCTTATAAAGGTAAATGCAAACAGCGGTCCACTCATTCTACAGACCAACGCCATAACGGGTTACTGAAAACTGCAAAAGCTCAGTCCGTTGATATAATTTAAGAAAAAGCATCAGTTATTTATTTATTCTCCTCAATTCCTCTCATAAACAAGAGCACTATTTGTGGTTCAGGATTCTTGAAGAATAAAATAATATAATTGATACAACCACCATTAAAAATCTGCGAAAAGAAACCAGTCAAGATGTATCAACAAACAGAGCTAGGTAATATAGATAAGATAAAGACAAAATATTTTAAAAATCTGTTAATATAATTTCAGTGCCTACTCCTCCATTCCATCTGACATTATTATCCTTACATCTCTAGTTTCAATAAAAACAGAAGCTCATACCACAAAGTGCAATGAAAAGGAAAATTTCAGTTGATTAATCATCTTCATTAATCTCTTTAAACAACATCATACCTTTGGCAAGAAGCAGGCTCCTTGATTTTTGTCCAAAAACTAAAAGGAAAGAAGTTGTCACTAAGAGAGTTCCAATACAACAAAATCCCTGTATAATATTGCATCAATCAAAAGTTCATCTAATTGCCCATTGTCTATTAGCAAAGAAAACAAACCCATATATTAATGAGATTAGTTTGCAGAAGTGAACGATGGGACAAAATTGTATAATCTTTAGATTGTAGAACCCTAGCTTGTTCAAGGAAGAAATAAATACTGTGATCAATTACCCAAGATATCTATCACTCACCACAAACATGATTGAAACAGCTAAATCTTGCTCTGTTGATACAGGGGATCAATTTCTTTCTCTACATTGAAATTCGGTGGACCTTTAACCCAACCTCCATCAATGGAATCAATAGGTCCATTCAACCCATCATCCAAGAAATCACCAACCCGTTTCACTTTAACCTCCCTTGGCATAACTGGGTACTTCCCAGAGAAGCAAGCATAACAAAAATTTGGAGAATCACTAGCCAACATCTTTTTCAGGCTCTCAAATGGCAGAAAAGCAAGTGAATCACATCCAATGAACTCTCTAATCTCCTCCACACTCATTCTATTAGATATCAACTCCTCAGAGCTTGGTGTGTCCACTCCATAATAGCAAGACCCAATGATAGGTGGGCTGGCAATCCTCATGTGAACCTCCTTAGCCCCTGCCTCCTTGATCAACCTAACGATTTTTGAAGATGTGGTTCCTCTCACAATTGAGTCATCCACTACCACGACCCTCTTACCTTCCAATACACCACGAACTGGTGAGAGCTTAAGCTTCACGCCAAAGTCCCTAATCTTCTGCGAAGGCTCGATAAAAGTTCTTCCAACATAGTGAGACCTGATCAGCCCTTGCTGAAATGGCACCCCTGCTTTGGATGCATAACCAAGAGCAGCCACCACCCCTGAATCTGGCACTGCAATCACGACATCACAGTCGACAGGAGCCTCAGTGGCAAGTATTTCCCCAAAAACATGTCGTGACTCATAAACAGACCTTCCAAAAACAACAGAATTAGGCAGAGCAAAATAGATATGCTCAAAAATACATTGTTTTGGTTCAGGGTGGCGCATCAAGCAAAGTGATTGAACTCCATCTTTTTTATCCACCACCAACACTTCACCAGGATACACCTCTCTCTCATATGTGGCCTCGATCAAATCAAGAGCACAAGTCTCAGATGCAAACACAACAGCACCATTACTCCTCCTTCCCATTACCAAAGGCCTGAATCCAAAGGGGTCACGCACCGCAACAAGCTTATCCTCAGTCACAAACACCATTGAATAAGCCCCTTCAAGCTTCTCACAAGCATCAACAATCCTCAAAAAGAAGGGCCTAGCCTTTGAAATAGCAATCAAATGAAGCACAACCTCAGTATCAGAACTAGTATTAAAAATTGAACCATTATCTTCAAGCATAGCTCTCAAAGCTCTATAGTTTACCAAGTTTCCGTTGTGTGCAACCCCAACAGACCCAAACCTGTAACCAGCAACAAAAGGCTGCACATTTTTTAACATAGAGGAACCAGCAGTTGAATATCTAACATGTCCAATAGCCATTTCACCAGGCAATTGATCAAGCTTAGACTCATTAAAGACTTCAGATACTAAACCGACCCCGGTAACTGATTGAAGAACATTGTTATTCACTGCTACAATACCTGCACCTTCTTGTCCACGATGCTGAAGCGCGTGGAGGGCCAAGTAGCAGAGACGTGAGGCTTCAGGGTCACCAAAGATACCCACAACACCACACTCTTCACGGGGCTTATCGTCATCATCAGTAAAAGAAGAGACAAAATAGTCTTCTGGGTCACTTTTGTTTGTTGAAAAGAAGTCAGAGATGGGGTTTTTAGAAGAGATGCTAAACTGGGGTTTCTGGGTATGAAAAACAGGTTTGCAAGGGAAAGAAGACGGTTGTGGAAGGATTTTTGGAAAGAGAGAAAAGGGAGTTTTTTGAGATGGGTTCAGAGCAAAAGAAGGGTTCTTGAAGATGGGTTTTGAGATAGTTGATGAAGAAGACAAAGGAGAGAGATTGGCGGTGGCTGCCATGGATGGTATCTGTTCAGTTTTAGGAGTTGCCTTGGAAGAAAGGGAGAGGTTGAAAGAGTTTAGCAGGAAGATGGTTTAAAAAGTAGAATGAATCGCTCTCTTATATCTCTCTTTCTAGGTTTTGGACTCCAGCAGGATCAAAGGAGCTTTGAGCGAGGTGGCTTTGTCACCACGAGATTCTCATTCAATTGAGGTCTGAGAATTTTGTTTTTAACTAATCTCACTGTTAGTATCAACACAAATAGTCTTTGTTCTTATTCTAAACTCCCAATAAGTAAGGGAAAAATCTGACCTTTATAAATAATTATTTTTTTAATTGAAGGATGTTATTTTTTTGGACCAGGAGGAATGTTAAATTAATAATTTATATTTTCAGTTAAATAGCTTCATAACAAATTATAAAAGTGTAATTATTGATTTTTTTTTTATATTTCATCCTTGATATATAATTTTATTTTTTAAAAAATAATTTAATTATGATAATTTTTTTTAAGAGACTTTAATTTTTCAAAGTATTACAAAGTAAATAGAACTCAATTTAACTTTGCATATTTTAATAAATATAAATTTTATGTCAAATAGATTTAAATATTTCTTCAAAGGTTTCAATTAACATTCAATACATGTGAAATATTAAATTTTCATTGTTAATGAGGTTTTATAATCTTAAAACCATAAACCAATTAACCCAAAATTTCGTACCTATATTTTAAAAGACTCGCAAGTAAAACTTAATTTAAACTAAAGTTCATATTACTCATCTAAACTCGAAAGCTTCTCAAGTATAATTTTTTTTTTTTTATTTTGTTTTTTCTGGAATCCATTTTCTTTAAGGGTGATTGTTATTCAACTTTAAAAAATCACAGTCAACCCTAATCTAAGGAGTGGTCCAAAGATTAGCAAAGAGGGCGGTCTAAATGTAGGAAAATATGTGATCTGAGGTTGGTTTTTTGAATAGAGAAGTGCTTTCGTTTGTAGGACACGCCATCGTCCTATAGCAACTAGCAGCCATAGGCCTTAACGCACGCCAAAGAATTTGGGCTCTTTGACCGTCGAATTTATCTTTTACTAATTCTAAGTTTTGTTGCATATTCTTTTTTTTTTTTTTTGATATATTTCACATTTTCATGACAACCCGGCTCTTTGCATCTGTCTTTTGATGAATGTAGACTCTCAAATTGCATTTAAAATTAACATGAGCTAAATGTTCTTAAGTCTTACTAGGTGATCGGATTATGTGTTTATATTCCAAGTGTTTATATACTATGTTTTATTCAATGTATTTAGATTATTATTATTATATACTTTTAAAATTTTCATCTTAAATTATTTTTAAAGTAAATATATAAATTATTAACATTTATGTAAAAAATATATTTTCAATTTTCTATGTCTAACGAATTTTTTCGTTTTTGACAACGGCTTTATTTGGCATGTGATTTTAAAAGGAAGCTTTTGTATAAAAATGGAAATGGCTTAGGTGTTAGGGGAATGAATTGTGAATGTACCTGAAAAAATCCAGCATGATTCCTTTATTTGAATGTAATTTCCTTTCTCGGATGGAAGGTTTTGAAAATGAAAAAAAAAAAAAAAAGCCAACCTGGAAAATCGCATCCGAAGAAGAATCAAAACGAAAAGGACTATTTTCTTTTTGAAAGCGAGCCGTGAGTTCCCTCCGGTCAATGACTAACGGCTAAAAAAATGTACGCACTTTTACGGACAAGAGTGGATATACCCACATCACTCTCTACCTTTAATTTCAAAAAATTAAAAAATAAAAGTTTTAGTATTAAAAAAATATATTTTTTTTTGAGACATAATGGAGGGAATAATAATAAAGGCTTTCCAGAGTATAAGTACAAATCTACTTAATATTTTTTTGCGGATTTAGAGTCAAAAAAAAAAAAAAAGCAACCAAGGTCGTGAGTGCCAAGCCCAATAAACCAATAGGAACGAAGTTGGTTAACCATTTTTAGAAAAGCCCATTTCAGAATCCGTGTTATAAAAAAGAGAAAAACGTCATCGTTTTGAGATGAGCTCCACAGACAAAAAAATTAGGAACAACCGCACTTAGTTAATATAGTTTCGTCAGAGTCCGATTAAATTCTTAGGGCAAGAATTTTTCTCCGTCGGTGCGGCAGGCTATTTCTTCTGAAACAAATCAAAGCAAAGGGATGGCGCCACCTCCTGGACCTTATTCTGGCACTAGCACTCTCGCTCTCGTAATTTCTTTTTTTTTTTTTTTTTTTGGGTTAGATCAAATGCAGAAAAACAAAAAGTAAAAAATATATATGTATGTATAGATAATAGTTCTCATTTTCTTTGTTCCCGGAAGAATCATCTAAAATCAGATTTTTAATTGATTAATTATCATTTATGTGATAGGTGGCTCGTGCATCTGCTTTCTCTTTTGGACTCGTTTATGGGAGCGTCAAGCTCAAGTACCTCAAGGTATTTATGTTTGTCCTTCTATTTGAGATTTATCTTCTTTTTTCTTTCAATTTATTTTTTCTGTTTGTTTGATTGTAATTTAATAATGTATTTGGAATTCATGTCATGTAATTGCAATTGGATATATATATTTGATGGAAACTGTTAATTTTGATCTGGTTTTTCATGGTGGAAAAGGGTGTTGGTCGTTATAGCAGTTGCTAAGAGGCATTCTTGCAATGTTTTTGCTTTGATTTCTTTTGTTTTCCGAGGTTATTATTATCAGAATTATAATCTAATGTGTTGCTATGATCTGATTGGTAGGATGAGATATTAGGAATGGTTGTTTGGTTGATAAATCCTACCTGCTTTTGTTGTTTTGAAAGTATATCTTGAACTTTTTTGGAACTTTTCTTTCGTGAAGACAATATCGCGTTTCTTGCTGTGTCTGCATATTTACAAACATGTATAAGTAATTTGAGAGGATTTCGAAATATTGTTGGTAGAGTATTTTGTAAAAATAATCTTAGTAAATGTACATAACAATGTGACAAATGTATATAATTTTAGAGGATTTCGAAACGTTGTTTTACATTCAAATGCATTTCCATATGGAGTTTGGACATTTCATATATGTTGACAGTTGTTAATTGTGAGTTAGGCATGAACTGCTATTGTATAGCACGTAAAAATGTGTTTTATGATTGGCGGCTTCTTTTTTTTTTTTTTACTCTGAGATATTTTGAGAATAATATTCTGCCTTTGGTTTAGAGATGAGTCATGACAAACATCCAAATCAAATGCATACTTATTGCTTTATTTATACCCTCAGGCAAAGGCAAAGTCGCAAAAGAAAGCCGAAGCAAAAGCTGCAGCAAAGGCTCACCACTGAAGCAGAGGGGTTTTGTTCATAGTTAGTTGCATGCATGAGTTGAGTTTGGTGTAGGAATAATGCATATATTAATGGAACTGTACCAGGTTTTCATTGTGGCCTGCAGCTTCTGTGGACCATGACATTCCTTCTCTTAAAATTTTTTAAGAGTTATCAACTTGGCCCTTCAATTATTATGCCTTTTTTGTTGGCAGTGGCTCTATGGATGTTTAGTTTCTTTTCCGTAGTTGACAAATGGGCACAGCTGCTGAATTTTATATGCTCCCCGGTTCAAAGTAATAATTCCATCACTCTTTGGCTTCTGAAATCTGGTGCATCTATTAAAATTTGTGTTATAAATCTTAGTCTTCCTGCTGCATTGTTTCTCACTTGAATCTTGCCATTAAGTGTTAACACCTGCAACATCTGCTTAACTACAGTTAAAAGACCTTTTGGGCTTGTATTTACTGTACTAGCAGGCAATTGCGTCTAATCTGTCAATCTGGTTTGCACAAGCAAATTCCTCTTGGCCCACTGGCTTAAATCGAGGCTTCTCGCTCCAGGCACCATTCTTGTGCCCTGTAAAGCTACTCTAGTTGCAAAAGATTGATAGGCTTATAACCTTGTATGAAATCCAGTTCCAAATATTGATGGGCGGATTTACAGAACAGTGCATACAATCAAAAGTATCTTTCTTTGCAAGTTCCAAAATCGTTGTGGAGGTATGAAACTCGAGTAAACCGAAAGTAACTCTTGCATACCAGACCTGGGACCAATTCTCGTGTCGGCATCTGCTCTAGAAACTGCCACAAGTGAAACACTCTATAGGTTGGTGTAACCATACTATGCTTTTGAGTAAAAAGTTGGCAAAGTGCTTCCCTTAACTAAACTAGAAATCCAAGACTATCATAAACAAAGCAATTAAGCTATGCATGCAAAGAAATAATCCATGAGCAGAAACATATTTACATAACTTCATTGGAAAATTATCAGTTTTGAGTGCTCTCAACATCCAGAATCCTCCAAATTGATCTTTACGTTATGTATATTCCACAGGAACGAAAAAGGTGAAAAAAACTAGGAAAAATTTTGAATAGATTCATGTAGAACACTTCAGATGAAGAGATGCTTCTGATAACGGCTGTAGCACTAAATGAGAAGACTTGCTTCTTTGCAGGTTGGGAAAATCCACACTGCAACACATTAACAAATGCTTCAAACAAGTAATCTTTCATAAACCAACAGCAAAGTAGTAGTGTAAAATGGAAATACATGCCCTTGCCATGTGCTGTTGAAAGGGAAGTACTGAACAATCTCATTGTATATGTGGTTGTTTAAGTATGACCATAATCATCTTATCATCATCTTCCCTAAACCATCGACTATAATCATCTTATCATTATCTTCCCTAAACCATCAAGAAACCTGTATCAGAATCTCAACATGTTGTAGACCCAAACCTACTAGTCTACATATCACTGGGACACCATTCTCAAAGTATGCGCACCTTAGCTTTCTAAGTTTCAGCTTAACAAGGATGAGATTTTCAGAATCTTATTATGAACCTACCAGTTTTAACCGAAATAGTGAATTGTTCCTGGACGTTCCAGTCACAATTTTTTTAGTTATAGCCCCTCACTAATTAATTTAAAATCAAGTAAGAAAGACTGGGTTCAAGCAAGAAATCAGCCTCAAACACCATGGAGATAAAACTAAATCCACAAGGAGAAACAAACCTGTAAAAATGCTGCTACAACAACGACTTCATTCTGCCCACAGGAAATGCAGAGTAACTGGTAAGGTAACTACTTTACGTAAATAATATCTCCATCACCTTCCCAGTCTCTATCATCTTGAGGTGAATCAGATGATTCAAATTCTTTTTCACCTTCATCGGCTGCAATCTTTTTCTCAGCCGTTATTCTATCTAATATTGCAATTACCCGAAACAGGTTATCGAATCAGTATCAGTTAAGGACATAAATGTGTCAATTAGCCACACTTTACAGTAACAACCAAGTAAAATTACCATCACTAAAAACAATAGATTACAAGCACTTACCTGCTTCCACTCATCTTCAATAAAGCGTATCTCTGGTGTGAGCCGCAACTTCATACGCTTTCCCAGCTCACTTCTAGCATATTTAGCTTTTGATTTCAATCCAGCAAGTGCAATCTCCTTCCCTCTCTCGTCACCAAAAGCAGATATATACATACATACATACATATATATATATATATATATATATATATATAGACACACTTTAACGACCTACTATCATGACAAGTAACAAAGTATGAATTATTCGATCACATCATGTTGTTTGAATAAATTCAACCAGCAATGCACTGCAATGTTGTATATAACTTTGATGTGTCTGGAAACAGAGATTTCTCAGTTATCAGTTTGGACATAATGAAGCCCTTGTCTCCAAATGTCAACAACAGTTTGTCAATTCAAAAGCCGCTTAAAGAAGAACGCAGAAAACAGATATATATATATATAAAGATATATAACACGCACACACACACACACAAATGGATACCTGAAAATCAGATGAAACTTCAACATCACTTACAGTAGTAAGAGAAGAGAGGTAGCGGTCGGCTCCCAAGGCGGCTTCAGTCAAGAAAGCGTATTGCAATACTTTATCAGTTAAGAGCATGTCGGAAAGCTCTCTCCTTATCTGTTTCGCTGCTATTTTAACTCTCCTGGGATTGGCCATGCACTTTATGGTTGCTCCTCTTGTGGGGTTGGTGCGAAGGCGAACATAGGCCGTTGGTTTTGAGGTGGGGAAAGAAAATGGTCTGAGATGGACGGGGGCGATTGGGAGGTGGTGGTGGAGGAGTATGTGGGGCATTGCTACAGAGGATTGTTTGGGTCTCTCTTCTGGTTCTTGAGAGCGTACTAGATTAAGATAGACAAGAAATCGAAGAGGAATAAAGTAATTTCCTTTTCTCTAAATTAGAGGGGTTTTTTGGTCAATTCAAAATAAATTTAATATTTTATTTCAAAATATAAGTTGATAAAATATCCTAAGTAAGTTATTACTCCATTAACTATTTATTTAATTTTAAATTAGAAAATTTCTTTTAGCATAATTTGAAATTGATTTGAAATTAGAAAATTTATTTTATATTTTAACATTTTGTTAGAAATAGTGGATTTGTTTTTAAAATTTTCACTCTAAAATGCTATAAAATTGCCTTTGTTTTTAATGCTTTAAAAATAATTATCCACATTTATTTTTTATTAGGTGATTAAAAAGTTTATTAAAAGTATTTTTTTAATTTTTAATTAATTTTTAAATTTCATATCAAATTATACGTATAAATTTATATAATTCATAATTTTTAAACATCAATTTCAATAATATAATAATTACTTCATAAATCAATTCGACAAATTTATTAAAATTTTAAAAAATAAATGTGAATGTCTAATATTTTATCTGATTTTACTTTTTATAAATAATAACATGAGATGTTAAATTCGTTGAAAATTATTGACCCTTAGTGATGATCAAAGATATAACAACACAAAATTTTTATAAACAAAATCGTCCAAGTAAACCAAAAAAGGTGAAAATTTGAAATTTCATTGAGAAAGAACGGGAAATCCCGAGGAAACAACGGGTTTTTCTTTTCTTCGGTCTTTTACTAACTGTGACTGACATGCCCATGTATTGAAAGCGTGATTTCTCCAAAACACCCTTCCAGGCTTAAAAATCTCAATCCTTTTACGCAAGATTCCACTGGAAACGGATGTTCAAGTCTTCGAGATGAGTTTGATCTCGTGACCCTGTAACCCAAATCCATCTATCTATCGCCTAAAATACGCTATTTTCACTCAAATTCTCGATCCAAATTCGACCATGGAAGAACCAGAGACAACCATGGTTGAAGTGAGAGAAGAGCTCATGGTTTCACCAACTGGCCAAAACCAAAACCCTTGTACAAGAACAGCCCATTTTCTCAAACCCATTTTCAGTTCCCTTGAAAACCCACTTCCCAAGCTTCCTTCTCAATGTCTTTCTTCTCTGGAGCAACCTTCTTTTGAACCCAAAAACCTGCCTTTGAGAATCAGTTTTCATGGGTGGAGATGCAGGGCAAATAGTTGGTCTACATGGATTGAGAAGATGGCTGCTTTACATGAATCAACTTGGAAGAAAGCTGGTATCTATGAAGCCATCATGAATTCAACTTACCAGATCAAGAGAAACAATGATTTGGTTCTTGGTTTAGCTGAGAAATGGTGTTGTGAGACCAAAAGTTTCATCTTTTCATGGGGTGAAGTTAGTGTTACACTTGAAGATGTCATGATTCTAGGGGGTTTCTCTGTTCTGGGTTCCCCTGTGTTTACCCCAATCGAAACTGAAGAATTGAAGGAAGCAGAAGAGAGTTTAAAGAGCGCAAGAATTGAAATTGTCAGAAGCAAAGCTAAAAAGGCTTGTCCTCGTTTGTGGATGCAGAAATTCATGGACACTGGCAGTGAATTTGAGCATGAAGCATTCCTTGCCTTTTGGCTTTCAAGGTATGTTTTTACCAATGCACATGAAACAATTAGGGAACATGTTTTCTCTATTGCAGTTCACTTAGCTAGAGGGACAAGACTTGCGTTAGCACCTGCTGTACTTGCTAGTATTTATAGAGATTTGTGTTGGTTGAAAGATGCAATTACTGCTTCAACTAAATTGGGGAAAGAAGAGGTTTCTACGCTTACCATTTGGTCACCATTTCAATTAGTTCAGGTTTGGGCTTGGGAGAGATTTGTAGAGCTAAGACCAAAACCAAATTTGATTGAAAAGGGTCAGCCAAGGCTGTTTCAATGGCATGATGTTAGCTGCAAGGTTGAGAATGTCAGGTTAGCTCTCGAGTCAGCTTCTGGAAGTTTTGAATGGCGTCCTTATGCTCTGCAGATTGATAACTGGAAACAACCTAAGTTTTATAGAGAGAATGAAGTTTGTATATCGATCACTGCACGTCTTGACAAAGAATTAGAGTCCTTTGCTCGATGCTTGAAGGCCAGTGAGCTAGTGGGACTTGACTGTGTAGAGCAGTACCTTCCACATCGAGTTGCAATGCAATTTGGAATAGATCAGGATATTCCAGGTTTTGTTCCTCAATCAAATGAGACTCCTGAAATTGCCTGGCTCAATTACTGTGAATCACTTACTGCTGTGAAATTATACATTCCATCTCGTCTCTATAAAGCTGGTGTTTCTGCTCGATACTTGCAGTGGTGGAACCAGTCAGTGTTGGAGAGCAAAGACACAGCTAAGGATTTGAAGAAATCAGCAAAGAAGCCTAAAGGAAAGAAACAAGGGAAAAGTTCCTCTGGTTGCCGTGGCTTTCATCAGAAAATAGAGAGTTTCCATGGAAAGATAGACGCTAATGATCCATCTGTTTCTCCTAATTGGTCTATGAAGAGCTCAAAGAAACCAGGAGATATTGTCAACAGGACTAATAATGTTAGCGGTTCCCTCTCTTGTTTTCCTCTTAAGAAATCAAAGAGTGTATCCCAGATTTTGGAAGAAAAGCAGCTGGGCAACGACGGTTCTATTTCTTCTGGTTATTGTAGAAGGAACTCAAAGAAATCAGCCAAGAATCTGAAAGGAAACAAGAAAGCCAAGGAAGAATCTTCTTCTCCCGCTGTTCCTTTAGGAAGCTCAAAAGAATCAGCTCAGACTTTGAAAAGAAAGTATAAAGATGACAACGAATCTGCTTTTCCTGGTTTCAGTAAAAAACGTTTGAAAAATCAGCACAGAATTCTAAAGGAATGAAGAAACATACTCCTGTGTCTGCCTCTTCTAGATTCTCTGTCAAAAGCTCCAAAAAATCAGCAGAGGTTATGAAAGACAAGGAGGAAGGTAGCAGCGACTCTGTCTCTCATGCTTTACCTTTGGTGAATACAAAAAAACCACCACGGACTGTAAAAAGAAAGAAGGGAAGCGATTCCTGTGTTCCGATTGGTTTCATGCCCAACATTGATGGGAAGGAAGCAGAGCATTCTCCTGAGGATAATAACCCAACGATTGCGGAAATGATGAGATCTTGCAAGAAGCGTGGAAATATTGGAACTAAAGATTGTGAGGAGGATGGAAACCCATCAGGCCATTCTCAAAGTCTTTCATCAACAGTTGCAGATGATGAGGCTGTTAAATGTTTGGAGCCATTAGCAATATTGGCAGAAAAGGTTATGCAGGATGAATCTGTGCTTAGAGGAGTAAGGGGAACTTTTGAGGGTGCCTTCACTGATCAGAGAGAGCTACAGATGGTGCAGGAGGAAGTTGTAATGGCAGAATTAGAAAGAACAGTGAAAGATGCAAAGGAGGGCAATCCAGAACGTCCAAGTCACAAAATGCTAAGCATCAATGGTGTTGAAGGGGAATGCAGTTGCTGTGCCGTTGACATACCCAGATTAACACTTGAAGCTCGGATTAGCAGGCTTGAGAAACTGGTTGAAGAGCTAAAAGCAATGAGATCTGCTTGCAAGTAGCCAATCTAGCCATTAGCATCAAGATGTACTTTTACTTATTTTCCCTTATTTTATTTTAAATTTATTGTTGGACTAAATGCATATGATTTTCTTTGGTCGGTTTGATTAAGTTGACAAAAATACAGTTACGAGAACTTGCTAAGCTTTAATTTAGCAGAGCATTATATGTAAAAAAAAAGCTTATCTTTGTTGATTAGGATAAATTATGGCTGCTTTTACAAACTGATGATCTTCACCTAGTCACAACGATGCGTGTTACTCTAATGCCAGAGATATTTTGGTGTTCAAAGTTATTTCACTGTGCTCAATCATGTCACTTATCAAATAAGTGATCATAGATTTGATGTTTTGTGCTATTCTGTGCATGTTTCTTTGAGATATGATGTAAATTGTGACAGGCAAACGTCTCTTTGATTGAACATTGTCAATCTTTAATGTTAACAAGTAACATGGAAGCTTTCTAGGAAATTGAAGATCCATGCTCTCCATCAGTGGAAATTTCAGGATCATATTTGCTGATTATAAAAGATATTTATCATTGTTATCTCACCATCTTTGGAGGCTGCAGACTTTCAAAAGTTGTCATTTAAGTTGAGATAGCTTGCCCGATGATTGGGACGAGGGGTGGTGGGGGGAAGATGACTTGACCAAAATAGTTTGGACTTTGAAGTGTAGTGACCCATTCTAATATATCAACCATCGGTCAACAAATCCAAAGACACAGGTCAATAAGGGCCTCGACCTTGAGAGCGGCAGCACCGGGCTGTCATCCAGTAGGCTATGAGACTCGAGCATTCAATTTTGTACACAAAAAAGTATTAATTATGCGCTCGCAACTCAACCTAGCAGCCAGCAAGCTATGTCTCTAACCCATGGAAACTATATTTTAACTGAGATTGTGCCTTGAGATCAGAACAAACCAAAAAGAAGGGAAACTTTCAAAGAATCCAATTTAGTTTTAATAATATATTATACTTTTTAACCAAACATAATCACTAGACTGCATATTTTATGCCTTGTTGATGGCAGGAAGCACGCCCCGTCATGTTTCCTTCTGTCAGATTTTGACTCTGAGTAACAAAACAGTAATAAATCATCTCATCACATTAAACAAAAAAAAATCTAGTAGTCATAATTAAAGATTCCAGTCTTTTATTGAATGATCGATATTTGTTGGATTAATTGATAAAAAAAATTGATTTTTTTTTAAATAAAATTTTGATTTTAAATTTTATAAATTAAAAAAAATTATTTTTTTATAAAATTTGATCTAATTTAATTTCGAATTAATTAAAACGTAAAGTGATTATAGAAAAGTCTCAGACAAAAAGAAAATCTTTTATTGAATGATCGGGCCTGAAAACAGAAGGCTATGGCTTGGACGAATTTAAATAGTTGGTATGATGATTTATATGGAGCTATTCTCTCTACAAAGTAATGCCAACTCGGTACCTTAAAGAGGCACAAAGAAGGTTTACAGATGGAAGAAAAGGTGGAGAATCCATGACTGTGGCTAATTATGAAAGCTACAAACTTAATAATAAGAATTTTAGCAGATAAATTAATTAAATGCCGGATGGTTACTTTAAACAAGATGATTCTTCCAATGTAAATGGGTGGGATGATTTGTTGGTATCAATCATTTCAGATTATCATTTTCAATAAAATATCGGCTTCTTGATCTAACCCATGCTTAATCATACAAGCAATGTAAGTAGACCTCCCTATGAATGCGGTTACCATTAGCTTGTGAGTTTGGTTTGATTTGATTGGGTTTTGGATATGAATTTTGAAACTTAGATTCGGTTTAAATCATTGTCTATTGAATAAAAATGATTTTTGTTTAATTTTTAATTTTAAAAATATATTAAAAATTAATAAAAATTTTGATATTTTAATATTTTTAATCGTAATAGAATCTCGATGGAACAAATCAGGCTTTGGACAAGAAATTTCAAAATTCAACTGAATATGACCCAATCCAGAAATAAGTATAAATGCAAGATTGTGTTAATATTATTTGTTAATTTTTGTGCAAGATAAAAGAATTGTATTAAGATTACAACATAAATTAATAAAGAATGTATAATCAAGCATTGCAATGAAAACCCATTAATCCAAAGTTTCATCCATTGTAATTTATGGTAATTTGCACTCCTAAATAATTATGAAGCATGGTTTTATCAAATGATTGAGGTTTTTTTTTTTTTTGGCCACAGCAAATGGTAGAGATTGAACAAAGTCCTTTTGACCAAGTGTTTTCTCTTTATTCAAAGGCATGGAGCTTTAGGTTTACTTAGTTGCTTTACACTTGCTTTGAAATTTGCTTATTTTTATTAGTTTATTATGTAAAAAACCATTCTTAAAACTTAAAAACTGGTCCCATAAAATATGACAAAATCTCAGAACTTGGCCTTTTCTTCAGCTCATAATCTTCCTGTCAGGTTTTAGTTCTGGTTTTTTATGTGCCCCTAACCAAATTGAACTGGTTATTCAAGGTTTAAGTTTAATATAAAATTCTAAGTTGCTTTCGCTACAGCAAAAATCACTTGAAACTTGAGTAATTGTCCCCTAAAGTAATCTTTAGATCCAAAAATAACCCATCCGATCAATTTGAGAAAAAAAAAAAAAAGAAACAGGTCCCGTCATATATTCCCTAAATCTTGCATTAATTTGTTATCTTAATCAGGATTGCTGTGTTAAAAAAAAGATAATGGGGGAGACAAGAGATCATGGGAGTGGCAAACAAAACATGAAACAGCAAAATATGTGCATGTTATATATTGTTTGTGTCCTTTTCATCGATCTTTAAATTTTCTTGTTAGTTGAGCACTGATGAGCAATGATCAAAATTGAGAGGCATGAGAAATGTTGTTGCCCATAATTCATAAGTACCACCTTGAATTCAATGTTAGAAAGATGTGTTCATGTTCCTAGCTAGTCCAGGAAAGCTATTAGGTTAATATGATTTGAAAAAGAAACAGATACATGCATGTACTTGCATGCTGTGCCTTGTTTGGAACTGAAATGGATATATATATATATATATATATATATATATATATATAATTGTTATGGATATGGAGGAGGTTGTGGGAGCAAGGCAAGCAAGTGAAGGGCAGTCAAGGAGTTGTTGTAAGATTTTGAGATGATATAGGGTTTGGCATTTCAAAGACAAACAGAATCCTATCAAACATATCATTATAGTTATAAACAAAATTTCAAAAAAGGAACAAGAAGAATAATGTTTCATTTGAATAGTCAACGCAAAAATAATGGTCCAATCCCAAAACTTAAAAATCAAGTAAAATTATTTGGATTTAATTTAGTTTAATTTTTATTTTAATTTGGATTGACTCGAATGTCAAAACTTAAAAGCCAAGTATTTTGGTTTGGTTTTACATTTTGAGGAGGAAAAAGGAAGTAATTAAAATTCCTTCTTCTAAAAGAAAATCATGTGCTTTAAGATATTTACTTTACTCTAAGTAAGCAAGTGTGGAATTTTCCCCTACCCTTCTCCAATTTGCAAGTTAGGTTGCCTTTTTGTTATTCTTAATTTATTTTATTTATATCTCTCAAAAAAAATTATTTTATTTATATATATTTTCTTTTTTCATGTTAATATATAAAATTAAATCATAATTAATGCTAAGTTTGTATATATGGTATAAAGTATAAACAAATTAATTATTTTAGTCCATCACCATCTTGTTAATTTTAATATCATCAAAACTAACTAAAGTCACGTTAGCTTACTATATGGTCACATGGCCATGGCACCAATCAGAACAACAGACACAATCTTGTAATTATCTCCAACTCCAAGGGCAATTCTTTATTCCTAGACCTTATAATACCTCCCTCCGCCCTAAATTCAACTCATAAATTGAAAAAATTTGCTCGCGCCACCACCAACTCGCTCCCACTCGGTTAACTTTTTCTCTCACTTTCTCGGAAAATCTTCTCTTTTTCTACTAATATTTCTTGCTCTTTTGCTGTCACTTTCTTGGGAAAAAAATGTCTCATGAGATGGGGAAGTGCCAGAAAATTCGTCGCATTGTCCGAATCCGACAAATGCTTAAGCAGTGGCGAAGGAAGGCAAGCGTAAAGGCCAGCAACAACAACAACAGACACACACCGTCCGATGTTCCTGCTGGACACGTGGCGGTCTGCGTGGGCACAAGTCTGAAGAGATTCATCGTACGCGCGACGTACCTTAACCACCCAATCTTCAAAAAACTCCTCGTACAAACAGAAGAAGAGTACGGCTTCAACAACGTAGGGCCGTTAACCATCCCATGCGAGGAGTCGGTCTTCGAAGAAATTCTCCGAGTCGTGTCCCGATCTGACTCATCATCAAACTCAGGCCGTTTCTCTACTTTCGAGGATCTTCAGAGATGCTGCCACGTTGGCCTGAAGAATAAACTCCGGTTTTTCAGCGAATCACAACCGTTGCTTCATGGGGTTGCCGGTAAATCGGTCTACTAAAAGCTCCTGGCTTGTTTAGCTGAGTTACGAGATGGAAGCCCCAACAGCTATATTTTGAAACTGAGTTATCTAGGTATTAGTTGTTAATTATTTGAATGATTAGTGGGTAAATTTTAAGCTAGTTTAATTTTTAGCGTTATGATTATATACATATGTAAATCCAGTGCACTAATTCTAGGAATTTTAGAGACATAGTTTCTCAAAGATTTGTAATTAATCAGATTTTTTTTTTTGGAGCAATCATATCATATAATGTAACATGGAAAATTACAGTCATATATGCTTTGTTTAAATTTGATTCTTATCAATGGCCGTTGAGGCAAAGTGAAAGCAGAGCCAAATGAGACAATTATTATTATGTGAATTGATAGTTGAAATTTTACTTTAATGTAATGATAAAAGTGAAAAAGTGTTTATCATTTTAGGTTTGAGGTGAAGTTGGAAGAAAAAAATATATAAAAAAATCTTTTGTCATTTCAGATATTACTTTGTAATCTTATAGGTGGAACTTTGTAAGGGAAGATAAGGTTAATGCACTATTGAAAGTTGCGTAGAGAAAGACCAAGGAAAAAGAAAAGAAATTTGATTATAATCCTGGCACGGCACTAATGCTTCTTTCTTTTGGTGGTTATTTTTTAAAATTTTATATTTTATAATATCATAATTTAAAATTTAGTATTTTATTAATAAATCACGTAGTTATTAATTTTGTTAAATTTATTTTTTTATATAAGAGATCATAACTTATTTAAATGTAAACTTTAAATTTGATAATGTCATTTTTTAAAAATAATTATATAAACCAATTGAATTAAATTTTGAATTTATATTGTTTACGTTTTGCATCCACAATTCTTCATTTTAATGAAGGGTTTGGTTTTTTTGTTTTTATTTTTAATAATTATCATGTGATTTATTAATAAAGTATTAACATTTTAATTTTAATAATTAAGATTTAATCTTTGATAATATTAAATATAAAAAAGAAAAAGTTAAAATATTAAAATGATCATGACTAGGACATTATAATGTTTTTACATATAAAATCTATTCATTTACGAGATCAAACTTTCGAACCCGAATAAAATTTATGAGATAAAAAGAAAGTTATTTTACATAGTATAATTCATCTAAATTTTATGCATCATAAAGAACATTTGAATCAAAGTATGTACGCCTGTTGAGTTTATCACCCAACTCATACTTTTTTTTTTTTGTAATTTTAATCAAATCTTTGTCAACCAAGAAAGAAAAGACATTCCAAGTGTTCATAAGGGTAATCTTTTTCCAAATAAAAATGAAAGCTGCTTTATTAAGGAACTTCCATATTCTCGCAACCACAAATCATATGCGAGCTTTTCCTTATCAAACCATATCCGTCAGTTGATTGAATTGGGATAATGTTTTAGCCTTTTAGATGATTAAAACATTTGTCAATGTTATTGTCATTTAAAATTCGTTTAAAGAAGGTGACAATTGATAAGATTCCATTCCCATTGATAAAATCATACTTAAGATAATTTCAATTAAATAATGACAATATCTGAAATTAACAAAATTAATAAGACGAAGATGACGAAAATTTTGCTACGTAATTAGATTCATAACTTATTTTTGTATATTAATTAAATATATGATATGAAAAATTGTTATATTAATTAATAATAGAGTTTTTAAAATTTATAAACAGAATTAACAGAATGATTATATGCTTTTAAAGTATAGAAAAAATATTTAAAAAATAATTAAAAAAGTTGGACATGTGGATATATACTTAACAAGAAACTAAAATGCCGTCAATCAGGTTTAACTTAAAACTCAACCGAGCAATTGTTAACTTTTAATATTTTTAATCAAAGTTGAGTTTAGAATGCCATAAGCCCTTATCCCAAAAGATGAAAAGAAAAATATTCATCAATTGTTGAATTCAAAGGTCGTTTAGAAGTCTTGTTTGGTCTGTAGGTGAGGAGGAGAATCAAATCATAGGAGCCCATTTAGTCGATCGTGGGCATGCATTAAGCGCCTAAGCCCAAATTTATTTTCCCTTCAAATTGTACCATGCCCGAATAGTATAATAATATTGAAGTTATTTTAATACCCAATGTCAAATAGAATATTTTTATTAAGTTTATTTAATTGTGTCCTCAAACCACAAATTAAGATTTTTAGTACTAATATCGGAGTTTTTTTATTTAAAAAATTAAAAATTTACTAAATCATGCATGATTATTGAATCAAAGGTATGAATTTCTAAAAATGTCCAGATTTTGATGATGGAGAGGTAAGTGGAGTAAAGTAAAAGAAGAAAGATTGTTTACTTCCTGATCCAGGGAAGTAAAAAATGTCTAAATTTAATTATAGAAACCATTCAGAGAAGTGTATGAAGGGCATTTGCCATTTGACCATATTGATTGCTGAAACAGAAAATTTTCATAATGCAATACAACAAGAGGTAGTCATCACTCAGCTTATTGTTTTGTCTTCTTTCTTTATTATTATTTTGTTTTGTGCATAGGCTCCTGTGAAGGTCTGACCATGTTTCTGGTTAACCTCACAAGAAATATTCTCTCATTGATTCTGCCTATATGAATATCAATCAAAAAGAGGAAAAAGCAAAATGCAGAAAAGAAAGAAGCTTGGACCTTGAAGGTTTAGGTCCCAGCTGGCTCAACCTATAATCTATCTCTATAGTTTGCATTAAAACAGAATGAACAGTTCTTTTTGAAAATGGGATGCACCATTTTTATGGAAAGAGATTGAGATAAGTTACTATGGATAACTGGTTTAGCAGCTGCTTAAAGCATGGATGGATCATGGACAGCTATGGGGTCCAATGTTGGTTATGATGGAACTGAATCTGTGGTCTGTCATAATCACTGAATTTTCTCAGTAGTTGGTTGGAAGTGTTGCGTCAAAGATGAGTTAGGATTGGGGGATTAGGCCAGTGACCAGCTAAGTTTTGATGGGATAAGGTTGTACACATAAAGACTTCTCAAAGATTTAGATGGGGTCTGCCTTCTCTAGCATGCCGCCTAGGGATCCACATCTGCAACTTTTATCATATGCCCCATTCCCTAGGCCCTTTAATTCCTTTCAAACATGCTTTTCAAAGTCTTTTCGATCCTCCATGTTTATAATTAGTTAATTACATAGAGCTTTCCTATCACAAAAAACAATAAAATTAAAATTTTTTTCTTGAGTAATTTTATATGTATCTATTCTAATTAGGTATCCCTAAAAAAATTCTAAACCCATTACTGCATCAATTGTGTTTTTAACACCATTAGAGAAATTTTTATTATCTGATTAGGTAAATTTGATATGAAAATATACGATACGTGGTATAAAATTATCCTTAAATGATTGCATGCATGGTAAATGTCATGCATGCATGATACTAACGTCATGATGGGTCTACGTACCCATACATTCATACATACTATCGTACGTCAAATTTCACAGTTGCCACTGGTTAACGATCCGTGGGGTACAAATCACGTGCTTATCATCCGCAGCAGAAGTAATGCTGATATAACTGGCTGGGGACAAAGAGATATATAACAGCCCACTTAGAGTAACGCAAACCTTTTAACTGTAGCTTTTCCAAAGGTGAACGGAGGTGAGTTTGTGAATTGCTCTGATAAAAAAAAGCATATTTTTTGACAAAGAATGACAGTCACCATTCAGTACAGATTCGTACCTATAAAATATTTTAATAAGACAATTTTGTCCCTTCCTTTGGGATAAGTATGAGACAGTTTTGGTTAAAGTGGTAAAGAACATGATGTTGCCCCCTCATACAACTTGTGGGATTTATTTTTCTTCGATATCACTCAAAATTTAAAACTAAATAATAAAACATTTTTTAATAAATTAATAATAGAAAATTTTAAAATATCTTTTAATATGAAAGTATGACTAATTCATAAAATAGTTATCTATTACGAATGAGTTATTAATTAAATAATATTAAAATCGATTTCAAAAATAAAAATTTTGAAGTCAAACTTTAATCATAATTTAAAAGATAAAAAATAATTATTTGTTATCTTTTACCATTTGAGTTTAATCAAAAAATAAAATAATCACTAAATAGCATTATTCAATAAAAATGCAATATTGTCAATCTTCAAAAGGTTCGTATACATATTTTATACATTCACAAGAAAATTAACTTGTTAGTTGTTAATGTTGGATCAAAATCCAAGCCCAAAAGAAAGAGGATGGCTAAATCCATAGCAAACGCTTGTTAGTTTACCATATCTAATCTAATTAAAGCCTTTTAATCCATTGTTTTTTTCATTTTTATACTGTTGAAATACTATTTTTAGGAGTACTAATCTGTTTTACCTTTTTTTTTTAAAAAAAAAAAATTGGACTGTTGAATTATTTTTTTTCAAGTAATCGGACCATGCACCAAGCACTAAATTAAATATTAAAGCATTAGCTGCTGCATGATTTCAAGCATATGGGATAATTATCATGAACCGACTAAATGTTTCATCCATCTAACCTCAAATGCATGCATCCGAGTTGTGTGAATAATAGAGATTGAGACCTTACCAAAGCTATCATCATCAATAGCACTTAAGCAACAAGGGACAATTTGGACATTCCCCCCCCCCCCCCCCCCAAAAAAAAATAAAAATTGCAGTTCTATATATGTATAGGATATATCAAATGTCCATAGATTACATGGGAATGATTGAATTTGTAGGAGCAAAACATATACATCAATTATAATTGGCTGAACAATTTTTATCTTCCTAGCTAGAGTTAAGATCTATGCTATAAATGAACGTTTATGATCTCTTTCGGCCTTAAGCCCTTGATACGTTAAAAAAGAAAAGGAAACAAAATCACGTGAGCCATTAACCATATATAATTACCTATAATAATATTTCAAGTACGAAGAGTGAATATAAATAAAATGGATCAATAACGAAAGTATCAAAGAATTTATAATTGAATTCGACTGATATGATTTACCTCGGTTCATGCATTAAATTTTAAAAATTGATATTTAACATGTTTACGGTTTAAATTTTAGTACTTATCTTCTGATTATGATCATTTTTAAATAAAAAAAGACGTATCAAAGGGAGAAACCAAGGCTTGGTTACTCATAGAGGAAAAGACTAGTTTATTTCTTCTCTTCCTTGGTGACATGATGATGCATGCATTCGTAGATTTGAGTTTTAATTATGAAATTGTGTGGAGAAGAGAAGAGAAGATCCGAAAGGTATGATGAAAATTTTGAAAATGAAACAACCAAATATTAGATAACCCCACTGTCGGTCCGACAATGGCTGCTCATAATATCTTGAAATATATATTTTTTGAGCCCAACATGTCTTCCCCAAAATGAACTCCTAACCAGTGGTTCTCCTTACAAAGAAAAGACAGCGGCGTATAATTTGAAAATAACAACATTAACAATGACGAAAACAAAAAACAAAAGCATTAAACTATCTGTTGCATGGAATATTAATCTCTTTCTAATGCCTAAAAGGGACTTTGTAACAATCTTTTTCTTTTCGTTTCTTTTTTCATGACTGCGACCTTTTTTTATTGAACGTAATCTTATTGATCAGTGGTTTCTTTGTTGGCTATAAGTAGGATTTAAAAGGGTGAAAGCTCCCAATGAGATTCATAACACTCAATTTACAGATAATGCTCATCCGATGATGATAACTCGATATTTCTTGAGGATTTGGATTCATGCTCTTCCTGAACATCGCACATTGTGTTAACAGAGGGCCATTGCATCTGTATTATGAGTATACGGACCGAATGATATTCAACATATTCTCTGCTGTGGTGGTAAATTAATCGGCTATATAAATGGCAATAACAACAAGATGTCCCACCAATGCACATCTATCTCCAAGGAAAATTAATGTTAATAATGTAAGAGGGTAGATGTAAAAATATATATTACTACTTGGAATCGTTGTTAAAAGGTTCATTCACATCTCAATTAATCAATTTCTTCAAAATATTAATTTGTTCAGATGTCAGACTAAATTTTCTAGCTAGCTAGCTAAAGGTGACCTTGTAAAAATATGCAGGTAACCTGAAAGTTTTATACTAGCTTGCATTTGTCTGAATAAGAACAATGATTATCAAATTGTGTCAACTTGTTCCCAGATAGATGTATATATTTGTGCAAAGAGAAATCAACATGTCATTAATGTCCTTCCCTTTTGCTGTGGATGCATGCTGGAAAGTGATATGCAAATATTGAGTTTGAGGCCGGAAAAAACCCGAGCTGGTACAGGTATTAATAATTTGTGGGGCATGTTTAATCTTTAAATTTTTTTCTATATTTGATTGCTGAACGACCTTCAATGCCATCATCACTTCAATTCCCCTTAATTTGTTAAGCATTTTGGTCGTTGGTACTTGGTATTCATGAAAATAACCTGCAGCAGCTCAAGAGGTCAGCAGTTTGCATTTTGACAATTCGTCCATTATCAGCATATGCAATGTTGGAGGATCATTCACATCTCAATTTATCAATTCCTTCAAAATATTAATTTGTTCAGATGTCAGACTAAATTTTCTAGCTAGCAAGCTATAGGTGAGCTTGTAAAAATATGCAGGTAACCTGAAAGCTTTATGCTAGCTTGCTTTTGTCTGAATACGAACAATGATTATCAAATTGTGTCAACTTGTTCCCAGATACATGTATATATTTGTGCAAAGAGAAATCAACATGTCATTCATGTCCTCCCCTTTTACTGTTGGATGCATGCTTGAAAGTGATATGCAAATATTGAGGCCAGAAAAAACCTGAGCTGGGACATGTATTTAATAATTTATGGGGCATGTTTAATCTTTAATTTTTTTCTAAATTTGATTGCTGAACGACCTTCAATATTTTCATCATCACTCAAATACTCCCTTAATTTGTTAAGCAGTTTGGTCGTTGGTACTTGGTATTCATGAAAATAACCTGCAACAGCTCAAGAGGTCAGCATTTTGCCTTTTTACAATTCGTCCACTATCAGCGTATGCAATGTTGGAGTTCGAGAGAAAATGATGGTATGAAGTATGGCGTGTTTTCCACCAGACATAAGCTTGGCTGGTTACGGGTGGAAATAAATGAGAGTTACAAAAAAGGAAAAGGGTGAATTCCTGATTGTATTTCTGAATTCTGAGATGGGGGGGGGGGGGGGGTGTAATGGAATTTAATGGGAGGGTAACATTGAACTGACAAAGGCTGCTTCCATGAATTTACGTAGAACGTGGGGTGGGACATTGGAGACAACTGCAGAAGAAACATTGCAGCCAACTGGAGACTATGTATCTCTGCAGATTTAAATTTCCAACTCATTTTCTGCAATTGATGTGAAAGACATGACCTCTTTTTCATTAATCAACCTATTGATGCATGTGAATTTTGTCCCCATCTTAATCAAAAGTGGGTTTAAATAATTTTGATTAACTAAAACATGATGCCGTCCATGCAGTGATTAATGCAAATTGAACCCTCGAAAATGAATGGATTTTATTATTAAGTGCTTATTAACAAATGAAAATGAAGTAATTCTATTCCTTTTGTATTAGTTCATTAGAAAATGAAGAGGGTAAAAGAATAAAGTCGATGTTTTATTTACAGTATGATACATGGGGACCAAAGCAAAGGAAGGTGAAGCACGATGAGAGACAATAGCTTTCTTTGTTTATGTGTTGGGATCAACTTAGGCAAGTACTCTGCAGATCTAATCACAGGCTTATAGACTTCAAGAAACTAGAGGTACCTGAGCCAGATTCCTAGCTTTGTTATCAAGCAAAATATACCTTCAGTCTTCAGGTGGTTGAAGTACACTTAGCTTTGGAGCTTCCATTCAGGTTTCCATGGTTTTCAATTTTATATGGTTCAAGTTCAAGTTCGTATGCCTTTGGGGTAATTTTTTTCTTTAAAATAATACTATGAACTTCCAATATATGATACAAATAAATCTGAAACAAGAACAATTTGTATAAGATTCTTTAATTTAATTATTTATATATTTTCAATCAGGACAGCTAAGACCCATGAGACAGAGAGGGAAAGGAGCTAGCATGGGCAGGGCATGAATCAACAGCAAAGCAATAAATGTGGCTTTTGAAAGATATTTTTCTAAGTAAGAAATTCTCAAATGCATTTTGTTTTAGCAGAAGATATATTCTTATGGTTGAGGAAAGTTGCCTGAAGCAGTTATATTGAAGAGCTGTGGATGTCAGTAGGAATTTTGTGGCTAGAAGGAAAAGAGGCAAAAGATTGCATTAAAAGAAAAGAAGAGAGGACCAGCTAACCGGAGGCAGCCTTTGCTTCCTAGTTGGTCCATGTATAGAAAAACAGTTATAATCAGGGATCATATAAATAAATACGACTCAATGGTTTAATCATGGTCCCGAGCTTATACCACCAAACTACAATATTACTCTGTTTGTTCTGAGAATTAATTTTTGTCCATGTGAAAGGTGATCTAGGCAGATAACAATGCATGCGTTCCCCGCTTTTTCTTTATGTGCCAAACACAGCCAAAGTGGGGGGAGAGAGAAGAAAGAGAGAGATTTATGCAAGTCATGTATGAGTTATGTGTCAAAACAACAATCATGTAGAAGGATAATTAGATCAGATCAGATCAGACCCTAAACCGGAGTAGTCAATTAACTGTTGATAATGAAATGGATAATGTTGTCTTTGCTGCTTAACTCATCAGTTCTCTTCTCCCTCCTTCTTTTTTCACTCTTTTTTCTTGGTGTTGAAACCATGCAATTGCAGTTTGCGGCCAGTGGGACTCTCGCTATATTTGTAGACAACACTGTCTTCAATCACATTTTTGGGGTTCAAAGAAAAATAAAAGAATGAAACCATTGAGAATGACACGAAACAAGGTGAAAAATTATTGTTCTGTCTGACTCAAAATGTATATTAGTCATGATTGGCAAAATTATTCTCCTTAAGATGGTACTCCACTTTGTTTAGAGTATGTCGGTGTTATCACATTAACTTGATTCAAAAGCCATATTCCTTTCCTAATTTTAAGCTTCCAATTTTTACTCACTTACCATGAAAGGAAAAAAAAAAGACCCAACAACAAGAACATTTATAATTCTTATTAGGTACATTAATTTCAAAACTTGGACAAAGAAACCTTGTGGTCCGTACTTTCTTAGGTACCCCACATTCTCTGACAACCAATGTTGCTGTGGATGCACATTCTAACGTTTTTCTTACATGTCCTTCGCTTGATTTGACTAAGGATCCAGGTTTCTGTTTTTCCAAGCAAAGCTAGCAAAATTATTGATATTGATTTCATAATATGCATGGAATTAACCAGTGTGAGAGAGAGAGAGAGGGAGAGAGAGAAGAAAAGAAGTGAGAGATGGAACTTGTGAAGTTATATACCCTTGATTTCCTTAACATTCAAATTCTCTCACAGTTGTGTGACAATCCACACAATCTGTGAGGAAACAAACTTTATACAAATGACCTAACCCAGAAAATTTTATAATTCTTGGGTCTAAGTTAGAGTCACTAGTAACTAATTAAACATAAAAAAAACCCAAATTAATGGGTTCAAAATAGTAGAAAAAACCAAAAATGAAAAAAAAGAGGGGACCAAGAATCACAATGAAGAATGATGTTAAAAAAAGAGAAGGCTGGCTATACAATGCTGCTGTGCTTCTCTTGGCCATCTTTCTCCAAGGCAAACCCCTTCACTTCACAGCTCTTTCTGTTCCATTTTTCATCTAAGCATAGATGTGAGAGAGCGAAAAACAACTTCTTCACAAGGGATTGTAAGGCCCATATCGTGGTCAAACCCAAACTCTTCCTCAGCTCGTCGAAGCAAGCATTGGAATTCAGGGTGAGTCAAGAATGAGATCGGGACAATGTATCTGCTTCTGTTTTCACCAACATAAACGGCAAAGTGACCTTTTGGTACGTCAAGAGGGAGACCATCTTCGTCATACCCATGTTTCTTGCCTAAGCTTGAACATCTCTTGAGAATTTGCTTGAGAATTGCGGTTTGAGGCAGTTTGGATGATTTTCTAATTGCCATTGTTGCTGGTGAGACTGAAAAATAATAGGCTTTTTGTTGGTGGTTTGAAGCAAAGGGAAATGAGGAGATTTAGAGAGGGGATAAGAGAGTGAAGTAGAAGAAGTGAGAGGGAGTGATATGGGTGGGATTGAGAAGGGGAGATGGGGGGGGTATTTATCTATGAAGAGATCAGTTGGAAGGAGAGAAAGGGGTCATGTGGGGGCAAAGCTAAAAGGACAAACCATGGGCGCTTTGGGGTATGTGTTATATGTGCAAAGGGCATGGTGGGAGCCAAACTCCATTTGGATTTCTACCCTTTGTTGGCCCTACTAATGACATGGACCCTCCCTTCCCCCCCCCCCCCTCCTATCTAGGGCTTTAGCTAGTTCTAATGTTGTAATTAATCTTCAAAATTTTCTCCCTCTTTCCCCATCTTTGCCCTTTACAAGTTGATAGCAGTAGCTATTTACTTTGCCATTCTCTGATGCAGATCTATACTTTTTTGGCCCCTAGTATCATGTAATCACAATGGCTGTGGGAGACAAAACACTCGGTTAATTATAAGAACGTGTACACGGGTAAGTGAATAGATACATGAATTCAAAAAAAAAAAAAAAAGAAGTTCAAGCAACATAGTCAATTTGCTAAGTAGTACTATGGCCCATCTCAACAGTATAGTATAATGTTCATTTCAAAGATTAGATTCTCTTACGATCACATCCTAGGTGAAAATTTATATTTCCTGGTTGTTTTTCATCTTTTGAAAGGACAAGACTTGTTGAAATGAGGTTACTCTAAAGGACACCCTACCAAGTTTTAGACCCTTCTTTTCAAAAAGTTTACTTGATGAAAAAAAGGCTATGCGCCCTAATGTGTAATCTGTCTTATTGTGTTTAATTAATTGCTAAGCAATATCATCTCCCTGTCTCTCTCTACCTGAAATCACGGACCGATAATTAGTGTACTGGAGAGTACAGCAGTTTTGTTGGTTTGGATTTTTCTAATTGTTTTGGCTTGTGATTCTGTAGTCTGTCATGCAGAAAAAAACAACATTTCTTCACTGCAGTATTTTTTTTTTTTTTTTGCAGAAACCCATGTGTTTTTTACTGCTAGATTTGCAGGTTTTGACCATAGTTGCATTGGTTTTTTACATGGCTATTACTCAGTTCAGTTAGTCATATTTCATCCGGAATTGCAAATTGAGCCAGACCAGGACATAAAAACCCCCCTCTCTAACATCTGCCTCTTCTGGCATTATTTATTACAGCCTTAAATTGCTTAAACAAAAAAAAAAAAGGAATTAAATGTGAAGAAAGATCCTTGAGGACCTTGAACTATAGGACTACCCGAGTATTCTCCATCCTATACTGTTTAATATTCTGCTTGAATATGAGTGATCTAGTTTATTCCATCACCAATAGTCCAACACCAAACTGTGTAATTGTCCCTCAATCTTCATGCTTTAATGGTCTCATTATGTTTCTAATGGCAATGAATTATTGAGGCTAAGGCAATAAAGACTTTCCAAGAGAAGCAAATGACTTTACTTTGTTATAGTAGTTCCTTCTCTAACCGTTTGACGGAAAAGGATGAGAAAAATATTAGCAATGATATTTTTCTCAACTGAATTGCCGGTGACCTCTCAAGTTGGCCGTTGAGTCTTAATCAAATTGGTTGCTGCTGCTGCTCAAACTTCAAAAAAATGCAAGGGTTCATTGTGAATATAAAATGAGCAAGAAAAGAAATTATGGTTTTGTTTTTTTTTTGGGTTATAATTCGATTATCCATTAGAGCAGTGTTGGCTGCTGGGAAAGAATGTCCCAAGGGCAGATGGGTTTGCATGCATGTGGTCCAGCTGAAATCTCCACTACAAATGTGCACCACTGATATCTTCCTGTCCTGGTTTTCTATTTCGAAAAAAGTCGTATCTCCATGTTCTAAGGCTCAGAAAGTGATCCAAAAAGGCTAGATCTAATGTCTGATTCGACAATGTCCTGCATTCATCTGTCTTCTCTTTTTGTTCATTACAAAACAAATTATAATTAATAACCCCAACAAACACAAACATAAGTACATTGGTTTAAAGGTCTTAAAGGATTCCATTTAAATGTAACAGACAGTTCATTCCTCAACTTAATCCGAATCTATAGCCACATCTTCCTTAATCTTAAAAAGTTGATCAACTACTACCAATGGCATTATTCTTTGAGATCCAGAAAAGTGAGTGAAAGTTGTTTTACTTTTATGTTGACAGGTGAGAGATTGAATGCATGATTTACGGCTAAAACAAGGACAAAAACAGGCATAAAAAATTACCCCATAGGTCACCATCTGTGAAATACACACTTGCATGTTCTGGGAATGAGATTGGGTGGGAGAGAAATAGATGAAAAAAAAATCTATGACGGGAAAGGCCCACCATTGCTCACCGAAATACGGTGCCCTGTTAAGCCAGGAGAGGCTGAGAGAGAGAGAGAGAGAGAGAGGCATATTTTTTTCTTTCACAGTTGAAAAAGACTTTGCCTTTTGTTGAGCACATGAAGGCCATGTTACTCTTGCCCCCCCAAGCTCTGTAAAGACAACTTAGTAAGGTCCTCTGAGGTCATTCACCAACTGCTTCAAACCGCAAACACATTTTTTTTAGCCCAACCATCACTCAAAACTGTAAACTACCCTCTTGGAATCTTTTATCAGTCTCTCAAATTTGTAAAAGTCATCAGTTCCCTGAGTCATGTTTTGTCCTTTCTACCAGCTGCTTTTACTACTTAACTGATTAACTGATATTAGTAGTTGGTTTATATAATTTTTTTATTTTAATAAATTTAAAGTTCAAATTTAAATTCCTACAGCCTTTCCAAATACTTGACCGCGAAGCCTCTTTGAAAAAAAATCATTGTACACCATTATCTACATCAGTACCTGTATTCCAATTGTATATATCAACATCCTCAAGATTATTTCATGCACAACAAACCAAAATTTGGTAATGGGAAAACACATATTTGTCAGAAATATTAACAAAAGATTGATAGTCTATCTTCACATATATAGTCCTTGATCATATGACAGAAATGCCATCTAAGTGAAAATAATTTTGCTCATCTATATGCGATAATTTAAAATAGATTATAATGATATGATATAAAAGTAATATAAAAAATATTAAAGTTATACAGTCTAAAGTTTTAACATAATATATAGATTTGATAAAAAAATAAAATTTTTTATTTGATGTGTTCATATAATTTGATGCAATATATTTTTTATATAAAATAAATATAATATAAATATATAAATTATCAAATTATCAAAATGATGTAGGGCAAATCATCTAAAAATTACATAAAAGATGAAGAGTGATATTATAATCAATCAGGTAGGGGTTGTAATCAAGGACTTTATCATTATTAACAGCTCAAACGACCAATGGAACAAACATGAGTAAACATACCTCGAGTATGAGAAGCCTAGACAAGGAAGGTCTCTGCAAATTGCTCGGTTTGAACCCACTATAACAAAATTTAGAAGATTTTTGAGATTTAAGGAATATAATATATATATATATATATATATATATATAAAGAAATCAAGTTACATTAACGTAGGATTTTTTAATTTTATATTTTTTCACTTGTAAATTTTAATAAATTTTAAAGATGGAATTAAAATTTATTTATTTATTTCTTTTATTGTTTAAATTTATTAAAATTAATAATTAAAAAAATATAAATTTTTTTATGTAACTAGACCCTAAAATATCTGTGCCTGATATTTGCAAATCCAAGAGGATAATGACAATGGAATCATATTGAAATGACATTGACAGCAAAGACACGACCCATCTAAACGCTAGAGTTGATGACCCCATTTCCATTTACAACCTTGACTTAAGAACATCGAAAGGACTGATTGAAGTACCTGAAGGGGACACTCCAATACGAGAAGTCATGCACTTTGGGAAAATAATGATACAAGTTTGGAAGCCAAAATATGCCATGTTAAGAGTAAAACATTCAAACGAAATTGTAACCTATCAAATACAGGATGAAAATGATACTATCATCAAAAAGTTTGATCCATCCAGCAAAAAACTGATATACTAGTAGTAGAACCATAGAGACTCATTAGCCATACACTCTGGCCCAAACAAAAGCAGAAATCCAGGCAGTTAATAAAAGGAAGATGACTATATTACCTTTTTAGCCATTAAAAAGAGAAAGAACAGTCATCCTCCTGATTTCAACACAAGTTCCGATTCCCCTGCATAATTTTTGGTTTCTGGTAGCGTATACTTGTACATCTAAAGAGCTTCTGAGAGCACTCAACTCAGCAGAAACTGGCATTTTTAGGTCAACAAAATTACCTTCCATTAAAGAAAGAAATAGTACAACTATTCTTTTTGCCTTTCATTTATAAGTCCAGAGCTCAAAAGCCATGAAAAAGAAAAAAAAAAAAAGAAATAGACAAAACTCTGCAAAGTCTAGAAAAGACATAGTACAGTTACTATGATATCATGTGCCTTTGCCGCAAAACCGATTTGAACTGAAGTGCAAGTCTCAAAATTTCCAGGACTAGTATAAATTCACTGGTCAGAGGGAGGTTTCAACTGTTGATTCTGCCCGTCAATCATGCTAATCTGTCGTCGGAGCTTAGCAATATGAGCTTGTACCTACAAATATGATTAAAATGTTGAAATATTTAAATTTGTTGGCATCTGTGTAACAATGAAATAATCCATTTTGAAAAGATGTCGTTGAACAAGTCTGAGAAAAAACAAACTCTGACTGTGGATGCTGAAAAAGTAAAGAGTTTAATGATTCACATTCCACAAATATAAACTCATCCTACGAAGTGCAAAATGCTGGGCATAAAACCCAACAAAACCCAGCAATATACTGGCCAGTAAAAAAGAAAAGCAAATAAATAGTTTTTCTTTTTTGACAAACCCCGCAATAGTCGAGTATTAGAAAGCACTGCACATGAAAATGCAGGGGCGGAAGTTTAATCCTTGAATCGTTGGGAAACAGTTCGAGATTGTTGGAAGAAGTTATCTTTTTGCATTATATGCTTGCTAATGATAAAAGTAAAAGCTATACAATTCAAGTTGTATTTTTTTCTTACTAACAGGAAAAAAGTTCGGAAAAAGTGTACATTTTAAGCATAATTAACTTATAGTCCCTCCTTCAAAAAGGGTTTAGCCAAGGCCTGCCACAGATAAAATTTTACAGCCAAAATGGAAGTCTTTTTGAAGTACAATACGTCAATAAGAAACAATTCAGTTGCATTTTTAGAAAAGAAGTCAACATGATCAAAAGCCATTTTACCAAACAAAGTGATGAAATAACTAAGTTTAGTACACTACATGGCACTGGCACTGTCAGCAAAACCGGGTGACTGCAATTGTTCTATTTCAAAAATGAATCCCGTTTTGTAGTTTCAATTTAATGCCTCATTGGTCCTACTAACTCCTTGATGCAGTTTCAATTTAACGACTATCTCTCATTTTCTTAACATTTTCCATCACTTTACTCCTTCCTGATGCCAAAATAAGGAAATTAGAATCTACCCAAAGCTAAAGGAACTGTCATCATTTCCAAGTTACTAAAAACTTTCTCTACTTTAGTTAGGAAGAGTGCCAAGAAGCCAAAACTAATGCCATGAAAATCGTATGCACTGGCCATACTTGAACAGTTAGTTATGGGATGTGAAGCACAACATTCTTGCTTACCTGCTGACGTGCAGCCGCAAGTTGTAATAGCTCATCTGCTTCTGAGAAATTCAAGAACCACTGGCTTAGTGGATGGTCCTTAGTGTCACCTCTATTCCTTTTGCTTTCATCTTCAATTGGTACTGCAAGCAATTTAATTAGAAGTATGCTCATTATCCAAAAGCATTACCCAGAATAATGCTTAGGTATATACCAGGGGGAGGTAATGTAAAACCAGCTGGTAATCTGGGGAAGGTAACAGCCGGATGATTCTGCACGCGAGCTAAAAAACTCTCTGACGGTTCTGTGAACACAATCTCATCGTAGAATTCCACAACAACAGGTTTCTTAGTTGACATAGGGCCAGATTCATCTTCTGGGTATAACTTCAAATGATGAAATCTGAGAACAAATTTTAAAATTAATATTTGATCTTGAGGCTTAGTATAGATTTTTGGTTTCAACCGATAGAGCAAATGATATGACGTTTTAATCATGAGAGTTGAGTCAGTTAAAAAATGAACCGTTGTTAGAAAACTCCTATAATCACTAAATATCTTCAGTTCGAGAAGAAAAAAAAAAGATCAGAAAATCCAACATTTGATTGGTCAAAGTTAGAACATTGTATCTGTTGACTACTTCAAATGTTTCAGTTTGATACCAATAAAATTTTTTAAGAAATTAAATGACAATAAAAAGATGACATACGGCAAGTAATTCATATATCTCATAGTTATACCTCATAAAATGAAATTCATTTATTTTTGACACTTGATTTACCATCTGATACACATTAAAGATAGAGTGTAATCTTTCATGCTAACACGAAACAGCGGAAGCAAGGTATCCTTATTTACATCAAAGACTATAACAAGCAGAAGTCATTTCTAATCCAACATATTTGTATTATTTTTCTTCTACACATTTTAAACTTTGATATACCGATTTTTACCAATGTCGTAATTGAACAATGACCTTATTTGGCCTACATTTATGTTATTTCTGAAACACCCCAATTAAATTAAAAACCAGATTAAAAGGCAAACAACTCACAGGTTCAAGGGCTTCTCACAAACATCGCTATGGAAGTAAAGTGTAATTGCAATCTCAAATTCACCCCACCCAGATTCTGATAACTCAAATGGAGCAGACTCCACCACTCTTGTAGGGTTATTGAAACTGGAATGCAACTGAAAAACAGCCCGCTTTACCACCACACTGAGATCCTCATTTGTTGCCCCGCGAACATATACAGTCCATTTATGAGATTGATAACTGAATTAAGCATTCAAAAACACAAACCAAACGTATATCGAAACGTGTAAATAACAAACCAAAGAGCAAACTGAAGTTCTAATAGTTTTTAAGTGTTTAGAAAATACTCACTCGCTTGCCTTTTTACCAAGCCAAAATGCAGCGTTACCAAACACAATAGGAACACTTATTTCAACATCTTTGAGCCTCTTCTGCACAAAGACTCATAAAAAAAGACAATAAAATATTCCTTAAACAACTTTGTTTTAATGCTATAATAATAAAACTTCAGAACATAGTTTTATAGTATAGTGCATTCAGGTTGAAAAACTAATTTTATTTTATAGGTAACATCATTTGATTACTGAAACAATGGGAAAAACTCCAAATCTGAAATGAAGACAAATTGTAGCTACAAAATTCAATTAAACACCATTCAAATAGCTGAAACAGAGCAATTTGAAAACAGAGTTCTAAAGAAACTGTTTTGAAATGACAAAAGCCAGTTTTTTGGCTTATTGGGTTATGATATTTCGGTGATTTGAGAAGCAGGTGATTGTCCAAATTTATATTGAAATCTTCAACATTACCTTATTTTCACTCTCTTCCGGTTTGCCCATTTGTGCTCGCTGTGATTTGGCCGTGGGCCCGCTTATCTCCTGCTGATCCGTACCGTGCTTTTTCGACGATGAACTATTTATCATATCATGTGAGAAAATTAGGCTCAAACTTGTAAGAAATGAAGGTTCGATTCGAAGAAAATTAGGGTTTTTCGTTCTCCTGCAGTACAGGGTCTGGTTTGCAATTGCAAGGAATTAGGGTTCGAGGAGTTGATTGCGTAAGATAGGTTTCTACAACTGTTATTGTATTAACCAATAAGAGAGCGACAAGTAATGTCAAACCAGAATATTGAATGACAAAAAAGCCCTTAATTTTAATGTTTTCGGCCCTAGGATTGGCTTATTTGAGTAATGCATTCACTACTAAATATTATATTCCGCTTCCTTTTCCCGTTAATTTTGTCGGATCATCCCTTGCTTAAATTACATCTGTTTACGACAACAGATTTTGTTAAACCATACAAGCACAGAAGTACTGACTGCCCTTAGCTTAGCATCATCTTTCAAAAGAGAAAAACATAAGTACTGCCCTGAATATTTAGCTGCTTAGTAGTTTGTCCTAAAACTGGAATTGAAATCCAAACTTTCAGATTTTCTGGGAAAAAGAAAGCCAAAGAGTTCAAACTTCTAAGTGGATGCCAAAGATGTCATGCAACCGTGAGAGTTTTTCTGTCTTTTTCCATACATTTCAAAGGGTGATATATTTTAAGAAACATATCTTCAAGGTATGCGTTTCCTTTTCCATTTTGTCATAAGTATACGTCCTCAAGGTAATTCAGAACCGCCAAAGTGAAGATGCTAACATGAACATAATTACCCTCTTAAACCGTTTGATTTGTCCCTAGCTTGCCCACAGTGCCCATTGACATTTCAAGAATCATCAGACAGATTATGAGGATGATAGATACAGAATCTGAATAATTATGGTCAATTTGCCAAACTCTGTGCTTCAGAATCTCATATGTTCATTCAAATAAAACCATCGTCATCCTGTAAGTTTTCTACAGAGAATTAATTTCTGCTCCATTCAACTAGTGACTTCAATCCAACTAAATGCAACATCTTTCTTTAATCCTCTCTGTTTCATCACCTCTCTTAACTGGCAAATCTCATCCCACATTCCAAATCTAGCATATAAATTAGATAGCTTAACATAAATTCCAACATTCTTGGGATCAAACTCAAGTGCCTTTTGAGCAGCAAACTTACCCAACTCAACATTGTCATGATCACTGCAAACACTAGGGAAAGCCACAGCCATTGTTGTGGCCTTTCTGAAGCATCTCATTAACCAACTTCATTGCCTTCTCCAACTCACCAGCCCTACATAGTAAATCAACCACACAACTATGGTGCTCTGCGCCAGGAAACAACTTGTAAACATGAGTCATGGAATCAAAAACTCAAGACCTAGTCCTATTTGACCAGTGTGACCACAAGCTGAGATGACTGTCACAAATGCCACCTCATCTGGTTTGATCCCTTCCTTCAACATCTCTTTAAATAACAAAACCACTTCTTCAAAGTTTCCATTTCTTCCATAAACACCAAGCATTGAAGTCCACGGAACATCATCCCTCCTTTTCTCCCCTCCCAATCTTAGCTCTGCCAAACTGAAAACTTGCAAAGCCTCCACCACCAGCCTACTTTTTCCATACATTTCAATCAATGAACTTTGCAGGAACACATCCTCCCCCACGTTATTAATGTACTTGCCTCGCCAATTCAATAGCTGAAAGCCCTGCTCATGCAAGTAAAATAGCTGATAACGTGAAATGATCACAACCCAAACTCAATTCAGGCATCTTCCTAACTAGTTCAAGTCCCTCAACCCACGATTTAGCTTCACAAAATCCCGATAGAAGCGCATTTGCACAAACAGAGTTCTTAGCAGGAATTTCATCAAACACCATTGCTGTATCAGCAATAAGTGACAACTTCTCATACAAATCAATAAGAGCACTGCCCACAAAGACACTCGGAAGCCAACCAGATTTTGCCACGTGGGAATGAATTTTTCTACCAAATTCAACATTTCTCGATGGGGATGAAGCTGTTAAGGAACTACACAAAGCATAAGTATCCAAAAAAAAGCCACTAAAGTGCATAAAAGAGAAGGTTTTTAGAGCAAAAAAAGCAAACCCATTTTTTGAAAAATCAGATATTATTACATTAAAAAGCAAAGCGTTTTTGGGTTTATGGATTTGAGGCAGTTGGTTAAGATTTTAAGGTTAGGTTTTTCTGTCAAGGCATGTGACATGTACAGAGCAAGCCTTTTTAAGCAAGTCAGCATGAAGGATTTTGGCGGCTATTAGATTCTTTGTTTGAGAACAATTTTGCAAAAATTTTGTGATGGATTCAAAGCTCATTAAAACTGGAAGAATAAAAGATTATGGAGTCTCTCAAACGCATTTTCTTCTTCCGAAAGGGTAGTTTGGTCATTTAATCAATCATAGCCGTTATGACAGCCCCTTGATAAAAATTGAAAAAAGAAATTGAAAAAGAAAACGTCTCAATTGTGGAAAAGGGAACAATTTTCATTCCATCCGAAGGATAAAATTTTCAGCCTTTTTTGCTAAAAAAAGAGAAACAAATATATTAACAATGAATTAGCTTTTCTTGATGTACAAAATTTGTTGGTTGGCTTCTCTTATGATCAATTCAAGCGAGAAGTAACATCCATGAATGCATCTTCATGGCATGGAATTGTGACACCTCCCATTGGATGATCAAAACCAAACTCTTCTTCAGCTTTGCTCAGCAAATCTTGAAACAAAGGTTGGTTCAAGAAGGATAGAGGAACCAAAAATCTCTTCTTTTGGGATTCTCCAACATACACAGGAAAGAAGCCCTTTGGTACATCTAAAGATGTTAAATATCTTTTGTTTGCAGTTAGAGCAGACCGGCGGAGGATATGCTTAGCAGCATTTGGCAGACGAATTGCCATTGATTTTCCTTGATGTTTTCTTTGAAAGAAAAATGAGAAGAAAGCTTTGTGTTTGTAATTCAATGAGTTGAGTTGATTGTGGCTTGTGATCAGAATATGTTGGTGTGTAAATATATATAGAACGATGATATGTGAAAATCCTCTAAAATCTTTGAGTGAGTGGCTATGAAACAATTGGTTAGGACATTGCTCAAGAGGGTACCACATGGTCTTGTCTTCCAATACTTCCACAATTATTAGGGGCAGAAAAATCATACTGTTGTCTGTTAACAAAACAATGTGCCCTACAAATTAGAAAATAGAGCAATCTAGGGCCATGAAAAGAAAGGAAGGGGATGTAGATGTAGAACTAAAGGAAAAAGGGACAGTTGGATTTTTGATGTAGATCTTTAATGAATAAGTGATTAACCCTTTGATTTAGGCTTTTGGGAAAACTGGTGGTATGTTGGGTGTTGGTTGCAGACTTGCAGTTGTAAATTAAGACCAAGGACATAAAAAAAGCAGGTGGATGAATCACTTTGATTATCCTTCTACATGAGGTTGTCATGCAAACCAATGACAGCAGTTATTGTACTAGTGACTAGAGTGAGTGCCCATGACATTGTTCCCGAGGTTGTCTTGTCTTGTCTGTCGATTGCTCAGAAAGATTAGACTGAAATTGTATTATTATCCAATTCATTGACAGATTTTTTTTCTCAAATTCAATTTGAATAAATTATCTCTTCAACTTTGGAGTGGAAACCCGTCTTAGGGCTTAGACATGAAACAAGATTTTTACTGCATTTGTGAAGTTTAATTGGAGATGAAAATAAGTAGAAAAGATAAAAAAGAGAGATGAGCTGCAAAGCTGCATATATCAAATTATGATTTAACATTAAAGTCACCAAAAAGTAATGGATGTAGTAACGCTAATTACTACAAACAGCAAGGTGAATGACATCAAAGCCTGTAAAAAAGAAATATATATTTATTTCTTCTGATTATCATACAATGATCTGTTTCTGAAGTAATAATCTAGCTCTACGTTGGGAATTTTTTACCTTTTCTGTCCATTTGTCTTTGGTTAACAGAATATTAGGAACAAAAGTCAATTGATCTGTGACTTCAAATTCAAAATTATTTGATTTCCTATTTCATATACAGGAGCACCATTGCAATCGGTTAGCAGAATATTAGGAACAAAAGTCAATTGAGTAAGATGTTAAAAAAAAGAGACAATTTCTATTCCTCTCATTTGGGACAATTTTTTCCCCTTAACAAATCCCATTTTGGCGAAAAAAAAAAAAGAGGGAAAAAGATTTACAAATGGCTGTTCTTTGTACACCAAAAAAAGTAAGTATTTGTTGCCTTCTCTTATGGACTATCCAAGCGAGAAGTTATATCAATGAACATTCTTCATGACAAGGAATTGTCAAACCACCCATTGGATGATTAAAACCAAATTCTTCTTCAGCTACGCTTAGCAAATCTTGGAACAAAGGTTAGTTCAGGAATGATAGGGGAACAACAAATCTCTTCTTTTCAGATTCTCCAACATAAACTGCAAAGCAGCCTTTTGGTACATCTAAAGATGTTGAAGCTCTTTTATTTGATGTCAGAGTGGAGCGGCGTAGAATTTGCTTAGCAGCAACAACACCAGGCAGACGAATTGCCATATCTTTTCGGTTGATAAATTCTTTGGATGAAAATTATGGGGAATGGATTCAATGTATTTGTTCTGTAGGGAGGCTTTTGAGGTTGTAATGTGAAGACTTGAGTTGGCTGTGATTTGTGATCAAAATATGTTGCTATATATAGGAGAATGATAAATAAAAATCCTCAAAAATATGGAAATGAGTGGCATTGCTCGGGCTTCCTTAGGATATTGCTTAAGAGGTCTCACATGGTGTTGTCTTCCAGCTCTTCTATAAGATTAAGGGCTGAAATGATACTGTGGTCTGTTTGTTGACAAACAATGTGCCCTAAAATTTTGAAATAAAACCAACCAGGGGCCATTGAAAGATTGGAAAGGAGCAGTTGGATATTTGATGTAGATGGAATGAGAGTTAGATATGGATGTAGACGGAGAAATAATGGACCGACATGATTGAGAGCCTGAGGCTGCTACCAAGGACTCTTTAGTCTTGAGGTTAAACTTAAGTAGACAATGGGGTCAGGCTCCTAGATTATCACAAGCATTCTCCTTAATTAGCTCCAGGCTGCAAGAGGAAAACACCCGGAACTGCTTTGGACATAGATCAAGAGGATAACATGTGGTTCTGCCTTCCAACCATTGACAAAAGATTAGGTGCTGAATAATTATCTTGTCTCCATGAACACACTCTAGTCTGGCCTAAAACTTAAAACATAAAAAACCAATTGAAAACAGGCTAAAGAATGGAAATGGACAGTTGGGTGCCCCCGAGATTTAAATGGATGAAGTTCTTTCAGCTTGGCTAGAACATGCTTAGGACATGAAGGAAATATAAACAAGCAAAATGTTGGAAGCAGGGGGGGATCAGACTAATTGGATAAGAAAAGAAAAAAAAAAGAATAGGATAAACTGCACAATTGGATATAGAGAATAATTTTTAATATGGAAGCAACCAAGAACTAAATGGATGTGATAAAGGGTTGTCACCCTAAACCAAAAGTTTGAAATATAATATCAAATGAACCCTAGATATAACCTAATTGATTTGTGTAATATTCTTAAGAGATGGCATCCCGCGTGATTGCGTTTCAAAAAAATATAATATCAGAACTAATCGAAGAAGATAAGGTTATCCATCTAAGACAAATAGTAGTGTGTAAAATCTACCTTTTCCTACTATTGATAAATCTAAGGTGAATATTATTGATATCTTCTGTGACTTCATATGATGAGGGAAACAAAAAAAAAAGTTCGCTTCTATTTTATATCCAATCCATGGCAATGCCTTGTCCAAGAACTTTGCCACTGCTCTCTGCTCTGCATACATGTCAAGCTGTCATGTAGCTCAAGGCTCTTCATATGCTCTAGTTACGGTATACAATCCACAAAGTTATTTGAATTGTTCATTTCAATGAGGTGGACTGGTACGTACTGAAACCAAGATATCAACATTTATATCTCCAAACTTACCATCCAATTAGGACAGAGCAGAACATGTAACTTCTTTCAATTTAAGAAAATTAAATGATATACCTTCATTTCTTTAATACATGATTTTAATTAGGATCCGTTGCTTATCAAAAGTAAGAACAAAAAAGTCATTGAAATGAAATGACATATCTGCGCATATGTTGAAAATAGAAATCAGAATGAAAAATGGGTACAAGCATTTTTTGCACATAAATGGAAGAAATATTTGTCTGAATGATGTTCTTTAAATGTTACAACTCACTAAAAAGTGAGAAAAGAGTAAACGTAAGTGAGCTACTCTTTAACATTGGTACATTTGGTGGACTTCACCACCCCATCTTTCTTCTGTCAAAAGAAAGGGAAAATGTACATGAATTTACAAAATTGTCTGCCATTTCTTCTGCCGCACATCACAAGTTCATAATCCACTCAATCGGGAAGTAAGATCAATGGAGTTCTCTTTTCGGCAGGGAATTGTGGAACCACCTATCGGGGGATCAAACCCGAATTCTTCCTCATCCTTGCTTAGCAATTCTTGAAATGAAGGCTGATTCAAGAATGATATAGGAATTACAAACCACTTCTTTTGGCTTTCTCCAACATAAATTGTGCAGTAGCCTTTTGGAACACTGTTAGAAGATACTTGATTTGCAAAATATTTTGATTGGCGTAAAACTTGTCTAGCATGCATAACACCAGGAATTCTAATAGCCATGGCTTTCAATTTGTTTTCCTTTTTCTATTTCCTTTTTTTTTTTTTTTGATGATGAAGCTTACTTGGGAGAAGAATATGAAGGCTTGATTTGGCTCTGAATGTGAATTATGTATATATAGATGGCTAAGTAAACAAAGAGATTTCCTGAAATCTTGAGTGAGTGGTCCACGACTCTAGAAGCATTTAAGAAGAGACATAAGCATCTGAAGTTTCACATGGTTCTGTCTTCCAATTTATCATCAAGAAATTAGAGGTGTTTAGAATGTATGTTTGTTAGAACACATCAATTGCTATCAACCTAGAATGGTCCCTATTCAATTTGGAATTGAGTTTCAATTAGATGACAGAAACCACTGGCCTTTCACCAAACGCACTAGTATTTGTTTCTTTTTTGTTTGAACTTTTAGGATAAATGCGAAGAGCATGTGAAGTATTTTCTGCTGCTAGTATCTGTCAGCATACTCCACCTAAATTGCATAAATGTTATCAGTATTCTTGGCATCAAAATTTGAACAGTGTAGAAGAGGGGATAATGGTGATCTGATAAAGGTTAGCCAAGCACATTCTAAACCACTCACAAGGGTCCCCGGTAAATATACACTTCCACATGTCTTTACATGCATCTGTTGGTGCAGAAAATACCAATATAGACCTTCTACTTACTAAGTTATGTTTTTGTACAAATGAGTTGTAATCTACGAATAGCAGAATTGATTGCAAATGTTGAGATTTGAATCTCAAATCTACTGAATATTAACTCTTAAGGTTGATTACATGAACCAACCAAGCTACGCTCCATGTTCTACTTACCAAGTTATGTCCAATAATATTTAAATGCTTGATTTGTTTGAAGAAAGGGGATAAAATGTGTGTTAACTAAGGCACTAAATTGTTTTAGTCGATATATCAAAGAAAGAAGAAAAACCGAAAATCTTGGAAAAATAAAATATCAAAGCAATGTCATTTGAATAATATTCTGAACTTTACAATTGATTCAAAACGTGAGAAAAACATTGACAATTTATGTTTAGGATATCTGTTCTTTGAGTACAAAATTCCATCTCATCTTCGGTAAGAAGGGAAAAATATGCACATGAAAGAACAAAGCTGCAGCTTCTAATTGATTCTAGTGCCAGTCAAAATCCACCCAGTTGAGAAGTACGTTCGATGAAATCGTCTTCCGTGCAGGGAATCGTTAGACCACCCATCGGATGATCAAATCCATATTCTTCCTCTGACATGCACAGTAACTCTTGATAAGAAGGCTGATTCAAGAATGATATTGGGATTATGAATCTCTTCTTACTCTCTCCAACATAAACTGCAATGTAGCCTGTGGGAACATCCAAGGATGCTGAATGATTTGGAAGAAGATTTGATCTGCGGAGAATCTGATTTAGCATGCATAATTCCAGGCAAACAAATAGCCATTGTCTTTGTTTAATGTTATTGCTTTAGAAGATGATGAGGATCACAAGTAAATTGGAGAGAAGAAAAGAAAAGATTTGCTATAAGAGATTAATGTGATGACTTGAGAATTGGCAATGAATACTATAGTACACAAATAGATCAAGGGTTTGCAGGAAAAAAGTGAGATGAGTGGTGAAGAAAGCATTTAGGTGGATTTTGTCTGGGACATAAGCATTTGAAGAATTGCATGATCCCGTCTTTCAAGTTGTTCTCAAAGACATCATTAACAGCGTGGAAAGGTTATTAGTTGCAGCACATGTTGCCCAACCATTTCCAGGAGAACAACCTACAAGTGACCCACTAAAATTGATGAGATGTTGGGAGGAGAAAACTTGATTAAACCAAATCAAACGACTTACATGCTATGGAGAAGTAACTACAGAGGTTGCAGAATCAATTATTTTTTGTTACAGATACATGATTAGTGATATGTAAAAATCCCCTTTCTGTGGATCACAAATTCTGAATCCATGATTCTCTCGAAAAGGACCGAACAAATTTGATTTCCCCCCAACCCCCCACCCCCGGCAAAGAACAACTAATATCAATTGGAATCCATAACCTACTTTGAATAAATTTGGGGCTTGTTCTTACCTAAAGTTCATGAAGAAATCCGAGATGCTATTCCTTAAGAGGGCTTGGGTCAAAAAGAAGGTAAATAGCCTTTATACTTTTAAGGTGCAAAACGGCTTGGGCAGGGATCTTTTCACTATGCCCTTTGGCATATGATATTAAGTTGAATTTGTTTCAAACCCAAATTTAATCCAAGCGCATCTTTCCCAAATTGTTACTCTTTCAGGATTTTGTAAGTTGGATTCCAAAAAAGAAAGGCTTATCAGGGAGGGATGTGAATAGAAAGGGTATAAATAAGATAAGATATATATATTTTTATTTTTAGAAATTTATATTATATTAATCTTCATAATTATATTTAATGAGTATTTCAAACATATTTTTATTTTTATTTTTATTAATATTTAATAAATATGGATAATTCATAAATCAATAACTTAAAAAAAGTTAAAAAATAAAAATTTTTATTTTTATTTTATATATTTAAGTTTTTTTATAAATATATTAATATATATTTTTAAAAATATATTAATTTTAATTAATTTAAAATAATAATTTATATTATTTAATAAAAAATTTATATATTAAATATAAAAAAAATTTATATGTAAAATATAGATACGAAATGTATTTTATATTATTTAATTTTATTTTGATACTCAATAAAAATATTTTTATTCTGATAAATTTCGAATTTTTTGTTGGATACGGATAAGATTGTCATCTTGGAGGCTAACCGATCTCATAGCAACAGCGTATACTGATATCCGCTTCTGTGTTATTCGTAATCCTGATTTTCTTCCTTTCCAGTACCAAGGTTTTCTTGTTTCTCCGCACCCATTTTCCTAGAAAAATTAGGGTTTAATTTCCTTAGAAAAACGAGTAAGATTCCAGGCTTGGGTTGGAGCGAGATTGATATTTCCAGGTAAGCTACGAATACCCTACATGTTCATCAGACACGAAAATTGGAGAAAAGTTGGTTTTGATAGGTGGGTGGATCTTGTTAAGGCTCTAGAAATTGATGGTTGTTGTCATTCTTTATTCCAATGATTAGCAGTGTTTGAAAATTCGTCTCATTGTGCCAAATTTTGAAAGATAGGAAAATGTAACATTAAATCCTGGAAAGGAGCAATATCAAATTATCAAACCGTAACAATGTTTTTGATAAGAATAAATGGAAGGTAAATTGAGAATAGAACAGTATAATTTGTATTAAAATAATTTCTCACAAGAGTATACATTTGGTCATCTCTTTCTGCCAAAAAGAACAGAAGGATGTGCATGAATAGACACAAATTGTATTGCTGATGAGGTTTTTTAGCTGTTGGCGACTAACGCAAGCGGGAAGTGAGATCAATGAAGAAATCTTCTCCGCAAGGAATTGTGAGTCCACCCATAGGATGATTGAATCTGAATTCTTCCTCAGCTATACTTAACAACTTCTGAAATGAAGGTTGCTTCAAGAATGAAATTGGAACTACAAATCGCTTCTTTTGGCTCTCTCCAACATAGACTGCAAAGTATCCTTTGGGAACATCCTTTGAGGTAGAGGTTGCTTGATTTGCAAACAGTTTAGACTGACGAAGAATCTGCTTGGCATGTGTAATTTTAGGCACACTGATAGCCATTGCTATTAGTGATTTGGAGTATGAGGAAGATCAGATAAGACTTGAAAGAAGGGTAAGATTTGCTAGTAGTGGAGGATGTGAGAATAATGCGTTGGCTCTGGTGTGGATAATGCACTTGTATATATAGATGGAAGAATGTATATAGGAAACTAATGGCTTGCAGACTGATTGGTTACGATGCATTCTGGTGGGGTTTGGTTGGAAGACATAAGAAGCTCAAGATCACATGGCTGTGTCCTTCAACAGATCATCAAGAAATAGGTTAATGCACTTGTATATATAGATGGAAGAATGTATATAGGAAACTAATGGCTTGCAGACTAATTGGTTACGATGCATTCTGGTGGGGTTTGGTTGGAAGACATAAGAAGCTCAAGATCACATGGCTGTGTCTTTCAACAGATCATCAAGAAATAGGTTGATATTGAGACTTTACATCTGTTACAATGCATTATTGCACGGCCATTCCGAAAGAATAACCAACAACGGACCCACTTGAAATCAAGGAAATTTGAGATAGGAAAAGTTTATTTTGTTGATGTAATTCTACAAAGAATTGTTGATGACGTGCTTAGTTAGTAGATATATCTGTGATATCAACCCATTTGGGGTCGACTTAACGGGCCTCATTTGAAATTCTGTCTGCACAAATCGGTAATCTCCACCTGACTTAGTTGTCCTTTGTTCAGATCAATGGGCCGTCCTAGTTGGAGTATTTTTTTTTTTTTGTCCTCTTGAAGATTTAAGCAATCTACCGGACTTTTTCCAAGGCAGATATACAACCATACGAGAAGCTTAAACAGTAACAAGCAACTGCTAAAGGCAAGAATACATCGGAATCTTATAACATGTCCCAGCGCTAAATGACAGGCATGTGTTCCTTCGGTGCAGTAACTTGTAAGACAAAACCTTCTGAAGAGCGTCTGAAGTGTGTCCTACAGGCTACAACTAGTCCTCATCAGAACCCAACTCATTGCCATTTATCATAGTTGTTGTCTTTGTCCTGCTGCAATTGTGCCCTGGGAGAGAAAGACAATATTAAGCCTGACAACTCACGAAATTTCTGGTATGTTGCTAACTATATGGGTAAACCTTACATGGAATCCTGTTTTAACCCACATTTCTGATGGCATATTTGTTGAGTTATCGGCATATATTGATTATTAACTATTAAACCCTCATTCTCACCTTTTTTTTTTAATCTTAACTGTTTGGCTAAAAGATTGGATAAGGGGAGACACGATGTCAGGTCAAAAGGAAATTAGTTTTAATTTATAAAAGGACATACTTGAGAGCATCTAGATCAAGTCACTCTGTCTAAATAGTTATTTGAGCTAAAAATGGATATCTGGTTTTTGAAGAAAAATGAATATCATAGTATTTGAGCTAAAAATGGATGTAACTGAATCCTGTTGATTATAAGATTGTAGGATTGGATGGCAAAAAATCCTGATGATTATGGCCCCTTACATTCCTGTTGCTGAGCTTAAACTGAATCGTATAATTACAGACATCAATATAGCCCTCGGCGGAAAAAGGGAAAAACTAAGAGATAAAGAGGAGAAAAATGAAGAAAAAAATATTCATCTTCGGATGGTGAATTTTTACTATAAATTTCCTTTACAGAAAAAAATGGAGACAAAAAATAGAGAAATTTACAATAAGTTGGATTATGTAAATACTCTGACTGCAAAACTGAGGTTGACCGTTTTCAGTCAACAAAATCAGAAAGCTTTTGTTTTCTACACTAGCCATCATTTTGCCTCTATTTAGTCGTCATTCAAACTACAAGCAAGTTCAATGAAGGCTTCTTCTGCATAAGGGATTATGAGAACCACCCATTGGATGATCAAAGCCAAACTCTTCTTCGGTCTGATTTAGTAGTTCTTGAAATGAAGGGTGTTTCAAGAATACAACTGGAACTGGAAAGCGCTTCTTTGAGGATTCACCTACATAAACAGCAAGGTGGTCTTTGCGTATTTTTGAAGCTGCAGTCACCCTTCGGATAATCTGCTTAGCATGAAGAAGTGCAGGTACTCGGAAACCCATAACTCTTATGTAACTGAAAAATGTAATCCCAGGATATGTATCTCCAAGTGCAGGATGCACCCTTTCTACTGTTATATATAGGGAAAATGGTAAAACCTAGTATCCTACTTTCCTGTGACAAGTGAAGTGAAACTTGTCTACCATCACAATTCACATGGATTTTGTCTACCAGAAAGTAAACAAAAGTTAACATAAAATTTCCATATTGCTTTCTATTATATTGAGATTTATGATCATAACCCACCGCTTCCAGAGGCTGCCTGACCCTGAATTGATTTTTGTTTAGACGAGCTGCTTGTAATGTAATCCCCCAGTTTTATTAATGGATAAATTGTAGGGACAATTATTTGGATTAGTCTATATCGTCAGTCGTACTATCAAAACTGATTGCAATCTCTACGCTGTTTATTTTCAGCATCGCTAGACACAATAACAAACAAGTCGATCAGCTCATGAGATGATGCTGCTTGACTTTTTGTTCTAGAGGAGTGATGATAAAAACTGGGCCTAATACGAAGAGATGAGAGATTTAATGGGAACATTGAGTCATCTAACATGTGATATCGTTCTCAGAATTGTCAAATCCAGCAAAAATTGTATTTCATTCTACCGGTCAACTTGGTAACATTTATAGGTGCAGAATCACAGGAAAAATATAAAATATAAATCATTTCAAGCTACATTTCATGGTCCTTTTATCTATTTATTTTTTTATTAATTCTTTGAGTTTCTTGAACAATTTTATACCATTTTGTGGAGGGATTGAATTCCTCGGATGAATCTATGAGTAATCATTTGTTCAACCATTTTTGTTATGAGAAAGGAGATCTTACAGCCACGTTCCAAGTATATGGTAAAGGAATAGTACCATTTAATCACATGCAGCAGAAAAGCAAGGAGTTGGTAATCCTCTGACTCCATCTCAAAGTAGTCTAAAAGCTACTTAATGTTGCATTCAGTCATTTGTCTAATTATTTGGTTACATATACACGAGTTAAGTGAGAAATTTGAAAATTTTCTTGAACATGACTAATGTTGATTAAGCATTAACAAGGTTAAAACCAAAAAATGCAGAAGGAATGATGTGTAAAGGAAGTCCAGATAAGGCGAAGTTTAGTTTCTATTGATACTGATCAATGTACATAAGGGAACCTATCTTCCTTTTCATTTCGTTTTTTTTTTCCCCGAATTTTCTTAACTTACGTTGAATTAAATGACTTAGTCCCCTGCTTTGAGATGGCTATGCCCATCCACCTGTAAAATAGCTATAGTTGGCCCCGACAGCTCAAATCTTTATATATCTTTTTTTTTTTAAAATAAAAATCTTAATTCATTGTCAAATTTACATAAAAAAATCTCCTTTGAGAATTATGAATGAATTTGACCTTTTGAGAACTTTATGAATGCAAAAGAAAACTGATAGTATGAAGTAATTTAGACCAAGGGAAATCACGTAATTTTAAATTAAAGATAAAACAAGAACAAGGCGACCATAAGAAATTCTGAAAAGAAACCAAAATTTCAATTGAACGATGCTTTTCATATTGTCATTTTCCATACTGATTGAAAAAAGTTACAGTAACCACCATCTCTAATTTGCCACTTGTGGAGACTTATATCTGCTCCCCAAGGCAAAAAGGATGCAGAAAAAGTGTTTACATGGTATTAGTGATGTTTGCTTTACAAAATTGTATAGGCTGATTTGTGTTAGTTCTCTCACAATCAATTCAAGCGAGAGGTAACATCAAGAAAGACGTCTTCATCGCAGAGAATTCTGAGACCGCCAGTGGGATGATTGTATCCGAATTCTTCTTCCGATAAGCCTAGCAAATCTTGAAATAAAGGCTGGTTCAGGAATGACACCGGTATCACAAACCTCTTCTGGTTTTCTCCAACATAAACTGCAAAGTAGCCCTTGGGAACTTTCTTAGCACTAACAATACGAGGCAAGCGGATAGGCATGGTTTCTTTTTTATGGATGTGTGCCTTTGGAAGGGAAGAATAGAAAGATGTCAGAGAACTTGGAAAGTGAAGTTAAACAACTTTGGACTTGAGAATGTGAAGATAAGTGTTGCCAATGAACTTATTCTTACTTGTATATATAGATGTAAGGGATACAAGGAAAATGATGCTCTATTAAGCATGGAATGTGGAATGAGAGGCTAAGAAACAATTGCTGGGGTCCGATCAGTAATGAGAGACGTGGGTTCATGAGGGGAATCACATGGTGTTGTCTTCCACCTCAGAATCAAGAATTCCTTGGCAATGACTGGAAAGGAAAGTTTGCCTACCCATTCCGGCAAGACAAACCGACTTAGGACCCGGTCAAACATGGAAGAATTAGATTCGTAAAAGACTTGTTCACAGTAATGGAGTAGTACTACTTCGCCATTTGTGTTAGAGGCAAGCTTGAAGCATATAAGCTGTCATACAATGACAGGAAACATATAACATGGGCTACCTTGACCTTCTATGGAGACTCAAGGAAAAAAATGAAAATAGAAAAGAGATAAGAGTTTATCTGCCTTTTTTTTTTTTTTTTCATCAGAAAGGAGATCTTACTCAACCACATTCCAAGTATAAGGTAAAGGAGACCATTTAATCACATGAAGCATAAAAGCAAGGAGTTGCTAGTCCTCTGACTGTCTAAAATGGTCTAAAAAATATTTGATGTTTTATTCGGTCATTTGTCTAATTATTTGGTTACATAATCCTAAAAAAAAAAAAAATCTATTTGGTTACATATACGAGAGAACTTGATCATGGCTTTTTCTTTTTTTTTCAAAATTTTTTTAATAAATTTGAGAACATGACTAATGTTGATTATGCATTCAAAATGATAGAATCAAAACATGTAAAAGGAGATCCAGATTAGGCAAGTTTAGTCTCTAATAATACTGATCATGAAAAAATTAAATATTCCTTTTACATGTTTGATGTATCTTATTATTGAATAATATTACAGATTAGGCAAGTTTAGTCTCTAATAATAAGGACATTATTCAATGTTTGATGTATCTTATTATTGATAATAAGATACTAAACATTATTCAATTATAAGATAATAAGATAACATTATTCAATGTATCTTATTATTGAGAAAATGTTTTTTGTTTTTATTTTTTATTTTTATTTTCTAAAAAATAGTTTTTATTTTCAATTTTTTGTTTTCTAAAAAATGCATTTGGTAAGAGAAAAAAAATTATTTTTTAAAAATGTAAAAATAAGAAAATAAATAAAATATTCAATGATATTATTATTAATGTCATCTAATAATAAATATAATATATATTTATTAATTAATGACATAAAATGTGTACAAATATGATAACTTATAAAAACATAACGAAAAAAGTAATTTATATCCTTTGTTTTCATAAGTGAAAAATTTTTTTGTTTTCATATTTCAACCCATTTTTATTTTTTTTCTAAAATATATTTTCATTTCCAATTACCAAACATGTTTTTACTCATATTTTTTATTTTCTAAGAAAATAAAAACAGAAAATGTTTTTGTTTTCTGAAACCAAACACTACCTAAATATTTCATTTTTCATCTTAATATTGAATAATGTTTTTTTTTTTGTTAAATTGTAACAAGATAACCATAGAAAAATTATAAAAAAAAAAAATGAAATTGGATTGTGATTTTGAAGCACTTATTTACGGTTACATCAAATCCACCTCTAATTTCCCACTTAAGAGACTTGTCTACCCCCTCCCAGGGCAAAAGGAAGTGGAAAAAAATTGTAAACGGTATGGTAAATTAGTAATGGCGTTATATTTGCTTTACAAATGAATACTGTATTCACTGATCAATGCCAATTGCCTCATAATCCGTTCAATCGAGAAGTAAGATCAAGAAAAACGTCTTCACCGCAGGGAATTCTGAGACCACCTCCAGGATGATCATATCCAAACTCTTCTTCTGATAGGCTTAGCTGATCTTGAAATAAAGAGTTGTTCAAGTATGACACTGGTATCACAAATCTCTTCTGCTTTTCTCCCACGTACTTGCCAGAGGAGATGATGCCCGAAGAATTCTTTTAGCATTGACAATTCGTGGCAAACGGAAACCCATGTTTTTTTATGATTAAAATTGTGAAAACTTGGGATTGCTGATGAATGGAATCATAGTATGTATATTTAGACGAAAGGGAATGATGGGCAATTACTTTGGGGTCTAAATGGGCGACATGGGCTCATAAGGGGTTCACATGGCGTTGTCTTTCCAACTCATCATCAGGAATTCCAAAGCAAGCCTAGAAGAAGACCTGTCTTACCTGTTCCAGCAAAACAACCGACTCAGGACCCACTCAACTACGGAATGGAAGTTATGGATCGGTGAAAAAACCTGTTCATTTTCCAGGTGTAGTGCTGCTTATTTACATTAATTAGAGGCATACGTGAGACATGTAACACCTTTCCTTCCTGTTGTTGTGAATACTGAGAACATGTAACATGAACATTGAAATGCCATGCCTGATATTAATTTGTCGAAACTTGAAACACACTTGGAATTCTAAGGAACTCTACAAGAATTTTCATGAAGGTCAAACAAAGTACGGATTATCTTTAAAAAAAAAAATCTTGCTTGATAGTACTTCTTAGTTGTTAGACATCCTGGACTCAATTGCACCGCCAAATGAGTAGCCTTGTTTTCTCTTGTAGATATGCTGTTCGATCGCTATCAACACCAGGTAGCTCAGAGGAAGGTGTAGGGGAAAAGAAAAGAAAGAATGGAAGAAAAATTAAGGAAACTAAGAATTGGTAGCGTAAATGCCTAATTCAGAAAATCGAAAAAGGAAGAAATTCTCAAATAAGTTATTAGTTATATATCTGGGAAATTTTATCACAGATCAAGCGGACATGAGGTTCAAAATGTTGACTGAAATTTCCAATTTGATGATAATTTTGACTGGAGGCTCAAGGGTAAATTGTAATTAACCAACTAATTGAATGAGGTGTGCCAGCGAAAAGGCTTATGGACAAGTGAAGTTCACATGAAGCGATGGTCTACTTCTAGTCTCTTGCATCGTCAGTTAGATAGTTACAAACCCCTATTTTGACCAAAATCATTTAGACTGAAAAGCCAAGAGGTTCAATGACAGCAAAGAAATAGGAATCAACATTCCTGGAATGAGAAGCTGCCTTTTGGATGGACCCTTAGGCCTTATAAAATATTTCTTTATGGAAATAAGTTCCAATGGACCCTGTTCATGCAAGACCAAACTTTTTCAACCAGAATGACTGACAGTTAAAAGATAAACAATTACTGTATTTGATACCATAAGTGATGACAGACTATATATCCACATTTGTTGTGTAGGTTAGTGTCCTTGTTAAAATGCATTAGTAAGTATCCACCCTGGTTGATTTTGAGTTCAAATTGATTGTTTATTTGTATTGTTACACAACCAACATTAGAAACAAAATTGATGAGAAGAATACGTTGGGTTAAAAATATGTCATTTACTACACATTGGTTACAAAGAAGAATTAAGTTCGCAAAGAAATGGGATTGCAAAAAACAATCCACCGTTTAAACTTGCTCCTATAAAAATTGTTATTAATTGTCTGATGAACTAGAGAGTTAATCTCTGCTTGGTTAACCATTTTCATGTCAACTCTCATGAGCTTTGCAGACTGCAAGTGAGATCAATGAAAGCTTCTTCGCTGCAGGGAATCGTCAGAGCACCCATAGGATGATTAAATCCATACTCTTCTTCAGCTTGACTCAATAAATTTTGGAAGGACGGATGCTTCAGGAATGAAATTGGGACAATAAATCTCTTCTTTTCATCTTCTCCAACATAAACAGCGAAATGGCCTTTGGGCACCATTGTGGTCTCTGAGGATGAAAGAGTCCGTTTTAGACTCGGCTTAGCATTAACAAATCTTGGCAAGCGGAAACCCATGGTTTTGTGAATTGAGATTGTATTACTAGTACTAGATGGAAGAAAGGTATGTGTAGAACTTGAAAAACTCGGCAAGACTTTTGGCACTGCAGGATGACTATCAATGGAATGTATATTTATAGGAAGTAAACGCTTTATGGTTGGCAATCTCAGGCTGATTGAGCGGTGAAGAGAGAACCCCAATGGAAGATCTTTAAAAACATAGGCTATGAGGAATCACATGGCCTTGCCTCCCAAATGATGATAAAATTTTTGACAAATTTTCGCACCTTAGTCTATTCCGTTGCATTCTATCATGGCTTAGCATTCAAGGAAACCAACAATGATGGCCCATTTAAAATAAAATATCATTGAATCATGGCCTGAGGATAATAACTCAGTAGATTATATGGATGAAGAGTTTTGAAGCAAAATAATATCAATAGCGACTATATATGAGTTCGTTTGCTAGCCCTACATGTCATGGGCTTTTTATTTATTTATTTATTCTTTCTTTTTTTCTATGAGTTTCTTGAACAATTTTATACCATTTTGCGCCGGGATTGAATTCGTCAGCTGAATCTACGAGTAATCATTAGACTTGTTTGACCATTTTTGTTATGAGAAAAGAGATCTTACAACCACATTCCAAGCATATGGTAACGGAATAGTACCATTTAATCACATGAAGCATAAAAGCAAGGAGTTGGTAATCCTCTGACACTTATCTCAAAATGGTCTAAAAGCTACTTGATGTTGCATTTAGTCATTTGTCTAATTATTTGGTTACATATACACGAGTTGAGTGAGAAAATTTGAAAAATTTTCTTGAACATGACTAATGTTGATTAAACATAATAACGTTAAAACCAAAAAATGTAGAAGGAATGATATGGAAAGGAGGTCCAGATAAGGCCAAGATTAGATACTGATCAATGTAGATAAGGGAATTGGTATTTTTTCCCCGAAATTTTCTTACCTAACGCTTGAATTAAATGACTTAGTCCTCTGCTTTGAGATGGCTATGCCCATCCAGCTGTAAAATAGCTATAGTTGGCCGTGACAGCTCGAATCTTTAATTATATATATATATATATTTAAAATAAAAATTTTTATATATCTTAATTCATTGTCAAAACGACATAAGAAAATCTCTTTTGAGAATTATGAACGAATACCTTTTGAGAACTTTACTAATGCAAAAGAAAACCGGTAGTATGAAGTCATTTAGACCAAGGGAAATCATGTAAATTTAAATTAAAGATAAGACAAGAACAAGTCAACCATAGGAAATTCTGACAAAAAACGAAAATTTCAATCAAACGATGCTTTTCATATTATCATTTTCCATATTGATTGATAAAAGTTACAGTGACCACCATCTCTAATTTTCCATTTAGGGAGGCTTATATCTGCTCCCCAAGGCAAAAATGATGGGGAAAAAAGTGTTTAGATGGTATTAGTGATGTTTGCTTTACAAAATTGTATAGGCTGATTTGTGTTAATTCTCTCACAATCAATTCAAGCGAGAGGTAACATCAAGAAAGACGTCTTCATCGCAGAGAATTCTGAGACCGCCAGTGGGATGATTGTATCCGAATTCTTCTTCCGATAAGCCTAGCAAATCTTGAAATAAAGGCTGGTTCAGGAATGACACCGGTATCACAAACCTCTTCTGGTTTTCTCCAACATAAACTGCAAAGTAGCCCTTGGGAACTTTCTTAGCACTAACAATACGAGGCAAGCGGATAGGCATGGTTTCTTTTTTATGGATGTGTGCCTTTGGAAGGGAAGAATAGAAAGATCTCAAAGAACTTGGAAAGTGAAGTTAAAACAACTTTGGACTTGAGAATGTGAAGATAAGTGTTGCCAATGAACTTATTCTTACTTGTATATATAGATGTAAGGGATACAAGGGAAATGATACTCTATTAAGTGGGGAATGAGAGGTGAAGGAGCAATTGCTGGGGTCCGATCAGTAATGAGAGAGACATGGGTTCAAGAGGGGAATCACATGGTGTTGTCTTCCAACTCATTATCAAGAATTCCTTGGCAATGACTGGAAAGCAAAGTTTCCCTACCCCTTCCGGCAAGACAAACAGACTTAGGACCCACTCAAACATGGAAGAATTAGAGTCGTAAAAGGCTTGTTCACAGTATAAGAGTAGTACCACTTCGCCATTTCTGTTTAGAGGCAAGCTTGAGACATATAATCTGTCATACAATGACAGGAAAAACATATAACATGGGCTACCTTGACCTTCTATGGAAACTTGAGGAAAAAAAGAAAATAGAAACGAGATAAGAGTTTATCTGTTTTTTTATTTTGGTTATGAGAAAGGAGATCTTACTCAACCATATTCCAAGTATATATCGTAAAGGAATACCATATATTTAATCATATGAAGCAGAAAAGCAAGGAGTTGGTAGTCCCCTGACTATCTAAAATGGTCTAAAGTTATTTGATGTTTTACTCAGTCATTTGTCTAATTATTTGGTCACATAATCCTTAAAAAAAAAAAATTATTTGGTTACGTAAACGAGAGGACTTGATCATGGCTTTTTTTTTTTTTTTTTTTTTATTTGGGAACATAACTAATCTTGATCATGCATTCATAATGACAGAATCAAAACATGTAAAAGGAGATCCAGATTAGGCAAGTTTAGTCTCTAAGGCTGCATTTGGATTCAGCTGGGAAACCAAAAAGCCAGCTTTGTGATCCAAATGAAATCATGGTGAGGCACGGTTGGAAGAATCTATCGCACCACACATCCAATTCGCCACTGAATCTTTTAGGTCCAGTGAAAAATTATTTCTTCTACCGCAGTTATGTATTTTAATATTATTCATATTTTTTCTTTTTTGCCCTTGAAGATATGGTGTAAGGACCAAAATATTCTTGTCATTTTATCTTTCATTTTTTTGTTCAAAAATTATAAATAATTTTGTCAATTTAGTATAATAAATATATATATTTTTACAATTGAGTAATTAATTAAAGTAAATAATTACATAAAATACTTTTTAAAATTTTTAGTTAAATAATTTAAATTTTTATTACATATAAATTTTAAACTAATGTCTTAATGATTATTTTTTATCTTATTAAAATTCATGTTACTGTCACTATTGTGTTTATATCCAAACATATATTTTTATCATTAATTTTAATTTCACCGTTATATTAACTAATCTCATTATTATCATTTTTTTTTAATTTCACTGGACTTAAAACTCATTGCTTATCTAAATGGACCCTAATAATATTGATCAATGTGAATAAAGTAACCTATTTTTATTACTTTTTTTAAAAATTTTTAAAGATTAATACATAAATGATCCTTGAATTATATTATATTTTAAGATTTGGTACTTTAAAAAAAAATTCACGATCAGATACCTTCATTTCTATTCCATCAAGGGCTTTATTCTATACACTAATAAACAAGACCTTATGTAATAGCTTGGGTAATTTAGAGGAATTTTAGTTTTGTTTATTTTGGGTTTTGTTGATTTGAACATTATGTTTTGTATCATTTCATCCAAGTAATTTTTTTTTCTCTTTCTTTGGGTTATTGAAATAAAATTTTTTAATTATCCAAAAAATGAAATTACATATTTTTGTTTATTCTTATGGTATCAAAACATTAAACTCGAAGTTGTCGTTTAATTTAATTGAAAAAATCCGTTTATGGTATTATCAAGAATTTGAAATTATAATTCATACTTTTATCTTCTAATCTTATTATTGAATTATGGTTTTTTTTTTTAAATTGTAACAAGATAGCCATGGAAAAGTTTTTAAAAAAAAATTATGAAATTGGATTGTGATTTTGAAACAATTATTTGCAGTTGCATCAAATCCACCTCTAATTTCCCACTTAGGAGACTTGTCTCTGCCCTCTCCCAAGCCAAAAGGAAGTGGAAAAAAATTGTAAACGGTATAGTAAGGGCTTTATATTTGCTTTACAAATTAATACTGTCTTCACTGATCGATGCCAGTTGCCTCATAATCCTTTCAATCGAGAACTAAGATCAAGAAAAACGTCTTCACCGCAGGGAATTCTGAGACCACCTCCAGGATGATCGTATCCAAACTCTTTTTCTGATAGGTTTAGCAGATCTTGAAATAAAGAGTTGTTTAAGTATGATACTGGTATCACAAATCTTTTCTGGTTTTCTCCCAAGTAAACTGCAAAGTAGCCCTTGGGAACATCTGTTGCCAGAGGAGATGATGCGCGAAGAATTCTCTTAGCATTGACAATTCGTGGCTAACGGAAACCCATGGTTTTTTTATGCTTAAGATTGTGAAAACTTGGGATTGCTGATGAAGGGAATCATAGTATGTACATATATAGATGAAAGGGAATGATGGGCAATTACTTTGGGGTCTAAATGGCGACAAGGGCTCATAGGGGGTTCACATGGCGTTGTCTTTCCAAGCCATTATCAGGAATTCCAAAGCAAGCCTAGAAGAAAACCTGGCTCACCTGTTCCAGCAAAACAACCGACTTGGGACCCGCTCAAATATGGAAGGGAAGTTATGAATCAGGAAATGTTCATTTTCAGGCGTAGTGCTGCTTATTTGCATTAATTAGAGGCATGCTTGAGACATGTAACACAATTTCTTCGGATTGTTGTGAATACTGAGAACATGTAACATGAATTTGAAACTTGAAACAAGTTTGGAATTCTAAGGAACTCTACAAGAATTTTCGTGAAGGTCAAACAAAGTACGGAATGTCTTTAAAAAGAATCTTGCTTGATGGTACTTCTTAGTTGTTAGACATCCTGGACTCAATTGCACCACCAAATGAGCAGCTTTGTTTTCTCTTGTAGATGTACTGTTCGATCGCGATCAACACCCACTTCGAAAGGACAGTGGAAGGTTTAGGGGAAGAGAAAAGAAAGAATGGAAGAAAAACTAAAACTAAAGAAACTTAGAGTTGGTACCCTAAATGCCTAATTCAGAACAACGAAAAAGGAAGAAATTCTCCTATAAGTTATTAGTTATATATCTGCGAAATTTTATCAGAGATCAACGGGACAAGAGGTTCAAAATGTTAACTGAAATTTCCAATTTGATGATAATTTTGACTGGAGGCTCAAGGGTAAATTGTAATTAACCCACCAATTGAATGAAACGTCCAGCGAAGAGGCTTATGCACAAGTCCATGAAGTTCTCATGAAGCGATGGCCTGCTTGTAGTCTCCTGTATCGTAAGTTCGATTCCAAACCCCGATTTAGACCAAAATCATATAGATCGTAAAGCGATGAGTCCCAATGACAGCAAAGAAATAGGAATCAACATTCCTGGAATGAGAAGCAACCTTTTGGATGGACCCCTTATCCAAAATAGCCCAAAATATTTCTTTACGGAAATAAGTTCCATCCAAAAGCAAACGAACCCTGTTCATGCAAGACCAACCCTTTTCAACCAGAATGACTGACAGGCAAAAAATAAACAATTACTGTATTTGATACTGTAAATGATGACAGATTATATATCCACATTAGCATTATCGCACGTTGTGTAGGTAAGTGTCCTAGTTATAATTCATTAGTTAATATCTGCCCATGGCTGATTTTGAGTTCAAATTGATTGTATATTTGTATTAATACACAGCCACCATTAGAAACAAAATTAATGAGAAGAAAAAGTTGGGTTAAAAAAATGTCATTTACTATATATTGGTTAGAAAGAAGAAATAAGCTCACAAGGGAATGGAATTGCAAAAAACAATCCACCATTTACACTTGCTCCTATATAAAATCGGTATTAATTTTCTGATGAGCTAGAGAGTTAATCTCCTCTTGGTTAACCATTTTCAGGTCAACTCTCATGAACTTTGCAGACTGCAAGTGAGACCAATGAAAGCTTCTTCGCTGCAGGGAATCGTCAGAGCACCCATAGGATGATTAAATCCATACTCTTCTTCAGCTTGACTTAATAAATTTTGGAAGGAAGGATGCTTCAGGAATGAAATTGGGACAATAAATCTCTTCTTTTCATCTTCTCCAACATAAACAGCTAAGTGGCCTTTGGGCACCGTTGTGGTCTCTGAGGATGAAAGAGTCCGTTTTAGACTCGGCTTAGCATTAACAATTCTCAGCAAGCGGAAACCCATGGTTTTGTGAATTGAGATAATTTTACTAGTACTAGATGGAAGAAAGGTATGTGTAGAACTTGAAGAACTCGTCAAGACTTTTGGTACTGCAGGATGACTATCAATGGAATGTATATTTATAGGAAGCAAATGCTTTATGGTTGGCAATCTCAGGCTGATTGAGTGGTGAAGAGAGAACCCCAGTGGAAGATCTTTAAAGACATAGGCTATGAGGAATCACATGGCCTTGCCTCCCAAATGATGATAAAATTTTTGACAAATTTTTGCACCATAGTCTATTCTGTTGCATTCTGCCATGGCTTAGCATTCAATGAAACCAACAATGATGGCCAAATTGAAATACAATAACATTGAATCATGGCCTGTGGATAACAACTTAGTAGATTATATGGATGAAAATTCTTGAAGCAAAATAATATTAGTAGCGACTATAAATGAGCCAAAATTTTTTTCTGTTACTTTTTTCAAATCTATCATGCAATAGATTTTTTTATCTCCGCTTACACATAATAGAGGCCTGTCAGTGTGGTATTATCCTACATCATAGTATGCTTCTTCCATCTCCCCTTACATATGATGGGAGTCTATTAGTAAGTGGAGGGGCCTAACTTAAATATAAAATTACAAAAAATTAAATATTTATTAGATGTGAGATAACACTACAATAACAAAACCCCATAAAATGTAGGTGGAGATGGAATAAGCTTACTATACGACAGATTTGGAAAGAACAATAAAAGAAGCTCAACTTGAATATAATATTACAAAGAATTAGATATTCATTAGATGTGAGATAATACCACACTAATAGGTCCCCATCACGTATAGGGAGAAATAAAAAAAACTTACTACATGATAGATTTGAAAAAGGCATAAGAAAGAAATTAAATATCCAATTTAAAACTAATTAGCTATAAATTAAGGAAATATAAGAAGTCTACTATGTGATAAATTTGGAAAAGGCAATAGAGTGACAAATTTAAAAAGGACAACAAAAAGAAATCATTGCTATGATACATGTTAAGCATCCAACTTCTAATTTAAAACCAATTGGCCATGGCTCTAATACCATGTTAAAATCTAACTTCTAACTTAAAATTGGCTGTAAGTGGATGAAATAGAAGAAGTCTACTATGTGATAGATTTAGAAAGGGTAATAGAAAGAAATCATCGCCTGATACTATGTTATGCATTCAACTTCCAACTTAAAACTAATTAATTGTAAGTGAAATGGCCCAACTGAATATAAGATTACAGAATATTAAATATTTATTAGATGTGAGAAAATATCATATCAATAATTAGGATAAAAAGCTAGAGCAACTAGTACCACATGATATATGACTACGTTAAAATTAGGTTGAAACAAGTTATCGGTATCCAACTTTTAACTTAAAATCAATTGGCTATAAGTTGAGGAGATGAGAAAAGCTTATTACTAGGCAAATTTGGAAAAAAGCAATAGAGTGACAGATTTGAAAAGGACAACAAAAAAAAATCATGGCTCTGATATTATATTAAGCATATAGCTTTTAACTTAAAACCAATTTGCCATCATTCTGATGTCATGTTAAGTATCCAACTTTCAACTTAAAACTGATTGGTTGTAAGTTTTAAGTGAAAAAGATAAAAAACCTACTACATAACAGATTTAGAAAGGGTAATAGAAAGAAATCATAACTTTGATATTACATTAAGCTTCTAATTTTCAACTTAAAATCACTTGATCGTAAGTGAAAAAACTTAATTTGAATATAAAATTATATGATATTATATATTTATTAGATATGAGATGATATCTTATTAACAATTAGGATGAAAGGCCAGAGCAACTAGTACCACTTGTTTAATGACTATGCTAAAATCTAGTTGAAATAAGTTATCAATTCATGTGAGATTGTTTCATTACTTGTACAAGTAAGGAATGGGAAATTCTAGGAACTTGGTTGGTTAAGCCTAGAATTTAAGGGTGTATAGTAAAACCATGAGGCCTTTGGGCATGATAGTAAAAAAATAGTTATTAATTGCATTGTTAAAAGATGCTTAATCTTCTTAGGTCGACCTCATATATTTTGGAAAATTTTTTATAAAGTTGATAATTTTAAATATAATAGTGATATGATTAAAAAAATATAAAAGATAAAATAAAAATAATACAGTATAAAATTTTAGAAAAAATTGTATATGATTTGGCAAAAAGAAAAAAATATATTTTATATTTAACTTGTTGACACGAATTTAATATGATAATTTTTATATTTTATACATATTTAATATAAAAAAGATACAATATGATGTATAAATTATCAGATCTATTTTTTATTTTTTTAAGAAATAAATTAAATTTCCATGTAAATATGGACTCTGTTAATGTATGAAACCTTTTTTTAACCTGGCAGAAAGAAAAAAATAAAAAGCTTCTTAACTTGGAAAATAGATTATGGCAGAAAATATCCACCTTTCCGAATTCAAATTGCAAAGGTACGCATCATAGGTAAAGTGATAAATTATATCACACAGAACCATTAAAAAATATAAAATTGATAAAAAGAACGAGTCAATTTCATTTATATATTGGTTACAAAAAATAACTAAGTTCACAAGGGCATAGAATAGCAGAAAATAAATCCTCCATAAACGCTCGCTTCACTACAATAAAATTGGTAGGTGTCAGTTGAGCTAAAAATCAGTCAATCTCTGCTTGGTTAGCCATTTTCAAATCATTTCTTCTCATGAGCTTTGCAAATTGCAAGTAAGATCAATGAAAGCTTCTTCGTTACAAGGGATTGTCAAAGCACCCATAGGATGATTGAACCCGAACTCTTTTTCAGCTTGACTCAACAAATTTTTGAAGGAAGGATGCTTCAGGATTGAAATTGGGACAACAAATCTCTTCTTTTCAGCTTCTCCAACATAAACAGCAAAGTGGCCTTTTGGCACCACTGTGGTCTCCGAAGACGAAAGAGTCCGTTTTAGACTCGACCTAGCGTTAACAATTCTAGGCAAGCGGAAACCCATGGTTTTTGTGAATTGAGATTGTTTTACAAGTAGTAGAAGTGGAACTTTGAGAACTAGCTTGGAAAGGCTTTGGCACTGGGTGGCTGGCTATCCATTAGAATTTGTATTTATAGAGAGCAAACAATGCGTTATGGTCAGCAGTCGCAGGCCAAATGAGCGGTGAAGAGAGAATGCTATAGAGACAAATGTTGGGAGGAATCACATGGCCTTGCATCCTAACAAATAAAAACATTTTGATAAACTTTGGTGGTATCTTAGTCTATTCTGTTGCAATCTATCAAGCTCACCATTCAATGAAACCAACAATACTGGCCCATTTGAAAAACTATATCATTAAATCATGGCTAGATGATAATGACTTTACTTTGCAGGTCATACGGATGAAATATTACGAGCATAATAATCGAAATAATCATATCCACTAGCTACTATGAGATGGTATGCTAGCCCTACATGTTTGCTCACGATAATGGGATCGAAGACAAGAGCAGCTTGTACTGCTTGTTCTATGACTGTTGAACGCAGAATGAAATAAGTTACCAGTCCATGTGACATTGTTTAGTGACTTGAACAAATGAGGATCGGGTGATCTTTGCAAACTTTGGTGGGTGAGCCTTGATTCTATTGGATGATAGGTTGAACAAGAACTAAACCAACCAAGTAATGATGCTATGCCAATTGTCTAGAATCACAAAATCTAGACAGCAGAGATCTACGGATTAGACAAAGAAATCTTTAATTTTAAGTATACTACTCTCATGCCATCTGCCAATGCCCCTTTCATATAATGAAAACTAATGGGTAAGTAAGAAAATCCGAAACAGAGAGAAATGATTGACCACGGGCAAATGAAAATAGTTAAGAGGCAGAGTAATGATCTATGTAAGGTATAAATTCTATAACCTGATTAATCCCTTACCATCTGGCTGAAGTTTAATAGATATGAACTGCACCTATTTTCTTACACATTTCTGTAGCTATAATAATAATAATATGCAAAATCATGGTGATTTCTAGGATACATGCAAACCATGGAAAAGAAGGTAAGAGAGATGAGAAAATTCTATGTACCAGAAATAGAGATCAGAATTTACATTATATCTGTTACTGTGGTAAAGCTTACATGTGAAAGAACAAACACAAAAATCTAAATTTGTATTACTAAAAAAATTTGGATTAGGTCAATGGGGTTTGGTTGTAAAATGAATTCTATTGAGTCAGGTCTGGTCATTCATAGATACATTTTCCATGTCATAGGGACTTTTACAAATTGCAAGTGATGTAGAGGAAGACTTCTTCACTACATAGGATAGTGAAACCACCAGTAGGATGATTAAACCCTAACTTTTCTTCAGCTTGACCAAGCAAGCTCTGAAATGAAGGATGCTTCAAGTACGAGATTGGAACAACAAATCTCTTCTTTTGAGTCTCTCCAGCATAGACAGCGAAATGGCCTCTAGGCATGTCAGGGTCTCTGGGGACAAAAGAATGCTCCATACAAACTTCTTAGCTTTAACAATCCTAAGCATACGGAGAGCCATGAATTAATTAATTTGCAACTCTTTAAAGTTTATTGGATCTTGAGATGAATGTACAAAGTTTGGAAAACAGGTTAAAAGATTTTGATGATGGAAATCCTTGAAATAGGTGCATTTCTATTCTAAAGTTTCTTTGACCGGTAAATGGCAGTGGATTGAGGGTCAACAGACGACCCACTTTAAAGGGGTCTGTTTAGGGACATATAACATGATGAGTCACATGGATTTGCCTTCCACTAGCTATATATTGGTAAGATTTTGATAGATTTGCTAAAAAACTTTTGCAATCATGAATTATCATGGCCTACCAATCAATAGAAAAAAATTATGGTGGTCCAGCTGAAATTCTTATGGATGTATCATGGACTTTATGATTACAATTAAAAATGCATGTCCAACATACCAGTTGGGTGAAAGAAAACTGCCATAGACTATAATATGCAGATATAACCAATCGCTATTTTGCTAAAGTGGCATGTCAATGTAGAATGTACGTGTGTTATCTGATCGTAATGCACATTGGGTGCAAATCAGATGGATAGAACACTAACTAGTAGACATCAACATTCAGATCAAATAGCTGATTTTTCATCAGTAGTACCCATCAAACAAAAATATATAATAGCCTTCAGCACCATATGTAAAAGTCCTGAGACCTTACTGATTAGACTCACAAACAAATTATTATCAGCTCATGTGAAGTTGTTTCATGACCTGTACAAGTGACGAGTTGGTGAACATTATAGCCTTTGGGGCCTAAATAAAAAAGGGGTGATAGGTTGAATGGAAACATTGAGCCAACCCGGTTTATGGCAGCTCATGCTGCCATTTCTAGTCCCAAATTGATGAGAACTGCCAAACCTTACAAGTCATGGCTTTGGTAGCGCCTCTTTTAGAAGTGTCTGCATATTTCAGTGGTTAGGTCTAACATTTTAGTTGATAGACACATGTGGCTTTCACAAGTAGTGACATATTTGGTGGCTGGAAATGGTTTCAAACAGAGAACTACTGATTATTGACTCAATATGACCATTAGACTTGCAAAACTGCAGATTCACTAAAAGAGTAATTCAATTTGTATGAAAATATTGGTAGGGCATTATGTTAGAGCACACAAAACCATGTGAACTCCCAAATTATGATGTAGGATGAACAATGTCATTGTGGTTTAGTGCATTCTTTTGAATCCAATGTATCACTACTCTTCTTTATTATTTGGTAAATATGACATTGACAATCAAAGACCATAAAAATCTTCCGACCAGCTCTTACAATGTTTTCTGTCTTAAATTTCTATGTTTTCTTGTACTTTTGGGGATTTGTCTTAAGCATAACAATCTCTTGTTATGTTTCACAGAAAATGAGAATCTAGTATTGGTTCTTACATGAACCAAGAACAGTACCTGCTGGGATCCACCAAGGAACTTACTGCTGTCATCCACTGCATTGCCTTTCCTGTGGCACAAATGAGTTCACCGTCAATATTGCCCCTAACCTACAAACCTCAAAAGAGGATGACAAAAACATCAAAATCAATCTCCTCTAATTTGGTGCAGGCAAGAGTTAAACAGTTACTTGAATATTTTGGTTATGTAAAGAGAAACAGAATTTTGTGGAACTAATAAATTGCAATTTAAATGTTCTTTCTATATTGCATAATTTTTATCTACAATATATTTAATTTACTGCTTCTTCAGTTGTAACAGAGTTCTAATGGAAACTTTGATTTTATTCCTCCTTGTTGGTTAACTTTAGGCATTATAAAGAAAAAGCAGAATTAGGAACTTTCCAAAGCAACCCGTTGTTGGGAATCATCTTATATTTCCCAACAATAACAGTTTAAAATGGGCATTGATGCTTACACTTAACCTTGATGCATACATTTGACATAGACCATTCATTCACATTAAATATTTAACGGTATAAGGATGACGTTGATGCATATATTTGACATAGAACAAACATTGAACATGCAAAGATCTAATACGTGAATATATGCAATTGACATGTCAACAAGATATTTTAGACGCTAATCAGATCATCCAACAGAAAAAACCTGATTAAATTAATCAACCATAAAATCATCTTGTCATGTTATGTTATAGTCCCAAACAATTGGTTTTGCAGCCCAAACTTATATATATTATCCTTAAACACAGAAGTGAAAATAGGTTAATGCTACTTGTGTCAGTGCTTGTGTATGTTTTCTGAAAGTGTGTTGGTATGTTGCAAGTTGTGACCAAACTCCAGAAAATCAATAAGGTTAGAGATATTGCCAAAAAGGAAATAGTACTTGCAATTTGGAAATAACTTCTTTTAAAAAATTAAATCATTAGCTGAATTGAGTCCGACTTGACCAAGTTAGTCCACAATACTAGTCTTAAATGAATGGATGAGGAGAATACTAATACTATTACAAAAGTTAGCTGATCTTAAATGGTCTTAAAACATCGTTTCAGACAAGTGGTAGGGAACTGCAATAACCCTCAAAAGCATGTTGGGTAGTTGGCACAAAGAAAAGCAACTAAGGAACAAAGTCTAAGTTCAATGCTTTAGTAAATAAATGAAATGAATCTTCAATGCCCTAAGATCAAGACGAGTGTTTGGTGTCAAGGACATGCTTAGCATCGTAAAGTCAGTGCTTTATAATTTCAAAACATAGGGAAGATATATCCACATAAAATTTCACAAGTTGCACACTCCTTTTTTGGTTTCTTAAGGTGGTAGGGAAGGATGCGTAGCAACAGATAAAGCAGAACCATGTGAAACTTTAACTAATTGGTTCACCTGATATGTTTCTAAACATTCTTCAATAATATCTCACCATTCTATCCAGTTTTTTAAGGTTTGCAAATTGCTATCTTCCTCTATATATTTAGACACTAAAGATGCCATAATTCAAACCAAGTCTTTAGTCTCCAAAAATCTAAAGCTATCTGTCACTTAAATCAAACCTTTGAGCTTCTTTTCTCTATCTTTTTTCTTTTTCTTTTCTAAGATGGGTATCCAACTAATGGGACTAGCTCATGCCAAACAAACCCTTTCAGGAAGAATTGGGAGTGGATTGGCAACATCAAATGTTCCTAAAGGCCATATTGCAGTCTATGTTGGGGAAGGCAACAGGAAGAGATTTGTGATTCCGATATCTTACTCCAATCATCCTCTGTTTCAAGATCTGTTAAATCGAGCTGAGGAAGAATTCGGATTCAACCATCCTATGGGTGGTCTCACATTTCCATGCAGTGAAGAGTACTTCATCAGTCTAACTACATTACTGAATTGTTCATCGATGCTTCCAGCTTCAAAAAGGATGCAGGAACATTTAATTTCTTCCTTACTCGCCTACATTGAGAAAACTTGATTTAAGACAGTAAAAGCAAAATAAGCAATCTGTTCACAAATTTTGTTCTCTAGGTCTTGCTAATTCAATCCCATGTAAACATTCTGTAATTTGTCCGAAAAAAAAAAGGGCAAAAATTGTTTGCCAATAAGATTATGATTCTTTGCTGACAACAAAACCTGTTGTTCTGAGCAACTTTGATTAATGATCCATCGTTTTATTCTATTTTCATGACAATTTGAAGGTATCAGGTACTAGAAAACCAAAATATGCCTGATTTGCATGATAAAGTCAGATTAAAACACTTCAATTACAAAGAATTTAGAGATCTAGTTTTAAACATTCAAAAGAAGAAATAGAATAGAAATCAGATAATGTATTCATAAAGAGAGACTTAAAGTCAACCTTACCCATATATTATCATGAGTAGTAGTACTAGTACTAGCTTTTGTCCTTTGCATTTTGCTGTTTAATATTTAGCATTCAGTTCAACATCAAACGGAAATCTCCCCGGCTCTCACGTTGATATTCTTGAAGCCTGTAACAGAACCAACCACTAGTACCATATTTCCTTGGCCACAATCGGTAAAAGAAGCCACTGATAACCTCATCCATCCTTGTACGCTACTAGTAAATAGTAATAGTAACAATTAATTACTTATAACAGATTAAGAGTCTGCATTTTTAATATAAAAAAATAAATAAAGAACTTATATCCAGTTCGGGTGGAGTTTTTTTTCTTTCTTTTTTTTTTTTCCACATACATATCCATTTTATTTAATTTTTATTTTTGAAAATTTTTTTTATCTATTTTTAGCTCTTCAACCTGTATCTAGGACATTAATGTCACTTTGATCCTCAAACCCGCAACTTTTAAGTGTCATTCCCGCGCTCATACCATCTTAGCTAAGCTTATAAACAACATTTTGGATCTTTTTACAACAAATCAACGTTTGTTTGGGCTTTCTTGTTAAGAAAAAGCAATTGCAATTTAAATATGATATTTAATTTAATTAATTGATTAATAGTTATTTTTCAAATATGATATTTAATAAATTTTCATTCAAATTTTAATATTTATAATTTTTTTCTATTTTTAGAGTATGATTTTTTTATATAAAAATAATTACAATTTTATTTTTTATAGCTTGTAACTATATATATATATATATATAATTAAACTCAATTTTGTTTTCTAATACACATGCATAAATGTTTAATTTTTTACTTATAAAAATTAAAAAAGCATCCATATGTGGGGGTGAACAATAAAAAAAAAAAAAACGTATAGATTATAGTTTTACCATGTTAAATAAATTTTAGTTTTAAAGAGTCAAAATCGTATAGACTATAACTTTTCCAAGTTCGACGAATCCCAAGTACCAATTTGGTCCACAAATATTAGCTCTAGCAGCTCAACTTCTGTAGTAGCAGTTCTTGAAGATAGTGAGAATCTTGTTTTGATAGATTGGCCCAATTCATCAACGCCGTTATGGCAAAGTCTTGATCTTCCCACACACACATGGCTTCCCGGTGGTGAGCTTAGCTTAAATAAACGAACCAATCAAAGCCAACTTCTTACTTCATGGAAAAATTCAGAAGATCCTGTTCCGGGTCTCTTTTCCCTTGAGCTAGACCCCAGTGGAACCAATCAATATTTTATTCTATGGAATAGGTCGGAAAATTACTGGACGAGTGGTACTTGGGATAAACAGACACGGATTTTCAGCTTAGTTCCAGAAATGAGATGAATTACATCTACAACTTCAGCTATGTTTCGAATGAAAACGAGAGTTATTTTACTTATTCGCTTTATAATCCTTGTAACATATCTCGATTTATTATGGATGTTTCGGGGCAGATTAAGCAACTATCATGGCTGGAAAGTAGCAAGCAGTGGAATTTGTTTTGGTCACAGCCGAGACAACAATGCCAGGTGTATGCTTTTTGTGGGGCTTTTGGCAGCTGCAATGAGAAAGCTCTGCCTTTCTGTAACTGTTTGACAGGTTTCCAGCCAAATTCAGTAAGCGATTGGAATCTGAGCGATTATTCTGGTGGGTGTGAAAGGAAAACCAAGCTGCAATGTGAAGATCCCACTCTAACTAATGGGAAGAGTGATAAATTTCTAGAAAGCCCCAAGATGGTATTGCCTCAAGATGCCCAGTCTATGACCGTTGGGAGCACGTCGGAATGTGAATCAGCCTGCCTCAAGAATTGCTCTTGCACTGCTTATGCTTATGATATTGATGGGTGTAAAGTTTGGATGGGAGATCTCTCGGATCTACAACAACTCGCGGAAGATGCTAGCAATGGAAAAACTATATATATCAGGCTAGCGGTATCTGAGTTTTCAAGTTCCAGCAACAATAAGGGAATAATTATTGGAGCAGTTGCAGGTTCAGTGGGTTTAGTCCTAGTTCTTGTAATGCTTGCAATCTTGAGATGGAGGAGGCGAACGATGACAACTCCAAAAGCTGTTGAAGGTTCACTTCTAGCTTTCGGATATGGCACAAGGATAGACCTATTAAGATTGTCATCGCTCTTAGTTTCAAAAGTTGGCATTCACTCAATTTGATTATAGTAATGCTGATACAATTTTCCCTTCCTAATTAGGAATGGAAATTTTTCGTTTCCTTCAACTGATTCCATTGGCGCCGAATGAGTGGCTTGATTTGGATAAAATAGCTGTTTTTTTCCTACAAGAAACAGCATTAGTGGCCCCTATATGGGACAGAATCGGAGAATTCGAGGTACCATGACTACGTTTTTCTTCCCAGAAAACAGGCTTCAATGTCAGAAGGATAGCTTGGATTCTGAGAGTCGATGCTTGTTCAATGTTCAGATGGTAGGGCATTATGCTGAAGTGCACAAAACATGTGTGCGGTGACTCCCCAAATGTGACAGTGATATATCACTGGAAAATCATTGCATATGACAATTATTCCAAAAAAAAACCCAAGGAAAAATCATTCTCAAGCTCACATACCATTTTGTGCCATAATTTTCTTTGTTCTCTTGTCCCTTTGAGGACTCCAATTACTCATTTGTCTTAAGCATAAGCCATAGAACACTTTGTCATATTTGACAGGAAAAGAAAATGAGACTCTACCATTCGCTATCATACGTGAACCAAAAACAGTTAAAGGACTTGCCATGTTTTCAACAATGAATAAAAACAGTGCATTGCATTGCCTTTCTATTTTGGCGCCTCAGACTTTATCCATTGCTCTTGATCCTTAAGTACACTTGCTGGATCAGTACAACAAATTGCATCAGCCAATCGCCACGAGATTGGAAAAATTGACAACTAGAGTTTTCTTCTCGGAAATACTTATGAATGCATTCTTTTTCCTAATCATCTTTAGTCGTGATAGATCCTGCTAATGGAAAACTTACTCTTATACCTCAATCTCTCCTTGATTAACTTTTGGAAGAGACAACTGATATAGAATACATAAAGTTCTGTAGTCAACTAGGCAAAATGCACTATAAAATGGGAAATTCAAACTAAGTAATGCATCAACTAAAGAGGAAACAACTCATTCCGTCTAATTATATAGGTCGTGTTAAATCCATGCTTGAAGGTGGGACAAACCCAAATATAGGAAACTAAGAAAATTTAAAAGAAAAATATTTTCTGGACACCCCAAAATTTTTTCTGACACTTTCTTCATATCTGTATTATAGAGTAATTAGATCCGGTGGACTGGAAAAAACCAAAGTGGATATCCATTTTTTTAATTTAGTTCTAAGGAATCGGTTTCCCAAAGAAAATATACTAAACAGATTAAGTAGTCAACGGTGCATGATGGTACCTAGTCTTAATTCAATCAGCAAGCAATCTAGTCATCAGATCAAGAAAATTGCAATATGTTTCTTTAAAACACAGTAGTCTAATCTCGGTAATGGATATTCTTAAGTGAATAAGCGAGTTACCTGCATTGCAAGTTATGAATCAAATCTGTTGTATCTTTGAAGCAAAGAAAACTTTACTTACTGTTGTATTTCTTAACATCAGAAACATTATAATTTAAAGCCTAATTAATAACTACCCACTAAAATCATAATCTTAAGATTAAGCCATCACCACCAGTATGAATAACAAAAAAAATAACCAACACCAGAAAAACAGGAACTACATGAAACATTCAATGAATCCACATTAGCAGTCCTAAACACATCTTCTAACACTCCTCCTTGTTTTAGGAGTTGCAAACACCAAGTTTTGTCCTCAGAAATTCAAACTTGCTAACTGGCAGTGGCTTGGTGAAAACATCTGCAACCTGATCTTCTGTTTTACAGTAGACAAGAACAACAGCTTCATTTTTCTGTACTTCCCTTAAGAAGAATAATTTAATATTAAAATGTTTAGTTTTCCCGTGAAACACAGGATTTTGAGAGATAGCAATGGCAGTTTGATTGTCAACAAGAATCTTCGTGCTTTCCTCCTGCTCTAAGTTAAGATCAATTAAAATCTTCCTTAGCCACAAAGCTTGATTAACAGCAGCTGTTGCAGCAATAAACTTTGCTTCAGCTGTGGATTGAGCTACAATTTCTTGTTTTTTCGAGCTCCATGAGAAAACACCAGAACCAAGTGTGAAACAATAGCTTGAAGTGCTCTTCATATCATCAATGGAACCTCCCCAATCACTGTCTGAGAAACCAACCAGCTTGAACTCTTTGCTCTTTGTGTATTTAATGCCAAAATCACTTGTGCCTTTCACATATCTAAGCACCCTCTTTGCAACCTTGAGATGCCATTCACTTGCACAATGCATAAATCGAGACAAAATGCTTACAACATTCAAAATGTCAGGCCGAGTTGCTGTGAGAAACATTAAGCAACCAATCAGGCTTCTGAAATATGCCTGATCAATCTTCTCTGTTCCATCTTCTTTACAGAGCTTTTCCTTTGAGTTCATTGGTGTCCTCATTTCTTTACATTCTTCGAGTTTAAACTTCTTCAGAATCTCCTTGGCATATTTCTTCTAACAGATGAAGACTTCATGTTCATTCTGTTTGATTTCCATTCTAAGAAAAAAGGTCATCAATCCAAGATCTGTCATTTCAAAAAACTCCATCATCTCTTGCTTAAACTTTTCCACAATACTTGTGTTGTTTTCTGTCACAAGTAAGTTATCCACATATAGTGAGATGATAAGAATGTCAGCTCCATTGTGCTTGACATATAATGTTGATTCAGATAAGCTTTTAAC